GCTGTGAAGCAGGATTCTCCACCATGAACAGAATCAACAATAAATCTGGATCCAGGCTCAAAATGAGCACCTTGATATGTGCTTGAGAATGGCTTAGTCTCCGGTTAAACCCAGGTTTAAAGCCTTGCAGGGCAGCCTAAAGCCCACTGCCAACATTAAGACAGAAAACAGAAAGAAAACAACAAACAGTTCAGGTGTTTGAGAAAATATGGGAATCAGGAAATTATCTATAAACCAAACTGAAAGATTGTTGTTCTCTACTTCAAAAAACACTTTAGATTTTAAAATGTAAAAAAATAAAATCAATGTCTTTTTTTATATATTCTTTTATTTAAATAGTCAATGTATACAGATCATTAAAAATGTCTCCGGACCTTTACTGGTTGATGATTTTCTTTATTCGGACCCCACTGATTTTTAATTGGTCACCCCTGCCCTATAATCATTCTATGACCCCTTTAAATAGCAAAAACACTGATTTTTAGGATTTTTTTTACCTTTACCATTAATTTCTTTGGGGACCAAAAAAACTAAAAATAGCTTTACAGCATTCACTATTAGGTTTATTCTGGTTTCGAAAACTCTAAGTTGAAATCAAGGTGCTTTGAAGGATCATGTGTCTTTCGGCACTAATATTTCTGTGTAATTTATGTCTTTTTAATTATATATTGAGCTGTATGGAAAAGGATTAGGGCCATTGAAAAAATAAAACATTTTTTTATATATATTTCATTTCAGTATAATATGACTTTAATGTCAGAATGTTGGATCTTAATGTAGATGGGCCCCATGAAGGAAGAGTTTTGGGAGCACTCAGCTTCACTGACAAAGATGTGAGTTGTTTAGGAGGGCCAGTAACATTGGTGGAAAATGACAGAATTAGACGACTTTTTACATGATGCTATTTAACACAAAGACGCTATTTACCGTAATTAATGGAAGGGCGGAAGGTGATTAAAACAAGAGAACTAGTTTAGTCTCTAAAACAGACATTGCTACGGCTTGATGCTAACATGTTTGTTAGCTGTCAGAATTTAGTCATAGTTCTGAGGTTAAAGTCAGAATTCTGAGGGGAAAAAAAATCTGATTTTGACTTTTTTTCCCCATATAAAACTAAAATAAAATGTAAAAACAAGTTAACTTTTTTATTATTTTTTTTTCAGTGGCCTTAATCCTCTTCTGTGTTCTGACAAAATTCTGACAAAAAAGTCACAATTCTGTGATTTAAGTCATAATTCTGAGGTTAAAGTCAGAATTCTGAGGAAAAAAAGGCAGATTTGGACTCCCCCCCCCCTATAAAACTAAAATAAAATGTAAAAATAAGTTAACTTTTTTTTTTTAAATCTTTTCACTGGTCTTAATCGTCTTCCATATTCTGACAAAATCCTGAGAAAAAAAGTCAGAATTCTGAGGTTAAAGTCAGAATTCTGAGAAAGAAAGTCAGATTTGGACTTTTTTCCCCCCATATAAAACTGAAATAAAATGTAACTAGAAAAAGCTGTTTCGGAGAAACAGCAAGTGGGAATGCTTTTGCTGAATGAATAAAGCTGAAATTAACTGCAGAACATATGAAAATGTGATAGGAAGTCATCAGAAACTTCAAACTGCAGAAAACAATTGAATCATCTGAAGATTTTTTTTAGGGTAGAATTATTTGGCACTAAAATGGCAGAAAGAAACTCATCTTAAAAGCTGCACAGCCAAACCATACATAATATCAAAAATGTCATTAATATGTGCACTAGAAGGGTCTTAATATAATGTCTATCAAGTTTCTAGAAAAATTTCTAAAGAAATTTTGAAGTGGGGCCACCTACTGCCCAGAAACATGTCAGGCATGTTATGAATTAGCAGCAAACAGAAAAGCTTAATTCCTGTCCAGAAAAAGAGCAAAATTAAGCCAAGGTTCACAGCATAGGCTGAAAAATATTAAATTAGCTGAATCAGAAAAGAAATTACAAAGAAAAAATTGAATCTTATCTGGTTGAAGAAAATATGAGTAGCTCAAGGATGGGAAGTAAAATGTTGAGGAAGATGGTATTGAATAAGTATCAAAATTTTGAAATTGTGGAAATGTCAAGACTTGGCACAACAATTTGAAATGATTTAAAATGTGTTGGTTGATCAGCATAAAGAAAACAGTGTCATCCTTAGAGGATTGAAAATATACAAACCTATGTGCAAGACTGACCATGAGAAGCAGAGGAAGGACAGAGAGAGAAGCTTATAGAAAGAGAGTTAATACCACTTAAGGAGCTGAATTTATAAAAAAAAAAAACTAACCTGCATGTTACGAGCCGCTGCAGTGATGAAAGCACCGTTGGCAGGCTTAGGCTGCATGTTATGAGGTTAGCAGATGCTGTATCTCAGTGTAAATCTTAGAACCTGGTTAAGAAATATGCTCTGAGGTCTGTGGTCAACAGGCCTTGGTAGTGTAATTTGAAGAAATTGGTTGAATTTGGGTCATAGCTACAAGCCACACGGCACAATGAATGAGTGTGTGTAAGGAAGAGGCTTTTATTTTGTAGAGTCCCTTTAGTCTTATTTTGAAAGTCTATCATGGATGTGTGTCAAGGGAAGGGTCATGCCCAGCAGTTATATAGAATCCATTTCTAAATATGAAATCACTGGTTTTCCATGTCATTGGGTGAATAGATGCTGTATTAGAGCGTAAATGGGAGACTTTTATTGTGAACTTCACTCTGGGGTATGTTTTGAAAAGGTCCCTAGAGTCTAATAGAAACAAACTGGTAGAGTTTGGGTCATAATGCTGATCCATTTGCATCAATTAATATGCGTGTATAATATAGAGGCTTTTATTTTGTAGGGTCACTGGAGTCTTATTTTGAAAGTCTAGCAGTAGTGTGTTGAGAAAAGGGTCAGACCCAGCAGTGATACTTGATGACTTTCCAATCATTAAATCATTCTTTCCCCTGTTATTAGGGCAGTAGATGAAGTGGCAATGGGAGGCTTTTATTTTGAAATTTGCTGTGGGGTGTGTTTTGAAAAACCCCTAGAGTCTCATTTTTAAAAAAAGTGGTTGAGTTTGGGTCATAATGTTGAGCCATATGCTGGGAAAAAAATATGAGTTTAATGTAGGGGCTTTTATTTTGAAGGGTCCCCGGAGTCTTATTTTGAAAGTCTATCAGGGTTGCGTGTGAAGGGAAGGGTCATGGCCAGTAGTCATATTGTATCCACTTCCTAAACTCATATTTTTTTCCCCAGCATATGGCTCAACATTATGACCCAAACTCAACTACTTTTTTAAAATTATACTCTAGGGGGGGTTTCATAACACACCCCACAGCAAATTTCAAAATAAAAGCCTCCCATTTCCACTTCATCTACTGCCCTAATAACAGGGGGAAAGAGTGATTTAAGGATTGAAAAGTCATCAAGTATCACTGCTGGGTCTGACCCTTTTCTCAACACACAACCCTGCTAGACTTTCAAAATAAGACTCCAGTGACCCTACAAAATAAAAGCCTCTATATTATACTTGTGTATTAATTGATGCAAATGGCTCAGAATTATGACCCAAACTCTACCAGCTTGATTCTATTAGACTCTAGGGACCTTTTCACAACATACCCCAGAGCGAATTTCACAATAAAAGTCTCCCATTTATGCTCTTTTATATTATCTATTCACCCAATAACATGGAAAACCAGTGATTTCATATTTAGAAATGGATTCTATATCACTGCTGGGCATGACCCTTCCCTTGACAAACATCCATGATAGACTTTCAAAATAAGACTAAAGGGACCCTACAAAATAAAAGCCTCTTCCTTATGCACACTCATTCATTGTGCAGTATGGCTTGTAGCTATGACCCAAACTCAACCAATTTCTTCAAATTACACTACCAAGGCCTGTTGACCCCACACCTCAGTTTACATTTCTTAATAAGGCTCTAAGATTTACACTGAGATACAGCATCTGCTAACCTCATAACATGCAGCCTAAGCCTGCCAACAGTGCTTTCATCACTGCAGCGGCTCGTAACATGCAGGTTAGTTTTTTTTTTTTATAAATTCAGCTCCTTAAGTGGTATTAGCTCTCTTTCTATAAGCTTCTCTCTCTGTCCTTCCTCTGCTTCTCATGGTTAGTCTTGCACATAGGTTTGTAAATTTTCAATCCTCAAATGATGACACTGTTTTCTTTATGCTGATCAACATTTTTTGATATCATGTATGGTTTGACTGTGCAGCTTTTAAGATGAGTTTGTTTCTGCCATTTTACTGCCGGATGTTTCTACCCTATAAAATCTTCAGATGATTCAATTGTTTTCTGCAGTTTGAAGTTTCTAATGACTTCCTATCACATTTTTATATGTTCTGCAGTTAATTTCAGCTTTTTTCATTCAGCAAAAGCATTCCCACTTTGATGTGGAACAGCTTTTTCTAGTTCTGAGATTAAAGTTGGAATTCTGAGGAAAAAAAGGCAGATCTAGATCCCCCCCCCCCCCCCCCCCCATATAAAACTAAAATAAAATGTAAAAATAAGTTAACTTTTTTTTCACTTGCCTTAATCGTCTTCCATATTCTGACAAAATTTTGATAAAAAAGTCACAATTCTGTGATCAAAGTCATAATTCTGAGGTGAAAGTCAGAATTCTGAGAAAGAAAGTCAGATTTTGACTTTTTTTTCCCATATAAAACTACAATAAAATGTAAAAAATAAGTTAACTTTTTTTTCAGTGGCCTTAATCCTCTTCTGTATTCTGACAAAATTCTAACAAAAAAGTCACAATTCTGTGATGAAAGTCAGAATTATGAGAAAAATCAGAATTCTCAGGATAAAAGTCAGAAATCTGAGATTAAAGTCAGAGTCAGTTCTGACTTTAATCTCAGATTATATTGAAATAAAATTTAAAAATCAGTTATTTTTATTATTTTCCAGTGGCCCTAATCCTTAGTGCTACCGTGTTTAATTGTGTATTTATTTTAGGGTAAAGTGGGCGGTCTTAATAGTGACGTAACGGGGTCAAAGGTAATTACGTACGTAACGCGTGGTGGTTTGGCGCCAGCAGGTTTCGCGGGGTGTCAGCATCAGCAATAGCACCATCACGAGCAGAAATCCTCCCGGTTAACGGCTGCATTTACGAGCCAAGCGGCCGAAAGTAGAGCGAGGCTCCCGGCGGAGCGAGCATTGGTTTATTCGCAGCGGGGTGAAGCCTCTCCCGGCTTGGATGCGGTCTTCTCAGCCCATCTGACACACGGGAGGTGAGCTGGTCGGTGTGGCGGCCGCAGCGGGAGCAAACAGAGCAGTAAGAACCAGTTGAGATGTTTCCCAGGGTTTTAGGCCCCTTATTGGGGGGTCGGTAGAAAGCCCCCCATGCTGCTAACGTCCAGCTGTGGCTGGAGGAGCTGCGCTAGCCGCTAGCAGGCTAACGGCTGGCAGCTAGCAGGCAGGCTAGCTGGTGAAAACATTCAGACATGTGCTGAAACAGAGGAAAACTTAAAGTCCTGCCAGTGGGCTTCAGCCCTGCTTCCTTCAGTTAGAAAAACTTTCATAGAAAAACTAAAGATAGATTCTGACTTTCAATTCATTTAGATTGAGCAATAAATGTAGAAATAAATAAATATAAAGCTATAATAAATATTTCTATCTTCCAAATGTTGTTTTTTTATTTTAAGTTTCTAAAAGTATCTTTCTAAATTAATTTAAAAAATAGTTGATTAATTCAGTTTTCTTCTTCTATAGTGCCAATTCACAACACATGTCATCTCGAGGCACTTTTTAAGTTCACCAGGTGATCCACCTTCTGAGTTCCAGTCCTGATTGGCTGCAGAGGAGCTGCTGACCCTCTCTGTCCCAACATCACCTGCTTTCTGAAATGTTTGTCTTCTTTCATCTTTCCTCTCAGAGGCCTGGAGGAGGTGAGGAATAATGATGGCGTCTGCAGGACCTCCCAGCACCTCCAGCTTCCTCCCTCTGTTGGAGACTCTGGAGGACGGTACGGCCGGGCAGTCGGAGCAGACGGACGCCTACCTGACCATCGCCAAGTGAGTTTCCCCCGCCGGTCGCAGAAGACGTCGGGGAGTGTGAGCGAGAAAAATAACTCATCTTTGTGTTTTCCAGTCGACTCAGTGGGGAGGAAGGCCAGCAGTTTCTCTCAGCTGTAGAGAAGAACTTTACTCGTTTGGGTAAAGTCATATTGGTGAGTGATCAGTCCTACCGGTCTGGAGAAATTCATTCAGTTTCTATTCAGTTTATTTCTATAGCACCAATTCACACCATGTCACCCATGTTCACCAGATCATCCAGTCAGATTGATTCAAAGTTTTCTATCCAAGGAAAACCAGTTGATTGCTTCGACTCACTGACTCTTCAGCAATCCCTCACACTAAGCATGCTTGTAGCGACAGTGGAGAGGAAATACAGGAAGAAACCTCCAGCAGAACCAGGCTCAGTGTGAGCGGCCATCTGCTGAGGCAGACTGGGGTTCAAGGAGACAGAAGCAGACATAGAAAAATAAGCATAGATACAAAAGGCAACTGTCAACCAGCTCCCATGTCAGAGGATGAAGAGAGCACATCCAGTTAGTTACAGTCAGAGAAACAGGGCTACACTGAAAAACAGGCCAAGGTAAAAGAATTATAAAGGAAGACATGGACCTAACTGTCTGATAAACACAAAGGAACACAAAACATATCTCTATAATCAGGTTTCTAACTATAAAGAGAAACAGTTTAAGGGTCTAAAAAAAAGAAGATAATCGGTTGCAAAATATCTTGAATCAATCTTCCAAAGGTCTTAAAAGTTAAAACGCCACAAATGGAATCATGGAGGTGTCTCATAATAAAATATTTGGTCACTTTTATCTTTTTGTGTAATAATTAGTCCATTTGCTCTTTCTGTAATGTCAGGAGGAACTAATGAATGACAGTTTGTTTCAGCTGGGACCCTGAGAGCAGGCGCACGTCGGTGGTGTAGAGCTGTCACTTTAGGTTTTTATTTTAGAGAACTTTAATGACTGTAACTGTTCTGGATGCTTGATAATTGTTCAATATTTCAGCCAAAATGAATCAGTTATTCGGTTTGTAAAAGGAACTTCGTCATGTTTCATAAGTAGAGATGTTCCGATACCATTTTTTGTCCCCATGCGATTCCGATGTTTGTGCTGCGAGTATCGGCCGATACAGATACCAGCATGGTGGGATCATTAGCTAACAGGTTAGCCTGTTTTAGCTTGGTCAGTTAGCCATATTAAACTACATGACTTTGAAACCATGAATCGGTTATTGAAATAATCGTCAAGTAATTTAGTAATGGATTAATTGTAAACTGGAGTATAGAGTCTGTAAAACAGGCTTTTAGAACAGCAATTATACCAAAATTATAAAACACTTTACATTTATGATAGAAATAGAAACATATTTTTTTCGTCCATCGATCTGCTCTATAACCCAGAGCTCCTCAATTGGAAAAGTTTTAGTTTCACCAGGTTTAATTTCGTAAAACAATTGTCTTTAAGGAACCTTTGGCGATCCGATTATTAATCGGTTAATCGAAAAGTAATCAACAAATTAACCGATTAGCAAAATAATTAGTTGCAGCCCTACACGGCTTTTAGATATTTTGAAACCCCAGCGGAGATTTGATTCTTATGAAAAGAACGCAGTGCAGTTTGGCCGTTTCTCAGTCTGTGAACTTGTGCGTTCTCGTGTCCTGGTGAAACACCATCACCCTCTTTACCCAGCATGCATCAGAGCAGACTAGTCTGTTCTTTAGACTGACAGCTGTCCCAGCATGCACTGCAGCAGCAGCAGCTTCCAGGTTAGCGCTCACAGAGCTCAGAGTATTACAGGTGCTGGTCATAAAATTAGAATATCATGAAAAAGTAGATTGATTTCAGTAATTCCATTTAAAAAGTGAAACTTGTATATTATATTCATACATTACATACAAACTCATATATTTCAGATGTTTATTTTGTTTAATTTTGATGATTACAAATGACAACAAATGAAAATCTCAAATTCATCATATCAGTAAATTAGAATATTACCGAAGACCAATAAAAACAAAGGATTTATAGAAATGTTGGCCAACTGAAAAGTATGAACATGAAAAGTATGAGCATGTACAGCCCTCAGTATTTAGTTGGGCCTCCTTTGGCCTGTATTACTGCAGCAATGCGGCGTGGCATGGAGTCGATCAGTCTGTGGCACTGCTCAGGTGTTATGATAGCCCAGGTTGCTCTAATAGTGGCTTTTAGCTCTTCTGAATTGTTGGGTCTGGTGTATTGCATCTTCTTCTTCACAATACCCCATAGATTTTCTATGGGGTTAAGGTCAGGAGAGTTTGCTGGCCAATTAAGAACAGGGATACCATGGTCCTTCAACCAAGTACTGGTAGCTTTGGCACTGTGTGCAGGTGCCAAGTCCTGTTGGAAAATGAAATCTGCATCTCCAAAAAGTTGGTCAGCTGCAGGAAGCATGAAGTGCTCTAAAACATCCTGGTATGTGGCTGCGTTGACCCTGGACCTCAGAAAACACAATGGACCAACACCAGCAGATGACATGGCACCCCAAACCATCACTGACTGTGGAAACTTTACACTGGACTTCAAGCAACGTGGATGAAGTGCCTCTCTTCTTTTCCTCCAGACTCTGGGACCTTGATTTCCAAAGGAAATGCAAAATTTACTTTCATCAGAGAACATGACTTTGGACCACTCACCAGCAGTCCAGTCCTGTTTCTCTTTAGCCCAGGCAAGACGCTTCTGACGCTGTCTGTGGTTCAAGAGTGGCTTGACACAAGGAATGCGACAGCAGAAACCCATGTCTTTCATACGTCTGTGTGTGGTGGTTCTTGAAGCACTCACTCCAGCTGCAGTCCACTCTTTGTGAATCTCCCCCACATTTTTGAATCGGTTTTGTTTCACAATCCTCTCCAGGGTGCGGTTATCTCTCTTGCTTGTACACTTTTTTCGACCACATCTTTTCCTTCCCTTCGCCTCTCTATTAATGTGCTTGGACACTGAGCTCTGTGAACAGCCAGCCTCTTTAGCGATGACCTTTTGTGTCTTGCCCTCCTTGTGCAAGGTGTCGATGGTCGTCTTTTGGACAACTGTCAAGTCAGCAGTCTTCCCCATGATTGTGTAGCCTATAGAACTAGACTGAAAGACCATTTAAAGGCTTTTGCAGGTGGTTTGAGTTAATTAGCTGATTAGAGTGTGGCACCAGGGGCCATCAATTTTGAACCTTTTCACAATATTCTAATTTTCTGATATGATGAATTTGAGATTTTCATTTGTTGTCATTTGTAATCATCAAAATTAAACAAAATAAACATCTGAAATATATGAGTTTGTATGTAATGTATGAATATAATATACAAGTTTCACTTTTTAAATGGAATTACTGAAATCAATCTACTTTTTCATGATATTCTAATTTTATGACCAGCACCTGTAAATTAAATGTTCTCTCTTCTGTTGCCATTGTTCCATAAAATTGCGTTTTTAGATAATTTTAGGCGTGAACATTGTTCTTTTAAGCGTCACTATGTGTAATTTAAAAAAAAGTTCAGATGTTTGGGGGGCCGCAGCCAGGGCCAACGTTGGCCCGTCTGCAGCAGCCCTCTCTCTGCGTAAAGGGTAGATTAGACTTCCTGCACACATCAAACGTGGCTTGGGTCTGGTTGTGAACCAGTTTTGCTGCTATGCTTCTGCAGCGTCTGTCTGGAATTTCTAGAGACACACAGCAGTTTCCCTCCAAAGCGAAGGGGGGGCGGGGGGCTATTTGAGAACTCGTAAGAACTTTGGTGGAAGGTCACGAGAACTTCCGCGGCAGGAGTGTTCATCTTCCAAAGCAACAATGGCGCGTCTGCTAGATATCACAGTCACAGAGATAGATCTAGAGTAGCTAGACATCGAAGAGGAACTAGTTCTGTTAATGGAGTTGGCAAAAAGAAAACATTTGGGCAGAAGCTGCACATATGTTAGATGCTGATGGGGATGTTTTTTTAATTTGTCATATAAATTTGTCGTTCATTTCTGCATGTTTTGCTCCTATGAATTTATTAATAATATCTCGCATGCTTTCCTCGAGCTCTGAGGAAGTCGGAACGGGGCAGTAGAGACTGACACGGGAGTGGATTTTCACTCCTGTCCCGTCCCGATCCCGGGCCAGAGTAGAAATCTATATTCTGTCCCGTCCCACTCCTGGTGAAATGACTCCCACTCCCATCCCGCTCCCATTCAGAATGACTCCCACTCCCATTCTTGTTGTCTTCAATAAGATTTCTGCCAATACATTGAATCTGAATTTCTATGAAGGGTCAGTTAAGTTTCTAACTGTAGTAACTGTTGGTCCCTCCATTGTTGTTTTTGAGCGCGGGTGAAAAACTCAGAGCGGAAGCACTTTTGGTTTTTGGGTCATGTCGTTTTTTTTGACTCGCATTATAGTATAGGCTTCAAGGAAAAAAACTACAAAATGGCGGCGCCAGTACTGGATTTTTTTTCTTTCCATTTTATTTTATTTTTTGGCATCGATCCTAGTTTTTTTTTTTTAGTCACTATCCCGTCTGCTCCCGTTAATGTTTAATCCTGTACCGTCTAATCACGTGATCGTTACTCATACTGACTCCCATCCCGAAAAAAAATGTCAGTCTCTACGGGGCAGCACGGGAGGAACAGCGGAGGCTGTAGGCTTCGCGCAGGCGGTCTGAAGCGAAGAGGCGGCGGAGGATGTGGGATTTCGGGTTAAGTCAGAGCGGAGAGAAATCTGATGATGATGATGATGATTGTCTTTATTTTGCACCCAGCTCCACACCAGCAGTCCGAACGCCGAGCTGAGCCAGGCTGCCTTGCAAGCTTTGGGGTTCTGCGTTTATCACTCTCAGGTGGTTTCTGGAATCTCTGGTACGTTTTTTTTATTTTATTTATTTTTTAACTTCCATTCGGTGATATCGCTCAGAGTGATACCTCTGTATTCCAGAGACCTTTGCTGCACAGATCCTGTCTGCGCTCTGCTCCCTGGTGACCAAGTCGATGGATAAGAACACCTGTACCAGAGCATTATGGGTAATTTCCAAACAGAGCTTTCCTGCTGATGTCGTCAGCAAAAACGTGCCGACTTTACTGGGTTCCTTGGAGAGAGTGTGGAGCAGAGAGGACCTCCAGTCTGCGGTGATGGACCACGAAGCCCTGAACGTCATCATCAGGTAGAAGCGTCCCCTGAGCCGCTCTCAGCGGTGCCTCGCCCACTCGCTCACGCCGCTCTGCTCGTCTCGCTTTCAGGATGATAGAGCAGGTGCCGACCCAGATGAGCGACGGGGCGGTGCGGTGGGCCAAGCTGGTCATCCCGCTGGTGGTGCACTCTGCCTCTAAGGTGCGCCTGCGCGCCGCCGCGGCCTTGGAGATGGGCATGCCCCTGCTGCTGGCCAAGCAGGCGGAGGTGGCGGCCTACCTGGAGCCCATCATGTCGGCGGTGAGTTTCTGTGTGGGAGCGTCGCGTTGAATCGGAGCGGCTGAGGTAAACTCTGATCTCCTGCTGTTGTTTGTTTTCACAGAAACTGATCCCAGATCTGCAGAAGCTCTTCATGTCCAAGAATGAGACCAACGTCCTGAAGCTCTGGCCTTTGTTTGTGAAGCTTCTCGGGAAGGTAAAGCTGTCAGAGGTGGCAGATGTAGTAAAGTTTATAACTCCAGTAGAAGTTAGAGGATCAACTTGAGCTTTTTACTCCAGTTAGAATGTAAAAGTAGCATTTTAGCACAGCGCTAACATGTCGTCCCTTCCAGCTGCTGCATAAAGGGGGTCCTTTCATCAACTCCCTGCTGCGTCTGGAGGAGCTTGGTTTCCGCAGCTCCTCTCCCACCATCAAGAAGATCGCCTTCATCGCCTGGAAGAGCCTCATCGATAACTTTGCTCTCAACCCAGGTGAGCTCCTCCCCAAAGAGCCGCCGTTCCCTCCCTCATAGATCCGTTTTCCTCCCAGATCCGTTTTCCTCCCTGTTCCGTTTTCCTCCCAGATCCGTTTTCCTCCCAGATCCGTTTTCCTCCCTGTTCCGTTTTCCTCCCAGATCCGTTTTCCTCCCTGTTCCGTTTTCCTCCCTGTTCCGTTTTCCTCCCTGTTCCGTTTTCCTCCCTGTTCCGTTTTCCTCCCTGTTCCGTTTTCCTCCCTGATCCGTTTTCCTCCCAGATCCGTTTTCCTCCCAGATCCGTTTTCCTCCCAGATCCGTTTTCCTCCCAGATCCGTTTTCCTCCCTGTTCCGTTTTCCTCCCTGTTCCGTTTTCCTCCCTGTTCCGTTTTCCTCCCTGTTCCGTTTTCCTCCCTGTTCCGTTTTCCTCCCTGTTCCGTTTTCCTCCCTGTTCCGTTTTCCTCATAGATCCTTTTTCCTCATAGATCCTTTTTCCTCATAGATCCGTTTTCCTCCCTGTTCCGTTTTCCTCCCTGTTCCGTTTTCCTCCCTGTTCCGTTTTCCTCCCAGATCCGTTTTCCTCCCTGTTCCGTTTTCCTCCCAGATCCGTTTTCCTCCCAGATCCGTTTTCCTCCCAGATCCGTTTTCCTCCCAGATCCGTTTTCCTCCCAGATCCGTTTTCCTCCCAGATCCGTTTTCCTCCCAGATCCGTTTTCCTCCCAGATCCGTTTTCCTCCCAGATCCGTTTTCCTCCCAGATCCGTTTTCCTCCCAGATCCGTTTTCCTCCCAGATCCGTTTTCCTCCCTGTTCCGTTTTCCTCCCTGTTCCGTTTTCCTCCCTGTTCCGTTTTCCTCCCTGTTCCGTTTTCCTCCCTGTTCCGTTTTCCTCATAGATCCTTTTTCCTCATAGATCCTTTTTCCTCCCTGTTCCGTTTTCCTCCCTGTTCCGTTTTCCTCCCTGTTCCGTTTTCCTCCCTGTTCCGTTTTCCTCCCTGTTCCGTTTTCCTCCCTGTTCCGTTTTCCTCCCTGATCCGTTTTCCTCCCAGATCCGTTTTCCTCCCAGATCCGTTTTCCTCCCAGATCCGTTTTCCTCCCAGATCCGTTTTCCTCCCAGATCCGTTTTCCTCCCTGTTCCGTTTTCCTCCCTGTTCCGTTTTCCTCCCTGTTCCGTTTTCCTCCCTGTTCCGTTTTCCTCCCTGTTCCGTTTTCCTCCCTGTTCCGTTTTCCTCATAGATCCTTTTTCCTCATAGACCCTTTTTCCTCATAGATCCTTTTTCCTCCCTGTTCCGTTTTCCTCCCAGATCCGTTTTCCTCCCAGATCCGTTTTCCTCCCTGTTCCGTTTTCCTCCCTGTTCCGTTTTCCTCCCTGTTCCGTTTTCCTCCCAGATCCGTTTTCCTCCCAGATCCGTTTTCCTCCCTGTTCCGTTTTCCTCCCTGTTCCGTTTTCCTCCCAGCTCCGTTTTCCTCCCTGTTCCGTTTTCCTCCCAGATCCGTTTTCCTCCCAGATCCGTTTTCCTCCCTGTTCCGTTTTCCTCCCTGTTCCGTTTTCCTCCCTGTTCCGTTTTCCTCCCTGTTCCGTTTTCCTCCCTGTTCCGTTTTCCTCCCTGTTCCGTTTTCCTCCCTGTTCCGTTTTCCTCCCTGTTCCGTTTTCCTCCCTGTTCCGTTTTCCTCATAGATCCTTTTTCCTCATAGATCCTTTTTCCTCATAGATCCTTTTTCCTCATAGATTCTTTTTCCTCATAGATCCTTTTTCCTCATAGATCCGTTTTCCTCCCTGTTCCGTTTTCCTCCCTGTTCCGTTTTCCTCCCTGTTCCGTTTTCCTCATAGATCCTTTTTCCTCATAGATCCTTTGTCCTCCCTGTTCCGTTTTCCTCCCTGTTCCGTTTTCCTCCCAGCTCCGTTTTCCTCCCTATTCCGTTTTCCTCCCTGTTCCGTTTTCCTCCCTGTTCCGTTTTCCTCCCTGTTCCGTTTTCCTCATAGATCCTTTTTCCTCATAGATCCTTTTTCCTCATAGATCCTTTTTCCTCATAGATCCTTTGTCCTCCCTGTTCCGTTTTCCTCCCAGCTCCGTTTTCCTCCCAGCTCCGTTTTCCTCCCTGATCCGTTTTCCTCCCTGTTCTGTTTTCCTCCCTGTTCCGTTTTCCTCCCTGATCCGTTTTCCTCCCTGATCCGTTTTCCTCCCTGATCCGTTTTCCTCCCTGTTCCTTTTTCCTCATAGATCCTTTTTCCTCCCTGTTCCTTTTTCCTCCCTGTTCCTTTTTCCTCATAGATCCTTTTTCCTCCCTGTTCCTTTTTCCTCATAGATCCTTTTTCCTCCCTGTTCCGTTTTCCTCCCTGTTCCGTTTTCCTCCCTGATCCGTTTTCCTCCCAGATCCGTTTTCCTCCCTGTTCCGTTTTCCTCCCTGTTCCGTTTTCCTCCCTGTTCCGTTTTCCTCCCTGTTCCGTTTTCCTCCCTGTTCCGTTTTCCTCATAGATCCGTTTTCCTCATAGATCCTTTTTCCTCATAGATCCTTTTTCCTCATAGATCCTTTTTCCTCATAGATCCTTTTTCCTCATAGATCCGTTTTCCTCCCTGTTCCGTTTTCCTCCCTGTTCCGTTTTCCTCCCTGTTCCGTTTTCCTCCCTGTTCCGTTTTCCTCCCTGTTCCGTTTTCCTCCCAGATCCGTTTTCCTCCCAGATCCGTTTTCCTCCCAGATCCGTTTTCCTCCCTGTTCCGTTTTCCTCCCTGTTCCGTTTTCCTCCCTGTTCCGTTTTCCTCCCTGTTCCGTTTTCCTCCCTGTTCCGTTTTCCTCCCTGTTCCGTTTTCCTCATAGATCCGTTTTCCTCATAGATCCGTTTTCCTCATAGATCCGTTTTCCTCCCTGTTCCTTTTTCCTCATTGATCCTTTTTCCTCCCTGTTCCTTTTTCCTCATAGATCCTTTTTCCTCCCTGTTCCTTTTTCCTCATAGATCCTTTTTCCTCCCTGTTCCTTTTTCCTCATAGATCCTTTTTCCTCCCTGTTCCGTTTTCCTCCCTGTTCCGTTTTCCTCCCTGATCCGTTTTCCTCCCAGATCCGTTTTCCTCCCAGATCCGTTTTCCTCCCTGTTCCGTTTTCCTCCCTGTTCCGTTTTCCTCCCTGTTCCGTTTTCCTCCCTGTTCCGTTTTCCTCCCTGTTCCGTTTTCCTCATAGATCCTTTTTCCTCATAGATCCTTTTTCCTCATAGATCCGTTTTCCTCCCTGTTCCGTTTTCCTCCCTGTTCCGTTTTCCTCCCAGATCCGTTTTCCTCCCAGATCCGTTTTCCTCCCAGATCCGTTTTCCTCCCTGTTCCGTTTTCCTCCCTGTTCCGTTTTCCTCCCTGTTCCGTTTTCCTCCCTGTTCCGTTTTCCTCCCTGTTCCGTTTTCCTCCCTGTTCCGTTTTCCTCCCTGTTCCGTTTTCCTCATAGATCCTTTTTCCTCATAGATCCTTTTTCCTCATAGATCCGTTTTCCTCCCTGTTCCGTTTTCCTCCCTCCCTCCCGTTGCTCTCCTGGTTTTGATCTCCCTGTGAATCTCCTCCAGATATCCTGAGCAACTCCAAACGAATGAAGCTGCTCATGCAGCCGCTCATCTCCATCCAGGTGAGAACGGAGGCCCTGCTGCTCACCAAGGTGGAGGTCTGGTGGTATCTGATAGTGCAGCTGGGACCCAACCTGTCCCCCAACTTTGAGCAGGTGAGGAGCGGCTCCGTCACGCCGCTGCTGCTGATCCTCAGCGCTCCTCCACGCAGGCTGAGACTCTGATCCTCTGCAGGTCGCGGCGCCTCTGCTCCAGTCCACCATCAGGTCCGATTCATCCGCCGTTCCAAACACTCCTTCTAGAGCCGTCGCTCAAAATGGAGCCGTGGCGCCCAGCACCCCGAAATCAGGTTTGCTCCTCCGTCCAGACGGACTCGCTGGCTGCTGCACAGATTAACGCTCAGATTAAGAGTTTTCCCGGTCTCCTCAGGCAACGTCTCCCTGAACGCTTCGGTCGGCACGCTATCGATGAGCCTGAACTCCAGCATGCAGGCTTCCTCCTGCTTCTCCTCCATTCAGCTGCTGGGCCTGGAGATGCTGCTCCACTACTTCCTGGGACCGGAGGTCGTTGCTGCTGCAGCAAAGAACAAGATTATGTTAAATCTAGGTGGGTGAGAGACGCACACCCGCCGTCTGCCATCAGTCGGGGGGTCTGACCAAGTCTGGAGTCATTACTGTCTGGATTATCATAGAAAATATCCAGTTTGTCATGTAGTTGTAGGAATAGATGTTTCCAGTTTAGTAATTTTTCTGCCCAAAAACCATAAAGTTAAGACAGTCTTTCCTAAATGTAGCTCTTCCTTAAACAGTCGGGTCGCCCGATTGGATCAGGGAGTTTATTAATGTGAACGTTTTGCTTTTTCCAGAACCTCTGAATCATCCGCTCCTCTCTGGTGCTCCATCCTTCATGAAACACGCCGCCGTGCTCCTCTCCAACATCAGAGACGGCTTCACCGCCATTGGCAAAGAGGCTCCAGGTAAATTCTACCTACTGGATCATCTGCTGGATCTGGATCTGCTCAGGGCGCCGACTTTTCCTTTATTTTAAACTCAGTTTCCTGATTCATCAATTTTATGGAAGTTTACCGATACCTTTTATTTATTTTTTTTTAATCTTTTTCTCATTTATCTCCAAGACAAAGCAGAAACTAGCTACTAGTCGTGTCGATGGATGTTCAGTTCTGTAGCTTTTATTTGTCCCCTTTCACACATAAAAACACATAAAATATTTTAACAAGATAAAAGTAAAATGGAAAACTGTATATCATATACCAGTCTAATGTTTACATTTTATCCCTGCTGCACCTTAAGAAATGGAAATGCATTGATAGTTGTACTGAATGAAATTTTGTTTTGTGTACAAAATGACAAAGTTTGTCTGAGTCAATTTGGATATAAAGCAAATCAAATGGATTTATAGCAGAAAATAAGATACTTTCATTAATAAATATTATGTAAAAGACTGAATTAGGGCTGAAACAATTAATCCGATTAATAATTTTCAACTGATTTAGTTAAGTGGAGTATAGAGACTGTAAAACATGCCTTTAGCTGACAGAGCGACCCACTTAGAGCAGGAATAATATGAAAATTATTTTAAAAAATTGTAAACATTTCCATTAGTTTGCATCAGCGCTGAAATCTGATCCGGATGTTGGAATCGGTGCGTCTCTTCTCAAGTTATCAGTATTTAAAACGGTGTCTGACGCTTCAGTTTCTTGTTTTCAGAGCAGCAGAGCTCCGCTTCCAGACCAGTCTGGTCGCTAAGCTAACTGGAAGCCACTTCCAGTCCTGATAAAGCCTGGAGGCAAACCTCATAAAGACTTCCTGCATGCTAACAGATACCCTTTCCTTTCTCTTGTTCTTCCACAGAGCCGCTGTTAGCCGTCATTTGGACCAGTCTCGTCCGGTTCGTCAACTTGACTATAGACTCAGGTAAGCACCTCTGCTGCCGGCGTTAAACACAGGAAGGCTGATAAAGACTGTTGACTGGTTCTGGGTCAGGATCTGCTTCTCTGATCAGGAACTAAGCCGATGAAATAGAGTAAAGGATATAATCACTGCTGCCTAATGCTGCGTTCACACCAATCAGAAACACTCAAACGCTGAAATCTGGACACTGGGTCAATCTGTGGTCAAGTTGCTTTGATGCGATCTGGCTCCTCGGAGCTCCGGTTGTTGATCTGCTCCATTACGGAGCTTCAAGCCAGAGAGCAGCTCGGCTTTATTTACTTTGAGTTGAAAAATAGTTTTAACACATTTTTAAGTGAGAAAGGAGGCCCCCTGCAAACATCCTCTGTTTAGTCAGTCAGGATTATGATCCCACTAGCATACGCGGTTATTCTATGGAGAACCAGAACACCAGCATACCGCTGAAAACTCTCTGCTACGGCCAGCCGCTGGGGGATTTCCTGCTGCTGTGGCTGGAAGTGAATAGAAAGAGTTTTTAAAGGAAAAGTCTGGTCAGCAAGGAATAATCAAGGGATCATTATTTATACCTAAAACTAGTGATTTAATGAATTTAGCATTAATCAGTAAAAAATAAAAAGATAATTTTCGTTGCGATCACGGAGTCTGGGAGCGGCCATTTTTGCCCAAATATAGTAGCCCCTCCCTCCTGCCATCTTCCAGCAGTGACGTCACGGTGCGGTAAGCCTAGCGCCATTCTCCCCGCTTTCCAAGCTAAATCAATGGGAACTACTAGACACATCTGCAATCAACAACAATTATTGAAGATTTCCAGAGGACTTCACCATTGAAATTCACCAGAGCTATAGTGAAACTGACAATGCCCACGTGCATGGCAGCTGGATGCTGGAATACATCGGGTAAAAGTGAAAAAAAAAGAGTTATTCCACCTTTCTGATTCCTGATCCTCCACGGACATCGACAGAGAAAAAACCCGTAATATGTAGCCAACATTTGGAAGAAGAATGTTTTCAAGATGACTTGGATAATAGCGCGTTGTGACAAACACCAGATACAGCACTGGGACTTGATCAACAGCCGATACCGCACCGTGACGTCACTAACCAGTAGGTGGCAGTAGTGTTCTTTGACAAACATGGATGCCTCCAGTAAAGCACATTCACATGAAAATTACTCTGAATTAAAAACACTGATCATTTATTGAACAGGATGGAATAATTTCATATTTAAAGAACTTTCAGAAGTTTGAATTCTGAATATCACCAGACTTCTTCTTTAAGGTTTGTGGTAAAAACCGCAAGTACCAGATTATACAATGGCATATTTTCCGTCAACAGGTTTTAACTAGAGATGGAGAATCCAGGTCCAGGAGCTGAAAACCCTTCCTGGTTTTTCTTCATCCTGTTCACTCAAACAGCTGATTAGCTCCCGGTCTGTGTTTCGCAGCTGGAAATGCAAATAGTTTTTGCCTTTTTGGACCTGGAATGTCCACCTCTAGTTTTAACATTTCTAGTTAATTAGGTTATTTCTAAACTGTTTCGAACTACTTCATAAAAAATGTTTAAGTGCATTAATAATGATGAGAGCTCTCCCTCTGTTCCTTTTACATAACAATCCATCCTCCGGCTTTTGTTTAACCTTTGGAGTTTGACTCCTTGATATCTATTTATCGCTCTTATGCAGAAGTGATGACAGCTTACAGGTAGTGTCTGTCTCGCCCAAAAAAACTCCTGGATCAGCTTTTCTGATTGGTTGATGCTCTGACGTCCAGCGGCAAAAGTCAAATTTACTGAACTCCAACGCTCCCGGCGCTCGGACTCCAGCATTCGTTGAAGCCCAGATGCTGGAATGTGCTGCTGGACCTCTCAATGCCGCCCCGCGCAGACTTAGCATCTAATCCAGACTCTTTCATGCCCACAACGCGCCCAGTGTGAATGCAGAATTAAATGCCTTATCTTTTTCTCCATGCTATAACCGATGTACCGACTCCAAGCAGGGGGCGGTGATGCAGCTTTGCCAGTTGTGAAGGTTTAAGCCAAGAATACACTGTGCCATATTTTCAATTGTTGCACGCAGCTACAGTTCACACTAGGGGTGTAAATCACAACCATCATGGCGATTCGATTCAGTATCGATTTCCTGACCCGACGATTCGATTATTTACGATACTCAAGAATACACCACGATATGATTAATTGTTTTTTTTTTTTTTTTTTTTTTTACACCTTACAGGCTAAACAATGTTTCAATTTTGAAATAAATCAATGAAAGCTGTAATATCATTATGCTTTTTATTTGAGAAACAACAGCAAATAACAGAAGTAGAAAAGTTGTACTCCACCTATTCCTATTAAACCTCATTCAATGAAAAATAATAATCCCCTGCGTTATAGATTCTGAAGGCCTCGCATCAAAAAATACTGCAGAAAATCAGTGCAATGAGTGCAATTCAATACCTCAGCTCCAGACGTCCCGCCCCCTCCACAGACGCTCCGCTGCTCCTCTCCCAGATTGTAGCTGACCGCAGACAGCGCCGCAGACAGGAGGCCGGCTTGTTTTGTTTTTATGACCAAAATTGCGGAAAACAACTCGTGAAATTTGACCCGCTAGAAGAGCGAGATGTGCGAGAACGCTGGGACCCTTTTTCCACCTGGATCTCCGCTCTTTTTGGCCCTCATGTCCCTCCGTCGTCGGACTAAACTCGCCCCCACTTCCTCGCCGCCTCGGCCGTATCTAGACCCACAGTGTGTAGCACAGACCACGCTTCAATATTGAGCATAAATCAAAAATGTCTGCATCAAGCTCACTGCGACACACTGCTGTAAGAGTATAACCAGGAAGCGCGGTAGGAGGGCAAAATAGGTTTAGCGCCACCGCAGCACGGGAGGAGAATTACGTCCAGGAGCAAATGGATTCAAAAAAACAAAACATGAATCGATTCTCTTGCGGACGTATCGATACATCGGATCGTCGGCTGTTGGATCGATGCATCGATACAAAACCATTATTATTTACACCCCTAGTTCACACCGTAGTCTAAAAACCAGGTGGGACTCCGCAGTGAGATGGCGCTACTCGGACTCGTCTATCCGGAAGCCAAACGAGTAGAAGAGGAATATGAAGCTCACTAGAGTGAAACGCGATTTGGGCAAATTTGTGCTGAAAGCCCTAAAAAGAGAAGGAGACGACGTATTTGGACAAAGACATGGCTGAGCAAACGTGGCTACTACGTTTTGTCAGTTTGACAGAACTCCATTTAACTCATTGCCCCCCCGCCATGCTGCTGGGTTTTCATCTGAAAGGGAAGAAGAAGAATCCTTATTTTTCCACTGAGCAATTTGCCCACGACCACCTTACGACGGCCGACTGAAGTCCACACATGTTTGATTTTCTCCTGACCTAATGATTCCTGATGGGGAGGTGGTCGTTAGAGGCTGATCGCCCCTCGTTACCCCCTGTACTCTACACCACGCACAATCAGGCTGAAAATTGGCCCAATCGAAACATTCTTGCATGACTGAAGAATCGTCCCAAAAAAAGGCAAATAAATCGTACAGTGTACGCCCGGCTTCACAGGATGCTGCAGGTATCTGCTGGTTGAAATGTTGCTATAGAGATGCGTAGCTTCTGTGGCTGCTGCTCTGCAGGAGGACTCTTTAGTCGTGGGTCCCGCCTCGCAGCTCCACATAGAGAATTCTGATTGGGTCGTAGAAATCCTCCCGAGACGAAGATCAGCGAGACCACATCCTCGTCTCCGCTGCGACCCAGTCTCAGCATCGTCATCAGTTTAAGTCTGAGCCTCCGGATCTCTGATCTAGGCTGCTGTGAGGACAGGAAAACGCTGAGGGCCCAGCGCCCGATGATGATGATGATGATGGTGTTTCCTCACATCCTGACCGATCCGTAGATGTTTGTGTAAGGTGGGACTGATGAACTTGTTTTCTCTCAGCAGGCAGTAAGAAGGATCGTCAGGGTTGCGAGGCGCTCACCCTGATGCTTCAGACACTACAGAGCATCGTAGCCTCCGAGGCGCTGCCTGCTGACCGAGTCCTGGTAAGAAAGCGAGCAGAATGCCAAATCTACAGACAGACACAGTTCCAATTCTAAAAATAAAAGTTAAACAATCCACTGGACCTTGCTCCCAAGTTTGAAGACATTTCTCTTCCCATCCAGGAAGCTTTTTCAATTCAAAATGTCAGAAATAGTATCGAGTTCCAGGATTTATAGAGTGGACCAAAGCAAAGCCTCGTTTTTGTTTAGAAAACATCAAAATTGAAACGGATAAACAAGTCCACCCCTTTGGAATGGGTTCGTTTGACTTCTTTTGTTAGCCTGCGATGCCCCATACCTGTCTGTTTTTGAAAGGGGGGGGTCGTTAAAGTCTTCAGGAAATTATGTTTAAATTTCAAATCATTCTGCTTAAACATGTATATAAATTAGGGATGCACGATATTGGGATTTTGGCCGATATCCGATATGCCGATATTTTAAAACTCATGTAGCCGATAACCGATATCGATACCGATGTTAAAGCTGGACAAAAATAAGCAGTCATTGAAAATAGCAGTTTTGTTATCCATTTCTGACACTTTGAAAAATAATATACTCAAATATATTTTCATATGCTGATATCAAATTGATTTTTAAAAACGCGGTATCGATCTATTTTACTTTCAAAATCTGGTGAAATTTAATCGTTCTGTTACAAACTCTCGTGATATTTTGCAAATTCTTGTGAGATTTTGTTAGTAAAATAGATCGATACCGCGCCAATATATCAACATATAAAAATATGGCAAAATTTGGTGAATTTTCGGGGGATTTCGTAGCATAACGATGACATATAGCAATATTTCATTAGTAAAAGAGATTGATATGGTGTTTTTAAATGGCAATATATCAGCATATGAAGATATTGGGATATTTTAATGGATCAATATTTTTTCCCTCGTCTTTAGAAGTTTTTAAGTCTGTAAAAAAGAAGTTTTTGAGGAAGAAGTGGTAGTATTTTTTTTTTTTTTAGACTTTAGAAACTCAGAAGCTGATCAAATATCGGGTTACATATCGGTGGGGTGGCCGATGTCCGATATTCAGTTTTAAGGCCGATACCGATAGGGGGCTGATTATATCGTGCATCCCTAATATAAATGTACTCCTTATCAGACCATATTGTCCTAAAAGTTAGAAAATGTCTATTTAAAAAAAAAATCCTCTGTTATCATCTGTGGGTTTTTTCTCGTTATCCTCTGCAGGCCAGTTAGTTCTACGTCAGCCTGAACACCTAATTTCGGCCAATCATATATCAACGGTCATCTGTCAATCAAATTTTTTCGGTCATAGCATCTTGATTCATGTGTCGCAGCTAATATACGCAACGGTTGAAATCAGAATCCTTTCCTTTCCCATTGAGTTGCGTCCCAGTGTTCACGGGGATGGACGTCTGTGTCTTCAGCAGGCGTAGAGCTAACAGAACTGGCAGCGTTGCGAGGCAAGGGCTCAAACATGTACGGCTGGAAGCCTTCTACACCAAACCAAGCTTCTGCCGCCCTGGCGTCCTCTTCCACAACATCTTCGTCCCCGCTTTCCTCCTCTAAATAAAAAATGGATGACGGAGGAGACTCATCCACGACCTCCGACACTAAACTCTCCTCCTCTTGTATGTTTCCTCTGTCCATAGCGTTCCTTGACAGCGTCGTTTCTAAGGCACCAATTTAGTGCTACTTGGTCCCAATGGAATTTCCCATTGGGAACCTACTAGCACTAAGTTGCTAACTGGTTAGCAACATGCTTCCGACAAACTTGCCACAACCAAATATGCAGACTTCCGCCACAACAATCCCGCCCCCTTGATAATCGACCAGTCGCATTCACTTTATTCACTCGTGTAAAGTTGTTCACCACTGGGAGAATTCAGAAATGCAACATTTTGAGCAGACGCTTCCCTACGACTTTAAAGGGAATTGTTGACGAGAACAGGCGATGTCTTCTGTTCTCCTGTAAGGTGGTTGGGGTTGCGATGATAGCGGGATGGAATCTACAAATTTCAGCTTTCAGAAACCTAAATGCAGCGATAGAGTTGATTCATTCCCGCTATCTCGCAACCCCAACCCTTTTACAGGAGAGCAGAAGACCTCGCCTGTTCAGCCAGGCCAACAATTCCCTTTAACGACCCCCCTTTCAGAGACAGAAACATTTATGGGGCATTGCAGGCTAACAAAGAAGCCACATGACCCCCAATCCAAAGGGGTGGACCCATAGCCTCGTGAGACCATCCTGATCTCGCGAGCTTTCAAGGTTTCACTCGCAGATCAGTCTGGAGACTCTCCATCGAAGAAAATTTGGAGCCGTTCACCAAACGAACGTCCAATCAGCGTTGGCTTTGAGGCGGGTTGAGGTGTGACGCAACGAGAAGCGCGACAGTTCAGTCTAAAGAACATGGCGGCTTCAGCCGATGAAACTAGCGTTAGCGTGGCTATCGAGCAAGTTTTATCGGAATTAGAGTATTTCTTCACTGAAAGAAGAGCAAAACACTGCTCTGGAGGCTTTTCTCAGAGGAAAAGATGCTTTTGCTCTTCTCCCGACTGGTTTCGGCAAGAGTTTGATCTATCAATTGGCTTGTGCCTGGCTTGTGGTTGTGTTTTCGTCGTCGCTCTGTTAGTACGTCATATGCTTGGATGATCTGATTGGTTTATTTGGCCCGTCTATCACCAACATAGGCCAATCAGCTAACCAGTATATTCCCCCCTTGCCAAAATTACTTCAATGGAAGGTTGCCAGATGGATATGCGGAGCAAATCCATCTGGCGGAGTCAGGTTAGTGGACCCGTTCATCCGTTTCTATTTACATGTTTTCTAAACACAAGGGTTTGTTGGGCTGCTGTATAAAGCCTGGAACTCAACGCTATTTCTGACATTTTGAATAGAAAAATCTTCCTGGATGGAAGAGAAACGTCTTCAAACTAGGAAACAATGTCCGGAGGATTGTTTTGTTTTTTTCCCCAAGTATTTTGGAGTGACAATGACCTGGATGACTGAGAATCTCCACCAGCACACAGTGTCGATGTAAATGAGTGGCTGTGCTCTCCTTCAGGTTCTGCTGAAGGCCACGCTGAAAGGTCTGCCTCAGAGGGTCCTGGGCTCGGCTTCCTACCAAGTGGGCAAGATGGACGTGCTGAACGTGAGAATATCGCGAGGCTTCGGTCCTTGTAGGTGTGCTGCATTCTGGGTAACATGCTGCCATCTCTGTCTGCTTCCTCAGGGGACCCCGGCGCTCTTCCTCATCCTCCTCCTCTTCAACAGCGGCAGGCTGCCGGCCTACGTAGAGGACGAGAGGTTAGTCTGGGCTCCTGTTTGAGCAGAAAACCAGGGGGACGTTAAACCGGATCCAGCCAGCCTGACGCGTCTACTTGTCCGTTTGCAGGTTTTTCCACTGCCTGCAGTCGCTGGTCACCTGCGGCCTGACCGGACCCGCTTCTCCGCTGGCGTTCGCCGAGGCCGTGCTGAGCGCCATGAGCAGCTGCGCACCGTCTCTGCAGAACAAGGAGCAGCTGTGCAGGATGTGGAGCTCAGTGGTCGGCCCTCTGACAGACACCATCACACAGGTGGGGGAGGGGGGTAAGACTGGTGAGGGTTTCCAATGGCAACCGGACCTTCCTGTGATGCTACGTTTACACCGTAGCAAAAAAAGCTTCTGCCGCTTCTTTATTGATGCTTATCGTTATTGAGGTCAGCCGTCCAGTAAAGTTTCTCCAGATGCTTCTGCTGCTCCTGTGTTCAACGCCAGAGAGCAGCTTTGCTATATTAGCTGTGATCAGCGGGTAAAAAGTAGTTAGAATCTTTGTTGAAGTGAGAAAGTCCTCCTGAAAACATGGTCTGTGCAGTCAGTTCATCCAGATTACCATCCTGCCTTCAAAGATTATTTCTCTGTGGGAGCCGCTCAGACCCCCACATACCGGGGGGGTCGCTGTCACTGGGAATCCCCAGCAGCAGCTGCCTCAGGCAGATCTTCTCGGGGCCCCGCCCTTTCTTATGACGTCATCATATGGCAACTCCACTCGGAAAAACTGTTTTGCACCCTTTTCTTAAGAATCTGATCTCTGCCGGAGTCTCAACATGTTATGACCTATATTTTCTATTTAGATTTAATCTGCGATCTAAAGTAGCCGAAAGTAGAAAATGATAGTCAGTCTTGAAGGAATATTTTTGATGTGTGTATGACGTCATTCGCGCGCGCCGGCCACCATTCATTCATCCTGTCCGCTGAACTGCTGCTAGTTTTCCTCCCATGCCTGGAAGATGTCTAGTGCTGCTACCACAGATGATCTCGCTCTCCAAATGGAATTGAACCATTCAGATTAGCTAGAATGAATAGAAGAGGTAGAGCGTAGGCCCGGTCTGCCTGTTACGACTCCAGTCCGGCGCGCTGATGACGTCATAGACGCGCCACTTTGTTTTAAAAAATATATAACCTCGGATGTCTGTCCGGGACAGTGATTGGCCTCCATGTTATGAATGCTGGCGTACCATAAAGAATAAATGATGAACAGTTTAGTTTGTGCCTTCAAGTCGTTGCCCATAGGAAGACGTTACTGGATATAACCTAACGGAATATCTTCAGAACGGCTCCAAATGACACTAAACTCATATGGGTGAGTAGAACATGAAAAAAAACGGTGGTCCCCTTTAAGATCTGAGGATAGATGGGACATCTTAATATAGATTTTAGACATAAAAACAGTTATTCTACTTGTAGAAATCAAACGGTTATGGAAGAAAAACAGTCTCATTGGAATCTGCAAACTTTTTTTCTTTATTTCTGCCAGCTGAGATCGGCTCAGTTGTTTCACCCAGTCTGATAAGAGGAAAAACTCTTAATAGCTGTCTGTTAGTAGCTAACTGACGTGTAATAATTCTGTTTAACGAAAAAAAAAATTCCTCATTTAGCCGGGAACAGCGCTGAGCGCAGCCGTTGTGTCACGTGACCAAATGAGCTAATTTCATTGGCTAAGATAAAAATTGAGTGTAAGGAATTCGATGTCTAAAAGAAAAAAATCCGTGTTTAAAATACGGTGTTAAAAAAAGGCAGATTCCTATGAGACCAATTTAAAAGTAGTGTAGCTTAATGTGGCTAACTAAAAGAGCTAAAAGAGGCTAACCTGTTAGCTACTGAGCACAGCTAGCCACAGCGCTACCCAGCTCTTTATATCATGGTCGAACACTTACTTTATTCACCCGAAATAGTAATAAAACTTCATCAGTCATTAGACAAGCTAACGCTACAGATGCTCCCAACTTAGCACACTGACGCTGCATTATATTATCGTTGTCTGGGCAACCACAATGTTTTACATCATGGAGCATCGTTCAGCCAATCATTTAGTTTAAGGTCACTGGTCACCGAGCAGATCTGGTAGCTACAGCGCTCGCCTCTTCTCGGTTTTCCTCTGCTGTTGGTGGCGGCTGGAAGTAGATGACGGGAAGTAGAGCATTCACGCTAATGCCTGCTTTGGAGAGCGCTGGTGTTCTGTCAGACCAGCATACCCCGTCAGACCAGCATACCCCGTCAGACCAGCATACCCATAGTCAATACGCATGCACAAGACTTCAGATTTTCGTTTCTCTTTAGTTTTGTCCAAAAAATAGGCTTTGAACGACCTCAATGGGCGTGTATCGATTTAGTCATGAAAAAAATAATAATTTATGGTCAAATCGCCATAAGCTTCACAGGGTTCCTACAGCATAAGGCAAGTTAAATTCAAGAATTTTTAAGACTTTTTAATGCCACTAGAAATAAAAATTTAAGACCAAATTCACAAGAAACACAAGAAAAACCAGCTTGTGACAACTTAACCCAAAGGTTTATTTTAACATAAACCACTGCACTAATGTTTCAAATTTTGAAAAGCTTCCCAAACATGAAGAAAGCTAAAAACACACAAATGACAGATATAATTTAACAATTATTTAACTGAATTCACAAACTTTGTTTTAGCAGGGAACAAAACAAATCAGTTTTAAAGCCCCAACATAACCAGTGCTAAGTCTTTTTTGCAGCTATTTTTCTTTGTATGGTTTTCTTAGTCCTATTTATGATGTTTTAAAAATTAAGACCTACGAAAGACTGATTTAAGGCCTTAGTTTTATTTTGAAGAATTCAATGCCTTTTAAGACTTTTTAAGGACCTGCAGGAACCCTGGCTTCAAAAAATACCAAATAGTAAATAATTAAATAGATTTTTTTGTACATGACTAAAGGGACACACGCCCATGTTGCGCATGCGTATTGACTATGGGTATGCTGGTCTGATCGGGTATGCTCACCTGATAGAACACCGGCCCGGTGATTTGGGCGTGGCGCTCAGAATCCTGAGGTTTTAAGTCAAAGCCCCACTTCCACAGACCGCCACTCTGGGTCCCTGAGCAAAAAAGACCTTTAACCTAGGGCTGGGCGATACAGAAAAAAAGCTTATCGATAAAAAAAAAATGCATATTGATCGATATCGATAATTATTGAAAAGATTTGAAACCATATTTTATGTGCAGCTCTGCCTGGACTTTTTATAATATTGCTAAATTAATTAATTTTAATAAAAAACACAAACAGACTTCGAATTAAATCTTTATTTAACCAACTTTTTTAACCATAACAGAATTGTTTTAAAGAAAAATAACTTAAGAGACCTGGGTTATGTTATTAAATACTGACAAAGAATAAACTACAGTGATCAGAAAAGTGACCAAAATAAATATAACAAATAAATAAATGCCCCCCCACCGCTGCCCCCGTTTCCTGCTTTAACCTGAGTTATTACTTTGAAGTTGCTGGCCCCTCAGCATTTTTATCTCAATTGATTGTGAGAAACTGCCCAGAACTGAAAATATATATATATATATTTTCCCGAAATTCCCGAAGATTCCTCGGAGGAGAGCCGCGCCGGGGCCTACACAGCTCGTACTCCTGCGGGTGTGAGCGGCTGAGATGATAAAAAAAAAAAAAAGTTGGTTTCGTTATCAGACTGGTTTTCACTGGTTCCCGACACATTTTCCAGATGACTGTGGTTTGTTTTTTGTCCGACTTGCCATGACCGAAATACTGCCAGACTGCCGAACTACAAAAACCCTTCTTTGAAACAATTTCCTCCGCCTCTCCTTGCTGCATCTTCATGTGCTCTGTGTTGTGGTTTGAGAGGGCGGCGCTTGGTGACGGCGTGCCTGGGTCCGCGATTGTGATTGGTTGGGAGGAAGCAGTGACTAGCATAAACCTACATGCTAGGCTACAATGAGAAGGAAGGAAAACTGCGTTTCTTTTTTATCGACCCTCTTTTTTTCATTTGCGCCACACGTCTATCGATCGATATATATCGTTATTGAATTATCGCCCAGCCCTAGTTTAACCCCACACTGCTCCCCAGGAAGCAGAGAGTTTATTTTGCTGCTCTGTACTTTGACATTTAAGAATAATTTTTTCCAGCATTTTATTAAATTTGAATAAATGGTTATTTTATAAAAATATAATAAATCTGGGTGTAGCGGAGCACCATGAAGCTGCAGGAACGCCCTGGATGAACGTCTGGAATTCTCTCCACAGTCGAATGAAGTGAACCAAGGAGACGCCCTGGAGCACAACTTCAGCGCCATGTACGCGGCCCTGATGTTCCCCGTCAGTCACCTCCTCCACGGCTCGCTGCTCCAGCAGGTCTGTCCACGCTCCCTTTCCTCAGGTCCTCCCCTCTGTCACGTCTCTGCTAACCCGCGTTACCGCTGTGACCTCAGGCGTCCCAGAAGGCCGTGCTGTCCTCCTGGTCCAAGCTGTACCGCGTGTTCGCCCGCTGCTCCGCTCTGGTGGCGACGGCCGAGGAGAACATCTGCTGCGAGGAGCTCTGTGTGAAGATGGCTGCGGCCGTAGACAGAGCGGCGCTGGCGGTGAGTGCCGAGGGGGGGGAGGAGTTAAAAAAAAGACCTTCTGTTGTATTTATGTCGTCTGCGTTGATCCTGCAGGTCCCGTCGATTCTGCAAGCCGTCTGCAGCATCCTGCAGGTCATGGTGGAGTGCATGGACTTCTCTCCGTACACGCCCACCTTCCAGCAGAAGCTGAAATGTAAGTTGTGGAGCTTTTTCTTTTCTTTTTGGGCGCCAGAGAGGATTCAGCTCGATTAAAACCCGTTTGCCTTCCAGCTCCTCACACTCTGCTGCACTGGGCGCGGAAACGGAGCAAAGCCCTGGGGAACCTGTCCACCTTCGTGTCCCTGCTGGCCCAGTGTCTGGAGGTTTACGCCGCGGCCCCGGAGGATTCCTCAGAGGCCGCCGGCTCGGCCCTGGCCTCCGTCGTCTCCACTCTGTTCGCCAACCTCATCCTCGCCAACTGCGTCACCGAGGCGCTGAGCGCCCTCGTTGGGCCGCTAACGCTCCTCTACGAGCACGCGGCAGGAGAGAGCTGCAGGTTCTCTAGCCACCTCCAGGGAAAGGTTGGTACCACAGCAAACATCTTAGCGCCGGGGGGAGGGGGGGGTCTGTAGGTGCATTAAAAGGTTCCTGTGGCTCCTCCTCAGCTGGAGAAGCTCCTCTCTGAAGTCCTGGGCTGCCTGCAGTCGCGCTCCCCCGTTGCCCATGACGACGAGCTGCTGGCGCTGCTGTCCCCTCTGCTCTGCGTCGTCTTCCCACACAAGAACAAGCACCTGCGCGCGGCGGCCACGCAGTTCTGGAACGCCACCTTTGCCAACACGGCCAGCCTGGCGTATCCTGAGGAGATCAGGTGAGTGTTGGTGAGGGGGGGGGGGCATCGTACCACTGCCAAGGCGCAGCTGTAACCTTTTTCCTCCCTCAGACCCGTGCTGAGCCAGGTGAAGCAGAAAACTCCCATCATCCTTCCCGGCTTCCAGGCCGTCAGCGTTCCAGACGAGCTCAGTGAGAACGGCTCGGTAAGTCGCTTCCCGTTAGTGTCTCTTTAAGTCCTTCAGGCGGCTTCCTGACTCCATCTTTGCAGGTTCAGAGTGAGAGCTCTCAGCTGGAGACCAAGCTCAGCGGGATGCCCATGTCTTCGGCCGGGAAGAGGGACTCCATGCTCGCCAAGCCGGACGCCAATGACAGGAGCTCCTCCAAGGTGTCCAGACCCGTCTCGGTAAGCTCTAAGCCAAAGGTCGCTCATCTGTCGGCTTGATTTCCATTCAGATCCTGTTCTGTCCGTTTGCTCTCAACGTTTCATTCCTATGCTTGATCTTTTTTTCTTTTCCAACCCAGGGAAACTAGCTCCATGTTTACAGGTGGTGTGATGTCATCATTCCAGTTAATTGCTCTTCCCTTGAAACATCCAGTCTGTGTCAAAGTGATGAATTTATCTTTATTTTAAGTCTTAAAATCCCCCAAAGATGAGAACATCGTCGTTGTTAAATGCTTTAGCGCACGGATTGTTTACATTGAGATCGGTCTAATTAGGAGTACCAATATGGCGGCCGGTGGCTTCACTTCAACCCAACACTACAAACAGACAATCAGCAACCAGTGAATAGAGATCAGTGGTTTAATCCTGACTTCTGACTGGATCAGTTTAAGTTCATTTAAAATTATCACTGGTTATCGTAGTGAATGGTTAAAAATCCGGTTTACCCCCCAGGCCTAATATCGATGCAACTACTTTGTTGTATTTAGATTTTATTTTTTTTTACAGTATAAAATACATAAATTAGTGCTGTCAATCGATTAAATTTTTTTAATCGCATCAATGCCTAAGTTAACTCCCGATTAATCGCATTTTAATCACACATTTTTTTATGATTGAAAATCATTTAAATACTCTCGATGACATACAAAAAATACATACAGGCTAGGTTTGTGCCAATGTTCTTTTTTTTAAATGAAAACAGGTCACAGACACTGATTTATGCCATAGAAACATATGGCAAGAAGATGGGGAGGCATGTAACAAAAAATAACAAATATGTAGCCAAAAAAAAGGCCCTGAAAACAGGCTGATGTAAAAGACAGTCTTTACAGTCAATACAGTCTTTTGAACAAAGACAAGCATTTTACCCTACTGCTATAAAATGTAGTACAGTTAACATTAGATGTTAATTAACCAAGATAATAATGAACAATTTTCAATCAATACATCAAAATCAATAGACCGACATCACTAGATGGAGGTAGTCTACGCTCTAGAAAGTTACTTTTCAGCCTCTTAACAAAAATGAGAACACACACAGACACACACGATACCGACCTGTGGCGTACACAGACAGCAAGAGTGCCGTAGCAGATTCCATTTCACCTCAGTAATCTGTTTTCTCAGCGTATTTCAGGTTGCTACTAGTTACCAGACACTCAACTTGTTTGTTGGTGGTGGGGCTTAAAGAAAAGGCACTAGCGCCACCCAGTGTATGAGCGTCTTTTTTCCTTGAGGAGCTCCGCTCTCGAAGCCTATGAGAAATGCATAGACTGGGGGAAAATAGCCCCGCCTTCCCGCAGGCTGCAGCGGGATGTACTTGGAAAATTGCACCATAAAACCACATAGCGTTAATCTCACGTTAAAAAAATTATCGACATTAAAATGGCCTCGCGTTAACGCGATAATAACGCGATAATTTTGACAGATCTAACATAAATGCATTTTACATTCCTAAGGAAGTATAAAAGCTCGATAAAAAAATCCTGACATGCATGAGGCTTATATAATTAATTAAAATATAATCATGTGCTTTTTTTTTCTCAACCTATTGTAACATTTATTCCTCTTGATGCAACAGAAAATGGCGTTTTAAGACGACGGCGGATTATCAAGTTAGTTTCTTGATGGATTAAATAAATCAACATTGAATTCATTTAATTGTTGCATCTCTTATCTAGAAAAGAAAATCTATGGGGATTTAAATCAGATATTTGAGTCTATGTTAGAAACTGCATCACGCTGAGGCAGGGGCGGATTTAGGAAATTTGGTGCCCTGGGCAAAGACAGGCAGGGGGCCCTCTGAATGGAGAAGACAACACATCAAACAGACCGATGGAGGACCAACTCTGCCATATTTACAAATAAATACAGAAATGAATAAATGCTCAATAAATGAATAAGCATACAATTAATTGCCCCTAAAAATACAATAAAAAAAAGATGTTGATAGAAATTAAATTATACAGTGAGACATAAATGTATATATCTCTTTTAATTAGTTTCTTTATTTATTCACATTTGTTATAATTACCTCATTTATTTCTTGTCCATTATAATCTTCAACTTTATATTTTTATTTTTTTTTTTTATATTTATGTGCATGCTATAATATTTTTGTCTGTATTATTCTTTGTATTTTTTTTTACCCAATTTATTTCTTCAACACTTTTTATTTCTGCCTGCCCTTTTTACATTTCTGTATGAAATTCTGCCTCATTATGCAAATGAAGGAGGGGGCGTGTCCTAGAGGGTCAGCTTCTGCTCAAGATAGAGGAGAGCAGGAGGCGGGCTTACCAATCTACTCGCTCTGGAGAGCAGAGTTCGCTGCTTTTAGATGAGACACACTGAATATTATCAGCTTCTGATGGAATTTTAGCCAAAGGATTTTTATCAAAAACATAATTAATATACATAAATAAGGAAAAGTTTTATTAACCATACATGTAAACAGAGTTTTATGGGGGCCCCCAGGAACTTGCCTAATGGTAAATCCCCTCCTGCACTAAAGGTAGAGCGGCACTGGAAGTCCGTTTGCTCTAAGCTGTGAAAGTCCGGCTTTTTCTAACCTTTAATTAATCATGCTTTATTTTCAGTTTCTTTAAACATGTTCACCACAGCTTTCATAATAAAGTGTTTATCATCGTCTTGTTGCTGAGACATTCTGGCCTTCATGCAGAGCTGCTCAGTTTCCACCCCTCAGAAGGAAGGAGCTTTTTCTGAGTAAAAACAGAACAAGGAATTCTCAGCTTATTTGTTGGGTTGTTCTAGCAGGAAGCGCTGGTTCTGAGAGAACTGCCCAATAAAAACGGTTTAAATCACCTTCATTCGTCTTCCTTCCTGCAGATGAAGCTGGACTTTGGTTCTCCCAAACCTCCACGTAGGGAGGTTCTGGAAGAAGAAGCTTCCATCGACTTCGTCTTCATCCCTCCTGAGACGAAGGAAAGGGTTCTAACCGAGCACCAGAAGGAGGTGAAAAGAACCAAAAGGTGCTTAGTTTGTTTGGTTTTTTTTGCCCTCTCCATCCTGATCGTCCTCCCTGTTGTTGACGTCCTCCTTCCTGTCGCACAGGGTGGACATTCCTGCCATGTACAACAACCTGGACGCCTCCCTGGACACCAGCGTTTTCAGTCAGTACACGCAGAGCCAAGACGACTCTTCGTAAGTTGGCCCATCAGCACATTTCTCCTCTGTATGGTTTAAAGCTCGTAACCAAATATTGTTCCCCTTTAGGGATAAAGTTCCAGCTGGACAAGCTGACGGCATTGTTACGGAGGCTCCCAGTGAGGTAATAGCTTAAACGTCTGCTCATTGCCTTCTTTTGTTTTTTTTTTCTTTAAATGAATACGCCCAAAGTTTGGTGTTCTCTTTTTACCCCGAAATTCCACATCCGCCGTATCCACACCCCATTAGACCGCCCGCCCAAAGCAAAGCCTACAGCCTCCGTGGTTCCTCCCGTCTTCATCCGCTCTGATTTCCTTGGAGCTCAAGGCGAGCGTGCGTGACATCATTTATTGTTCTTTCATAGGAGAAAAACATGCAGTAATGAACGCTTAGTTTAATGTGACATAATATAAACTCACCATCAGCATCTATCACGTGTTTCTGCACAAACATGTTCTTTTTGTTATGGATCTTTGTCCATCCATTATGCTTTTTTTTTTTTTTTTTGAGAAACGGCAGCAAATAACAGAAGTAGAAAAGTTGCACTCCACCTATTCCTATTAAGACCTCATTTACTGAAAAATAACACCCCTGCGTTATAGATTCTGCAAGGCTTTGCATTAGAAAATACTGCACAAAATCAGTGCAATGAGTGCAATGCAATACCTCGGCTCCAGACGCCCCGCCCCCTCCACAGATGTCCGCTGCTCCTCTCCCTAATTGTAGCTGACCGCAGACAGGAGGACGGCTTGTTTTGTTTTTTTGACCGAAATTGCGGAAAACAACTCGTGAAGTTTGACCCGCTAGAAGAGCGAGGTGCGCGAGAACGCTGGGACCCTTTTTCCACCTGGATCTCCGCTCTTTTTGGTCCTCATGTCCCTCCGTCGTCGGACTAAACTCGCCCCCACTTCCACGCCGCCTCGGCCGTATCTAGACCCACAGTGTGTAGCACAGACCACGCTTCAATATTAAGCATAAATCAAAGATGTCTGCATCAAGCTCACTGCGAGCGTTTCTCAATTCACGAGAAGTCAAGTCCGTTCTTGGCGAGAACGCAGGAAGATCGGACTTGACGAGAACGCGAGCACGCAAGCACGTATGTGTATTGGAACAGAAGCGTACTCGTGACGTCATCACATGCAACGTTCTTTAGCATTTCTTTAACAGTCAAAACAATTTATTCCCTACACAAAACATTTTGAAAACAATATTTTTATTTTCTAAAGCTTAAAAAACATTAAAAAAAAACCGAACCGCAAAAAAACGCCATCAGAAGGAGCGGTAGTTCACACATAACTAGACCGAGATAAGTGCACTACAGACGGGGTAAATTTAGCCCTGGCTGCGGTTACCCTCGGAGGTCTGCTGGTCACTCTGGTTCGCTCAACGTCGGACTTTTTTTTTTTAATTTCGCACTAACTCTGTAAACAGGCCAGACAGGGAGGCTTCAGTGTATAATGTTATCGCCTCAAACGATTTCAAAACGTACTTTAGAAGAACAACAGCAGCAGAAAAGGGAATGTTTAACTTACCACTGTGAGCGCTGTCTCCAATCAAGCTGCGGCCGCGGGGCATTCTGGGGAAGCGGTCAGTCTGAAGAACGCACAAGTCTGCTCTGATGCATGCTCGATAAAGAGGGCGGGGCGAGAACAACATCCGGGGATTTGATGCGTTCTCGATCTGGCGTTCTCGAGAATTGGAACGGTACTCGGGCTGAGGCTGATGACGTGTCACGAGTACACGAGCACACGAAAACGCTCAAGAACGCATATTGAGAAACGCCCTGCGACACACTGCTGTAAGAGTATAATCAGGAAGCAAGGTAGGAAGGCAGAATAGGTTTAGCGCCACCGCAGCACGGGAGGGAGAATTACGCCCAGGAGCAAATGGATAAAAATAGACCGGAGGAAAAAAACATGAATCGATTCTCTTGCGGACGTGTCGATGCATCGGATCGTCGGCTGTTGGATCGATGCATCGATACAAAACTATTATTATTTACACCCCTAGTTGAAACCAGGACCCTCGTGGTTTCAGTCACTTTGAAGCAGATCGGTTATCCGCCTCAGGACATTCTGAACGACCAGCTGAGGAGCCAGAAGCTCGGTTCCTATTTGATCTTTGGCAGAGAAAAATGCATCCACTGCTTTCTGTTGAGCCAGTAGGCCTCTCCTGGCAAAATGATCCACTCTGTGACTTATCAAAATGTTCGGTTTGTATTTCCGTCTCTCCTGACCGCCTGTTTCCGCTCATGTTTTTCAGGCGCAAAAGAAACCAACCGACTCTGCAGAGATTCATTTGAAAGAAACTCAAGTCGTCGTCGGCCCTGAAGGTACTGAGACGAAGAGAAGAAGCCCGCCGGCGGAGAAGAGCGTCCCAGACTCTGCAGATCTTCCTCTGCCGGGTTCTGATAAATGCAGCGAGGACAAAGACGTGGAGACAAAAGAAACCCCGAGTCCAAACACCTCCAGTTCATCTGATGTGGTCTCAGGGACTCCTCAGAAGCCCAGCAGCAGTCGGCGTCAGTCTTTCATCACTTTGGAGAAGTACAGTGAGGGAAAGCCTGCCAGTCCCAGTGGAGTCTCCTCCTTTACTGGTCCTCCTGTTAAGAGGTCTAACAGCCAAGATCAAGCTAGTGCTAATAAGAGGCAATCTCCTGAAGCCTCACAGAAATCTGCTGTTCCAGACTCTGCTTTAGGAGATTCTGGTCCCCGGTCTGAAAGCGAGTCTCCTCGGAGGCCCATAGAGTCCCGGATAAAAAGTGAGCCTGTAAGACTGATTGAGAGACTTCAGAGTGACTCTGACGAGGATGTCATCCCGGACACGCAGACCAAAACGGAGGTTCAGGGAAGCGCTGGCTCCTCGGAGGAGATGGATTCCTTCAGTCAGGATGAGGAGTCCCAATCAATGATGGATGATTCCCAAACGTCTCCAGGTGAGCCGAGACGATCCAGACGCCACAGAGTCAGACCTCTGCTCCCCGGAGAAGACCCCGAGGAACGCGAGGCGAAGTACACGCACGTCAAAAGGAAACGTTCAGGAGAAAGTCCCAAAAGTGACTCTTCCAAACCAATGCCAGGCAGACCCAACACCAGGAGCAAACAAGTCGTAGAGGAGAACAGCACCAGAGACCGGCTGCGGTCCAAGTCTCAGGGCAGCGCCGGCGAATCCACCCACAGGGACTCGCAGGGGAAACATCGGAAGAAGGTCAGACTTTACAGCCATTCGCAGGACCTCCTAGGGTCTGCTGAGCGCAAGCCGAGAAGCGTCGGTCAGCAGGATTCCAGCCTGACCCTCATCAAACCAGAAACCGGCTCCAGTCATGGAAGCACAAAGCACAGAAAGCACGACATCTTCAGCAAGGAGTCTGAGGCTGGAAGGACCAAAGAAGAGTCCAGCCAAGCTGCTGCTGAAGGTACGGTAGATCTGAAGGAGAAAGACGAGGCTCCTCCAGAGACCGGATCCCAAACGGTGGAAAGTTTACCTCAGATGGAAGAGTCCAAGACAGTAGAGCCGGAACAAAAGACTATACAAGAAGATAGACTTAAGAAAGAGCAGGAAGCTCCGACGTCTTCTCCACAAACTGAAGATAAACCACAAGAAAGGGTGGATTCTAAAGAAGAGTCCAAAGATGAAACCAAAACAGGGATGGAGAGCGAAACGACGCAAGACGCCGTTAATGCCCCCGAAGCAGAGATGGACATGTTCAGCCAGGAGGACTCTCAGGTCACCCCTCCATCCGCCGACGGTGCAATTAAACGGAGATCCAGACGGAGCAAAGCGTCCTCTGAGCCAGAAGACGAAGATGGTGGCGTGAACTCTTCCGGACGGTCCACCCGTTCTAAGACATCCACGCCTCTGGCGGTTCAGGCTGGAGCCGTAGGCAGGACCAGGAGGAGTAAAGTCCTGGAATCTAGTCCCAGCTCGACCGCAGAAGGCTCCCAGTCGTTAGAAGCGTCTGGGTCAGGGTCGTCTCGAGGCAGAGGCAGATATCCAAGAGGGAGATCCTCTCAGTTGCAGGCGGCCAGTGTGGAGTCGTCAGAGTCCGAGTGCTCCTTTAGTCCAGAGGTCTCCGTTCGCAAGAAAAGGGGGAGGAAGCCCAAAGCTTCTCTGCAGAGTCCTCTGACTCTGGATTCAAAGGAGCCCGGAGCGGACAGCCAGCAAGCAGATTCTCAACACTTTGGGACAAAGAATAGCTTACAAGAATCATCAGAGACGCAAGATCTAAAGGAATCAGAGCTGGTGGCAGAAACCAACGATGCTGAGGCAAAGAAGTTGGATTCTGAGTCCGAGGAGGCTCCGCCTCCACCAGCCGAAGAGAAGACTGGAACTGAAGACACTCACAAGGGTAGGCAGTCGCTGAGCTCCACTGAGCAGAGAGATTCAGACGCAGGAAAAGAGTCTTTCCAAGAAGTAGGAGCGGCTGAATCTGCTGAGCCAGGAAGCGCTCCCATACAGGGGGAGGAGCCACAGGTGATGGAGACCCCCGAGGAAAAAGCTGAAACATCTGAGGAGGGACTGAAGGCGAAGCGTGTGGAATCAGATTCAGACCAGCAGCAACCGTCCTCTCCTCCAGGGGAGGAGTCTCAGGAGGGGGAGGAGCTTCAGCAAGAGAAGCTTCAGGGGGACAAACTTCAGATGGAGGCGGGGCTTCAGCAGGAGGATCGTCAGGAGGAGGCGGGGCTTCAGCAGGACCAGGAGGAGTCTCTAAAGATCCCAGAAAAAGAACCGTCCGCTGATGGTGTCCCAGAAGAGGACGATAAAGACGTTCAAACGGAGACGACCACGGACAAACGCAGACAGGACCTGGAAGCTGAGCCGTCAGGCGGCGCTGCGGCGACCTCCCAGGCGCCTCATCAGGACTCTCCGCTCAAACAGAAGGACCTGGAGGCTGTATCAGAACCAGAAGCGGGACAGAGCCCCAGAAATGGCTGGATGAGGGGAACATGGTCGCCTTCAGCCTCCCCCTCCACCAGCATCCTGAAGACGGGCCAGAAGAGGCCCCTGGAGGTGGAGATGTCGTCTCCCGTCGTTAAGGTCTGCAGCCCAAACGGCCCCACATATAAAGTCAGACCCAGGCGTTTAAAATGTGTCTAACAGTTTGCTTCTTCTCACCCCCGCAGTTCCGCCGCGTGTCCTTCGCTAACCCCATCCAACAGCAGGAGACGGCTGATGATATCGATCGGCGCAGCCCGGCTCTTAGAACCAGCTCTCCCAGAAGGTCAAAGGTCGGCAGCATCCCTCAGCCGAAGGTATGGCGGCAGCTAGCGCGCCCTCCGGTCTGCCAGTGTGGAGAGGTTAATCCTAACCCTTCCTCTCCTCCCCTCAGCACATCACCACTCCAACTAAAGGCGGTCTGGTCGGGAGTCCCAGAAGTCTGCACAGTCCGAGTTACAGGAGCTCCAAGAAGTGCCTGGTGGGTCATGGTGTTCGCATCATGGATGATTGTGACCAAACATCGGTTCTGGTCCGACATCTGAATCATTAGACGGTTCAAAGGGGAACTATGATACAAAATTCACTTTAAGGATTTTATTTTTATGTTTTTGAAACAGTCCAGGCACCAAAATAACCTCCTGATGATGTAATTTCTATTCAGTTTATTTCTATACAGGTGCTGGTCATAAAATTAGAATATCATGAAAAAGTAGATTGATTTCAGTAATTCCATTTAAAAAGTGAAACTTGTATATTATATTCATACATTACATACAAACTCATATATTTCAGATGTTTATTTTGTTTAATTTTGATGATTACAAATGACAACAAATGAAAATCTCAAATTCATCATATCAGAAAATTAGAATATTACTGAAGACCAATAAAAACAAAGGATTTATAGAAATGTTGGCCAACTGAAAAGTATGAACATGAAAAGTATGAGCATGTACAGCACTCAGTATTTAGTTGGGCCTCCTTTGGCCTGTATTACTGCAGCAATGCGGCGTGGCATGGAGTCGATCAGTCTGTGGCACTGCTCAGGTGTTATGATAGCCCAGGTTGCTCTAATAGTGGCTTTTAGCTCTTCTGAATTGTTGGGTCTGGTGTATTGCATCTTCTTCTTCACAATACCCCATAGATTTTCTATGGGGTTAAGGTCAGGAGAGTTTGCTGGCCAATTAAGAACAGGGATACCATGGTCCTTCAACCAGGTACTGGTAGCTTTGGCACTGTGTGCAGGTGCCAAGTCCTGTTGGAAAATGAAATCTGCATCTCCAAAAAGTTGGTCAGCTGCAGGAAGCATGAAGTGCTCTAAAACTTCCTGGTATGTGGCTGCGTTGACCCTGGACCTCAGAAAACACAATGGACCAACACCAGCAGATGACATGGCACCCCAAACCATCACTGACTGTGGAAACTTTACACTGGACTTCAAGCAACGTGGATGAAGTGCCTCTCTTCTTTTCCTCCAGACTCTGGGACCTTGATTTCCAAAGGAAATGCAAAATTTACTTTCATCAGAGAACATGACTTTGGACCACTCACCAGCAGTCCAGTCCTGTTTCTCTTTAGCCCAGGCAAGACGCTTCTGACGCTGTCTGTGGTTCAAGAGTGGCTTGACACAAGGAATGCGACAGCAGAAACCCATGTCTTTCATACGTCTGTGTGTGGTGGTTCTTGAAGCACTCACTCCAGCTGCAGTCCACTCTTTGTGAATCTCCCCCACATTTTTGAAGGGGTTTTGTTTCACAATCCTCTCCAGGGTGCGGTTATCTCTCTTGCTTGTACACTTTTTTCGACCACATCTTTTCCTTCCCTTCGCCTCTCTATTAATGTGCTTGGACACTGAGCTCTGTGAACAGCCAGCCTCTTTAGCGATGACCTTTTGTGTCTTGCCCTCCTTGTGCAAGGTGTCGATGGTCGTCTTTTGGACAACTGTCAAGTCAGCAGTCTTCCCCATGATTGTGTAGCCTATAGAACTAGACTGAAAGACCATTTAAAGGCTTTTGCAGGTGGTTTGAGTTAATTAGCTGATTAGAGTGTGGCACCAGGGGCCATCAATTTTGAACCTTTTCACAATATTCTAATTTTCTGATATGATGAATTTGAGATTTTCATTTGTTGTCATTTGTAATCATCAAAATTAAACAAAATAAACATCTGAAATATGAGTTTGTATGTAATGTATGAATATAATATACAAGTTTCACTTTTTAAATGGAATTACTGAAATCAATCTACTTTTTCATGATATTCTAATTTTATGACCAGCACCTGTAGCGCCAATTCACATCATGTCATCTCAAGGCACTTTACAGTTTACCAGATCATCCAGTCAGATTGATTCAAAGTTTTCTATCTAAGGAAAACCAGCTGATTGCATCGACTCATTGACTCTTCAGCAATCCCTCACACCAAGCATGCTTGTAGCGACAGTGGAGAGGAAAAACTCCCTTTTAACAGCAACCCAAATTGAGCCTATCCCCTAATCTAGAGGAAACAATTTGCTTATAAATCACTTTGAAGTGGAACTGAAAAAAGACACAACTAATGGTTCGCATTATGGATGACCAAACATCGGTTCTGGTCTGACATCTGAATCATTAGACGGTTCAAAGGGGAACTATGATACAAAATTCACTTTAAGGATTTTATTTTTATGTTTTAGAAACAGTCCAGGCACCAAAATAACCTCCTGATGATGTCATTCCTATTCAGTTTATTTCTATAGCACCAATTCACAACACGTCATCTCAAGTCACTTTCCAGTTCACCAGATCATCCAGTCAGATTGATTCAAAGTTTTCTATCTAAGGAAAACCAGTAGATCATGTTGACTCTTCAGCAATCCCTCACACTAAGCATGCTTGTAGCGACAGTGGAGAGGAAAAACTCCCTTTTAACAGCATCCAAAACTGAGCCTATTTGCTCATAAATCACTTTGAAGTGGAACTGAAAAGACACAACTAATAGTTAGCATAATGCTAACCAATGCTGAGTTGGAAATCCCATAGAGGTGCTAATGCTATTTAGCACCATTTTTTTACTGGTTTGATTCTTCTGACCTAAAACAACCAAATTGTCCCCCGGAGCATTTTAAGCAAACCAGAACTTTATGAAAACATTTTTCTCTGCAGCTGAGAAGTAACAGAACAAATTCCTACGGTGGCCTTGTTGGACCAGGGTTCCCGCGGGTCCTTAAAAAGTCTTAAAAGGCATGGAATTCTTCCAAATAAAACTAAGGCCTTAATTGGTATTAAGGCCGGGACATTTGGGAGATGCACCATTAACTTTTTGTCTGGTAAATATGAGCAAGTGTAAATGGAACCAAAATTGTCTCCAGCCAAGAGTTTTCTCCATGGCTAAAACCAGGGAACATACATGAGGCTCAGTGGATTTAGTGCAAGAAGTCATTGAAGCTCAGAACGATGGGAATTAAGGCAGTGGAGTCGCACATGCGAAGCACGAAACACAAAGCGTCAAAATGGAGTTACGGAGAAACAGCCAGTATTTCTCAGTTTAGTTCCACCCTTGTCTCTGCAACGCCTCCACTTATCACCAAATCAAACATACTAAGAAAACCATACAAAGAAAAATAGCTGCAAAAAAGACTTAGCGCTGGTTATGTTGGGGCTTTAAAACTGATTTGTTTTGTTCCCTGCTAAAACAAAGTTTGTGAATTCAGTTAAATAATTGTTAAATTATATCTGACATTTGTGTGTTTTTAGCTTTCTTCCTGTATGGGAAGCTTTTCAACATTTGAAACATTAGTGCAGTGGTTTATGTTAAAATAAACCTTTGGGTTAAGTTGTCGCAAGCTGGTTTTTCTTTTGTTTCTTGTGAATTTGGTCTTAAATCTTTATTTCTAGTGGCATTAAAAAGTCTTAAAAAGTCTTGAATTTAATTTTATGCTGTAGGAACCCTTTGGACAAACTTGTCATATAGAAACTGCTCTCTGCTTCCTTGCTGGTTGTGCAGGAGGTTCAATTTCTTCAGCCTCTGGGTCCGTACTCAGTGAGAAAGAGAGGGATCTAAAAATTAGGAAAAAAAGCTAAATACAAAAAGAAAATATGAGAAAAAAGGAAAGTTTGTTTCAGTTTTTAAAGTGTAATTTCAGGATTGACTTTTTTCAAATTTCCATTAATTAAACATGATCTCTGCGTCAATAATGGTCCAAATTCCCTCCATAGGAATGTGGCAGATGTTCTGGTGGCTCTGAAAGCCATTTTCCCTCCCAGTTAGCTGCCCCTTAACATGCCTGCAAACTTAAACTCATTTTTTCCCTCCTCGTTGTTTTCATGATTGAATCAAAGCTGATTGGTGGAACTCTCTGAGCAGACTTCTTTGTGTTTCCCTCAGATATCAGAAATGAGTCAGGAGCCTCGAGCCGTGCCCAGAGACTGCATCTACCCCTCCCTGGTGGGCTGCTCGGCCCCCGTGGAGGCTGTGCTCACCCAGATTTCGTCCACCATGTGGTGAGAGCGGCCGGCACCACACTGTTTGGTTTGTTCGCCGTGAACCGGTTAGACGCTGCGCTAAAACGGTCGTCTGTCTGCTAACCCCACAGGTCCAGAGGGTTCGGGCAACTCATTCGCGCCAGAAACGTCAAATCGGTGGGCGACCTCTGCGCCCTGACGCCCTCCGAGATCAAGACTCTCCCCATCCGGTCTCCAAAGATCTCCAACGTCAAGAAGGCCCTGAAGATCTACGAGCAGCAGGTGAGACTCCGGTCAGATCGGGGCGGCAGCGATGGTTTACGTCATCGGCGAGTCGTTAACATCTCAGCTTTGATCGTACAGCGTAAAGGCAGAGGGGGAGACGAGCTGAAGAGTTTTGATGAAACGGAGAGGATGACATCTGAGCCGGAGGAGACGGGCGGCGCTCCCACCCCGGACGAGGAGGAGAAGACCTCAGCAGGTGAAGAACGAGCAGGAAATCGACAGACGGATTGTTGTGGCGTCTGCTGTGAAGCTGGTGTGTTAGCGGTTCGTTGTGGTGAAGAAAGAGCCGAGCCAAAAATCAAAGCTCTGGATTTACCGGTCGATCTACGTTCCTACCCTCATCTATGGTCGTGAGCTTTGGGTCATGACCGAAAGAACGAGATCCCGAATCCAAGCGGCTGAAATGAGTTTTCTCCGTAGTGTGTCTGGCCTCTCCCTTAGAGATAGGGGGAGGACTCAGAGTAGAGCCACATGTTGAGGTGGCTTTGGCATCTGGTTAGGACGCCCCCTGGTGAGGTGTTCCAGGCATGTCCCACCTGGAGGAGACCCAGGACACGCTGGGAGCGCCTTGCGATTCCCCCCGGAGGAGCTGGCCTAAGTGGATGGAGCGAGGGACGTCTGGGCCTCCCTACTGAAGCTGCTACCCCCGCGAGGAGAGGGGAGAATGGAGCAAAGTTAGCCACAGCGCTACCAGCTCTACCCCTTCATGTCATGATGTCGTCGCTACTTCTTTCACCATAAACACTTTTTTTTTTAGCCAAAACTACATTTCCGCCTAACATCCTGCCCACTAAAACCTTTATGGAATAAACATTTACCGTATTCAGTCCAATCTGCTTGAGTTATAGTCTAGATGTGGATCTATAAAGTCTGAGGGTTCATCTAGAGTTTCAAATGGGCTTTCATGGTGTTTTGCAGAGTTGAATTTGGAAAACAAATTTGGCGAGGTTGTTTAATCACCTATAAATCAGATATGGGGACATTTAAAATACTGGTTCCACGTGAAAATATTCCTCATTGCCTTTCTGTCATACAGATACGAACAATTGTATTTCCGATTTATAGTTTGGGAGCCGTGCTTTATTTCACATATGTAATTTCAGGCGGAGTTTGCTCCTGGGACCCTCTGGGCTTAAGGGTTTGCCCGAAAAGCATAAATTGAGCTTCAGCAGGTGGATAAAAATGGTTCCTGATTCAGACGAGCTTCGTTTAGTTAATGTTGGTCTCATTTTAAGGCTGTGAGGCGTTCATGACCACATATAGGAGTCAAATTTGAATGAATCAGACTCTGAGAAAAAGACGTTCAGCTCCTGCTTTATGCTAACGTGGTTTTATGTCTTCGCAGCGTCGGAGCTGATTGACGAGCCGGTTTCTGCCGATGTGAACAGCTCTGTGTCAGAGGAGCGGCGTGATGGAGAGGAGCGACCCGGGGAGGGAGAGCAGCGACCCGAGGACGCGCCGCCAGCGGCGGTGGAGGCTCTGGCCCGCAGGATGACGGCGCTGGAACTGAGCCTTTGCTCCCCGCAGCAGCTGGTGGAGATGCACGAGCAGCTGGGAGGCATGATGAGGGCGGTGGTGGTGGAGCTGCAGACGCGTCTGTGTGGCGCCGGCGACAAACACTGAGCAGCACCGCGGGACGCCGCACCAACACACAGACTGAGGAAATTGCAATAGACAAATGAAGTTTTTCCTTCTGGATCTTAATGGGATTTTAAGATTTCCTGGATTGTTTTTAATCAGTTCGTTTCCTGGTAGACGGTAGAATTTCCAAAGACTTCAAACTTACTGCCTACATCTGTCTCTGCATGAGCTTTAGCTTCCTGCTTAAGAATTCTGTCATGAAGCGATGGAGGACGTTTACAGCCTGATTTCTGTAAATACCGGCGGGCTGATTTCAGACCCGCCTGGGGCGACGCTTCCTGTTCCACGCATCTTCGCTCATTTGTCTCAATGCCTTTTTATTGTTTTAACAGACTGATCCACAGTGTTTGCTTCATGTTTGGGTTTTAATCTTCTAAATAAAAGAATTTCCAGACTTTTAGATTGTTTCCTTCATGGAAAAGGTCAGCGTGCAGAATTCCAGGCCGAATGCTCCGGATCTCAGCGCTACAGGTGATGCATGCGTCGGTGTTGAGGAGCGGCTGAATGTCGGACTTCCTGTCCGTCAGGAAGAAAGATGTTGCGACGACTCAGAAAAGTCGGGAACTGAGCGAAATCAGATGTCTATTTTTCTAATGAACCCATTAGGTTTTTCAGAAGTAGTCCAAATTAATATGGAGTGAAATTTGTTCTATTATTGCTGCAAAGATCAAGTTTTCAAAATGGAAAAAACAAATAGAGCACAGAAATGAAATTGGCAAAACTTGAAGCTTTTAAAACTTACTTACAGGGTTAATGATAATAACCAACACAGGACGAAAAGTTCCCTTTCTGCAGAAGAGGAGAGGTAGCCTCGTGAGACCATCCTGATCTCGCGAGCTTTCAAGGTTTCACTCGCTAATCAGTCTGGAGACTCTCCGTTAAAGAAAATTTGGAGCCGTTCACCAAACGAACGTCCAATCAGCGTTGGCTTTGAGGCAGGTTGAGGTGTGACGCAACGAGAAGCGCGACAGTTCAGTCTAAAGAACATGGCGGCTTCAGCCGATGAAACTAGCGTTAGCGTGGCTATCGAGCAAGTTTTATCGGAATTTCTTCACTGAAAGAAGAGCAAAACACTGCTCTGGAGGCTTTTCTCAGAGGAAAAGATGTTTTTGCTCTTCTCCCGACTGGTTTGGGCAAAAGTAGCCTGGCTTGTGGTTGTGTTTTCGTCGTCGCTCTGTTAGTACGTCATATGCTTCGTTGATCTGATCGGTTTATTTGGCCCGTCTATCACCAACATAGGCCAATCAGCTAACCAGTATTTTCGCCCCTTCCCAAAATTACTTCAACGGAAGGTTTCCAGATGGAAATGCGGAGCAAATCCATCTGGCGGAGTCAGGTTAGAGGAGAGGATCCAGGTGGAGAATTTTAATTCCCTGAATGTCTGGTAAACTCTGTATGGACATCTGTCTTCAGGAGTGGTCAGAAGTTTACACATGATGGAGCATAACGCTTCCTAATGCAGTTTTATTGTGGGTGGTGGTTGGTCAGCTGGGTCTGAATAAAGAAAATCAACCAGGAAACGTCCGGAGACTTTTTCAATTATTATCCTTTAAACTGAATTTAACACTGAAATTAGTGTTTATGCATCCATGTTATACGTCTAATTTTTAAATATTTTTTTTTTCCATTTTAAAATCTAAAGTGTTTTGTTTAAGTAGAGAACAACAATCGTTCAGTTTGGTTTATAGATAATTTGCTGATTCCCATATTTTCTCAAACCCCTGAACTGATGGTTTGTTATTTTCTTTCTTTTTTCTGTCTTAATGTTGGCAGTGGGCTTTAGGCTGCCCTGCAAGGCTTTAAACCTGGGTTTAACCAGAGACTAAGCCATTCTCAAGCACATATCAAGGTGCTCATTTTGAGCCTGGATCCAGATTTATTGTTGATTCTGTTCATGGTGGAGAATCCTGCTTCACAGCAGCAGGTTGAGCCAAACATCCTCTAAATGTGCAGGGTCATCTTTGAGCACGCCATTTCACTTTTCTTTCACCAGTTCACCGCAGTTCTTCCAGCAGTCCACACTTTCTCTGCTCTCTTTTTCTCATGGTCTTCTCCTTCTTTCCCATCGCCCGGCTTGCCACAGGTTTGCCTGCTGTGTCTAAAAGTAGCAGCAGCAGCAACCCAGACTGACAGCTCATTGGCTCATTTGGATCACGTGCAGCCTGGAGCCGGACGCTCCCCAGGGCTTTACCGTATTAACAGGAGAAGAGGCGCAAGTGAATTTAGACACCGTTTTCGGACAACATGCGGTAATTTATAAATGTTTTAATCAGGTTGGGTCCGCTAATCCGTGACTAAGCTAATATAAATAAAATGATGACCTTTACATTTTTCTAACAGTAACTTTGCTGTTTGCAAAGTTTTTCTAATATTTTTTCATATAGGTTTTATTTTTCGATGTTCTCTTTCTCAGATTGAGATTTACAAATGTTTCTTTTTTTTTTAAAGTGTTCTCTCTTCAGCTCGGCGTTCCTCTGGGGGGGGGGCGACGAAGGAAAACCCTGTTGGTCATGAGCGACTGTTTGCATTTCGCTTGAAGTGGAGAAAAGAAATCCGTAAAACTCCGTCTGAAACAAGTCATTTTGAAAACATTTTATTTAAAAGTTTAGAAAACGGGGAAAACAAAAACTTCTTCCCCTTTTTAGATATATTTTGTAGAAATTTAACATCTGAATTGTATTTAAGTCAATTTTACAAAATGTGTTTTTGACAATAATGGAACAAATTTCACTCCATAAATTAAAGATAAAATATTTAAGCCTGAAGCAACCAGGATGACATCATGACCCCTCAGGAGCCGTGGGTTTTAAGACCCTGTAGAACCTGATGGTTTGAACAAAATATCACTGCAGTATTTTAAAATTAACACTAAAAATCATTTAATAGCTGTGTTACTCTTTTTATCTGTTTATTTCTGATTCATGGCTTCTGAAAGAAAAACAAGTTCCAATTCACCAAAGCTCAGCTCTACCGTCCTGCAGTCCATAGGATTTAATGAATGAAGGCGTTTAGCCTCCCGGCCTCTTGCTTTTATTCAATCATCTCTGGGTCGGCCTGAAGAATAAGCAAACTCAGTAGCTGCTTGTATGGAAACTAGAGGCCCACATAGAACAATTTGTTTTTTTAATATATAATTATTTCTGCAGTTTTAGTAAAAAAAAAAAAATTCCCTGGTTAAAAAAAACATTTAGAAATAATTTCTTATGAAATATATTGTTTTTGAGTGTAGACTGACAGACAGATTAAGAAGGGCTGGACTTAACTTCTCTGAAACCAGCCTGTCTTTGTAGAACAGTGTGATGATGATGATGATCATGCTCTGGATTCTGGGACTGGAAAACCTTCCAGACTTCCTGAAGTTCAGACGACCTCATTCAGTCACTTCCCTTTAAAAAAAAAAAAATCTGCTCCAATCTTTGGTTTCACCCCGAGGATGAAGAATGATCAGTGGGCTGGCAGCGTATAGTCTGAAAAACCAAGATGGCGATCAGATTTCAAGCAGATAAAGGAAGAACGGCTTTTAAGGAGTTATTGAAGACCAGAGGAACATAAACACTATCAGTGTATATGTTCCTGATCATCTCTATAGTTCTGCTGCTATAGGCTTAGACTGCTGGAGGACATAGGGACCCCTTTTTCTTCATTCTATCTCTATTCTCCCACTCTGCAGAATCTGTTAGTTCAATCTCTAACGTTCTGCTCTCTCTGCTTTTTCTCATAGTAGCTTCATCTGGTCTGTTCCTGTTTGGCTGTGACTCCATCCTGGAGAGAAATATCAGCTGTGCTGCTGCCATCAACACCTTTGTTTCTAGATGTTGGAGCTTGGCCTGTTTTCCAGTGTAGTCCTGTTTCTCTGACTGTGACTAACTGGATGTGCTCTCTTCATCCTCTGACATGGGAGCTGGCTCGGAGCTCGTCTGCCTGGCTGTGTGTTTCCTGGACGGGGCCGCCTGTGGAGCTGGTTGACAGTTGCCTTTTGTATCTATGCTTCTTTTTCTATGTCTGCTTCTGTCTCCTTGAACCCCAGTGGGCCTCAGCAGATGGCCGCTCACACTGAAACCTGGTTCTGCTGGAGGTTCTTTCCTGTTCAAAGGGAGTTTTTCCTCTCCACTGTCGCTACAAGCATGCTTAGTGTGAGGGATTGCTGAAGAGTCAATGAGTCGATGCAATCAGCTGGTTTCCCTTACATAGAAAACTTTGAACCAGTCTGACTGGATGATCTGGTGAACTGGAAAGTGCCTTCAGATTAAATTGGCGCTATAGAAATAAACTGAATTTAATTGAACAGTTTGCACACAAAAAAAAAAAAAACATTTCCTGCTGGGTTTCAACTCACTTTTTAAATTTTTTTTTAGAATATCAGATGTTTAATTGATTTAATTGTGTTTCTGAACGATGTAACGTGTAATTTTTATTTAACCGTTTATTGTTCTATAAGCACCAGAGATGTCAAAAGTATTCATGTTTATTACTCCAGTAGAAGTAGAAATCCTGCTGTTTAAAAACACTTTAGTAGAAGTTAGAGAATCAACTTCAGCTTTTTACTCCAGTAAAAGTGTAAAAATAGCATTTTTAAAACTACTTAAAGTATAAAAGTAAAAGTAATGCAGGAAAAAAATGTGAAGGCCAGAAGCTTTACTGCTCTACTCTATTAAAGGAACAGTTTTCTATAATTCTGGATGAAAACTTCCTTAGACTACATTCTCTTAGTTTATAACTAATGGTAACAGAGTCACATTAAACTTTGCATCATCTGGAAAAACTATTTATTTTGGTGTGTGGTAAGCAACATGTTGGGGCAGCACCGAGTCGAACCACAAAGAAATGAATCGTCAGGATTAAACTGATTATTTTGACAGTTTTTATTTTTCTAAATACCAACAGGCCATAATGAAAATGAGCTCAAATGAAACAAACTAATCAGTCTATTTAAAAAAAAAATATGTAAGGAGTAGAAAGTAAAAAGTATTACTCCAGTAAAGTATAACTAGCTAATATTTCCACTGAAGTAAGGTAATGAAGTATTTATACTTTGTGATGACACCTTTGCTTTAAATAAACTGCAAACTAGTTTATAAGTTTTAGTGCAAAGCATTAGGAGCATTAGCAGAACTGCAGCGACTAGAAGGTGTGTGAAGGATCTGATCTGTTGGTGCTGCAGAAAGGAAGAGGTTTACTCAGGGCCGGGCTGGGGTTGACCCTCTTTAACATACAAAGTCCAGATTATAGGTTTAGACCCTTAGAAGTCGAATGATTGTGTGCCTGGTTCCCTCTGCATCTCTGTTATCTGCCGCAGCAGCTGTCCAACCTGACGTATAAGCAACCATCAGAAGATGGCAGTGACTTCCTCCCGCTCTGAGTCTGATGAGCCAGCTCCTCTTTGGCTCAGTGTTTAAGTAATTATCTGATTCTTTTTGCTGAGCTCTGCCAGTGGCTGCGCTGCGTTTCCATGCTTTATAGAGATGAGCCCCATTCAGCCGTGCAAGCTTTGCAGATTGTTCTCCAGCTCTGCAGGACGAGGACCTACAGAGGATTCAGCAACAAGGTAAGACACATGATGCATGGAGCAGTTTCACTTCATCCTGATCCTGAATTAATCAGGCTAAATGTCCTCATGTTAACCTCCACCTAATCATGTCATCAATGAAATTCTTATTTTTTAAATGATGGAAAGAAAGTCGAACTGTTGAGGCTTTTTCTACTGTTTCAGCACAGGAAGGTTTACTTTATCAGAGCAACGTTTTGCTGGAAGAGAAAAGCGGCTTTATGGTGCAGGAGCTGAATTATTACAAATAGAGTGGTGCAACTTTTCCATCCCGCTGAACGGAGCCAAATATGGAAAAACCCTTCATGCAAATCATGCCTAATGCCCATATTGTCCAAAATAGCTGTAAATATCTCCACACTCATCCAGCGTTGCCAAATCCCACTGCAGCAAACTTTGCAGCAGAGGGAAGTAAAATTACTGTAAACGTTTAACACCCAGAATGGAGCTACCAATAGTTTATTCTATGCAGTTTATTTCTATAGCGCCAACATTCACAACTTGTCATCTTAAGGCACTTTACAGATCATCCAGTCAGATTGATTCAAAGTTTTCTATGTAAGGGAAACCAGCTGATTGCATCGACTCATTGACTCTTCAGCAATCCCTCACACTAAGCATGCTTGTAGCGACAGTGGAGAGGAAAAACTCCCTTTGAACAGGAAGAAACCTCCAGCAGAACCAGGTTTCAGTGTGAGCGGCCATCTGCTGAGGCCCACTGGGGTTCAAGGAGACAGAAGCAGACATAGAAAAAGAAGCATAGATACAAAAGGCAACTGTCAACCAGCTCCACAGGCGGCCCCATCCAGGAAACACACAGCCAGGCAGACGAGCTCCGAGCCAGCTCCCATGTCAGAGGATGAAGAGAGCACATCCAGTTAGTCACAGTCAGAGAAACAGGACTACACTGGAAAACAGGCCAAGCTCCAACATCTAGAAACAAAGGTGTTGATGGCAGCAGCACAGCTGATATTTCTCTCCAGGATGGAGTCACAGCCAAACAGGAACAGACCAGATGAAGCTACTATGAGAAAAAGCAGAGAGAGCAGAACGTTAGAGATTGAACTAACAGATTCTGCAGAGTGGGAGAATAGAGATAAAATGATGAAAAGGGGTCCCTATGTCTTCCAGCAGTCTATGCCTATAGCAGCACAAATGCAGAAAATAGTTTAGGATAACCTACGTATTGTTGGATGATGTATAAGAAAGGTATAGCCACAGTGAGGCTATGTTGACTAACTTAATCGTGACAGGGTGAATTCTTAAAGTCTCCTCATGAAGCTATCTGCTTTCTAAATATTCAACCGACACAAAGTGCTCAGCCACATAACCCTCACATATCCTGGGCTTCATATTCGCTAAAGAACAAGGAACAGCACGCCTGGTTAACAGGTCCCACAGCCCAGACCCTGAATCCTAGCCTCATGTCATAGAGAGCAACTAAAGGCTCTGGGTGCAGGCGTGTTGAGAACTTCCTGCTCTATCTGGTTTTCTAACGGGAACACCAGGCTTCTCTGACTGGATACTCCAAGTGTAAAGCTTGATGCAGGGTGGCTAACAGTGTTGGACTTATTAACGGGAGATTATTTACACTTAGACAGACTTTATTATCATTTTGTATACATAGAGTGTATACAAAAAGAAATTTCGTTCAGTACAGCTCTGAAGAGATTTTTAATTTTCTAAAGTGCAGCAGTGATAAAGGTAAGAGATAATGTAAACATACGACTGTATATTAGTTACATTGATGATGTCATGGGCTCGGGACACGCAGGGCTGGGATGAAATGAAATTTCATGACATTTATCGACAAACCCTTAATTCTGCTGCATCCCAGTTCATGCTGCCAGGTTTATATTAGCAGGTTTGAAGTTGCTCTCCTGTTCCCACAAAGTGCTTTAGGCATAACGACATAGAGGGGAGGATCAGTAAGAAATAACATGACCGGCATCATTGGGATGAATTACATGAAGAACTGAGGTCCTGCCCCCAAGGGTGGATTTAGGAAATTTGGGGCCCTAGGCAAAGACAGGCAGGAGGCCCTCTGAATTGAAATGAAAACACATAAAACAGACCCATTCTACAGATATAGAAATGTTAATAGAATAGACATCCATTATTTGTTCTAGGTTTTGTCCTTCTCATCTTGTCCCTTTTTTAATGTTTTGTACTCAGCTGACTTTTAATGCGACGATAAAAGTAAATAACCCAGTCCTTCTTTTCACTGTAGACAAGCCATGATCTGCTTATCTGTTCTCCATTTTTCATTTGGATGAAATAATAGCTGCATGAATCATGACAGCAGACAAGATAGAGGAGAGCAGGAGGCGGGGTTACCAATCTACTCGCTCTGGAGAGCAGAGTTCGCTGCTTTTAGATGTCTCCAAAGTCTCCAGTAGCAGAAAAAAAGTCAATTTTTTTTAAATCAAAGTGCTAGAGGGGTCTGAAAAGTGGCTAAATATAGCGATTAAAGCGCTAAGTTGGCAACACTGCTCTTTGCATCGTTTGTTTTGAAATGGTTTGCTGCACATTTAATGTTATAAGCATTCTAAAACATAATTAATGTGCACAAATAAGGAATAGTTGAAATAATCATACATGTAAACAGAGTTTTATGGGGCCCCCAGGAACTTGGGGCCCTAGGGAACTGCCTAGTATTGCCTAATGGTAAATCCCAACCAGCCCAACCCTCCCATCCAGCATTAGTATCTGACCTGAAACATTTTGCTTCTGGTGTTAAACCTGGTTGTGAAGCTTCTGTTGCAGAAAGTTTCCTGCAGCAGAAGCTTCATTTCTGCATTTGATCCATTTAAAGCGAAGGAATGTGAATAAATACTTTATGGAAGTCCAGATAATTAGTCTGGAGCAGTGAAGTAAAATGGTGATTAGTTCTGAAGACATGGCTTCTCTGAACCAAACCACACTGCAAAAGTTTTTAGTGTGAATTTACAGAAAATAATTGGATGAGTTTAGCATGAATTTCAAAGCAAAGGTAACATCAATATACTGTGAATCATGCAGCAAATTACTTACATTTTTATGGCTGTGATGTTACAATAAAGCATTGTGAAAGCACAGCTGTTTACTGTAACTTTATAACTTCAATGACAAAGCAATTACCTTGGTATGACATTACTGGGAAACTACAGCTTTTTGCTGCTCATTAGTACAATAATGCTACGTTCAGACTGCAAGCAGCAGAAGCAGCAGAAAACAAGCGTGCTGCTTTAATAGTGATGCTTGTAGAAGTTTAGTTCTGATGCACAGCTGCAGCATATTTGCAGCTCCAGCTGCGCCGTGGAAAGTGGGTCTGATGTGCTTTGGGCGGAGCTACCGTATCCTTTCTCTGCCTGGAACAATGGCAGCTATATTAGCTGTGATCAGCGGGTAGAAAGTAGTTAGAATCTATGTTGAAGTGAGAAAGTCCTCCTGAAAACATGGTCTGTGCAGTCAGTTCATCCAGATTACCATCCTGCCTTCAAAGATTATTTCTCTGTGGGAGCCGCTCAGACCCCCACATACCGGCGCTGCGCTGTCACTGGGAATCCCCAGCAGCAGCTGCCTCAGGCCCGCTCGCCTCTTGGGGGTTTTCCCCTCCTGTTGGTGGCGGCTGGAAGCAGTGTTGCCAACTCAGCGACTTTGTCGCTATATTTAGCAACTTTTCAGACCCCTCCAGCGACTATTTTTCAAAAAAGCGACTGGCGACAAATCTGGCGACTTTTTACGGCGTCACTGGGGGCTTTTGGAGACTCTTACGTGAAAGCATGTATCGTTCCTACTCTTGTCCTCCAGCGGCAGCTGCTGCCGTTGGGCGCCTCCCCCATCCCAACCCCGTTCTCCCGCAGGAGTCCCTCTCAGCGCTGCAGTCAGAGCCTCAGCGTCCAGACTGCAAATGAAGCTTGCATGCGCCGGGATTGATGGTGCAAATTGATCACGCGGTGCCGCTCCGCCCTGACTTACATTCAAGGCCGGAGTGAGCGGGATGTAAATAAAATAAAAAATAAATAAATAAGCATTAATGGACAGAAAAAAGTAGCTCTATATATTGTTTAGTAAAGTGAGTAAAAACACTATTATATAGTGTTTTTACTCACTTTTTGTCTTTCTGTAATGACATTATTTCTCCCACAGCATCAATAACATGCACATCACTTCCTGTGGCAGATAATGCAAATTAGGCGATGACGTCATTCAGCGACTTTTAGCACAGCCAATAGCTACTTTCCTTACTGAGGAGATGGCAACACTGGCTGGAAGTAGATGTTGGGGTTTTTACGTACGTAATCCAAACTGAAGGCACCAGAATAATAAAAGCCAACATATTCTGCCGGCAGGTTTCTACATTTGAAGTTAATTTAGGCTTTAATAAACTGTTTCAGAGGAGTGATCATAGCGCTCTGCATCAGCAGTGCTGTGTCTGACTCCCTGCCAGCTCCCAGATCAGCTTCTCTCATTGGTTGATGTGGTGCAATGAGCAGCAAAACCTCAGTTTTTTCCAGCGCCAGCAGCTGCTACTTCTGAAGAGCAGATGTTCAGCTTCAGCTGCTCAAAACGTGCCGCAGGATCTTTTGCTGCACCTTCATGCTCGTCAGCCATTGACTTTGCATGTAAACCAGCTGCTTCTGCTGCCTCTGCTGGTTGCAGTCTGAATGTAGCATTAGGCCCTGTACTTTTAACCCTTTATAGGGCAAGTTACCATTTTTGATCACTTGCATACCCCTTACAAATGGAGTCCCCTACCCCCCCATCCCTCAGTGAGCTCTAGAAGCACAAGATCTATATCCAGCCATTCAGCAAAGATCCTGCTACATGGCTGGACATCTGATTTTGGCATTTGACCAATTGGATGAGGCCTTGAATGATATACAGGTGCTGGTCATAAAATTAGAATATCATGAAAAAGTAGATTGATTTCAGTAATTCCATTTAAAAAGTGAAACTTGTATATTATATTCATACATTACATACAAACTCATATATTTCAGATGTTTATTTTGTTTAATTTTGATGATTACAAATGACAACAAATGAAAATCTCAAATTCATCATATCAGAAAATTAGAATATTACTGAAGACCAATAAAAACAAAGGATTTATAGAAATGTTGGCCAACTGAAAAGTATGAACATGAAAAGTATGAGCATGTACAGCACTCAGTATTTAGTTGGGCCTCCTTTGGCCTGTATTACTGCAGCAATGCGGCGTGGCATGGAGTCGATCAGTCTGTGGCACTGCTCAGGTGTTATGATAGCCCAGGTTGCTCTAATAGTGGCTTTTAGCTCTTCTGAATTGTTGGGTCTGGTGTATTGCATCTTCTTCTTCACAATACCCCATAGATTTTCTATGGGGTTAAGGTCAGGAGACTTTGCTGGCCAATTAAGAACAGGGATACCATGGTCCTTCAACCAGGTACTGGTAGCTTTGGCACTATACAGATATATAAAAACAAGAAGGTCTCACTAAAAAATAACCAGAATATATGTTTAGAGTAAAGATTGACTAGTGTTTACACAAGCACACAATTTCAAATCTGCTGAGCTTGCTGTGCAAGAAAATGTAAAATATACATATAAAGAAATATAACAGGAAGTACTGCTAAAACAAACTAAATGTTAAATAATGTAGATATTGGTTTAAAAAATTCTTCAGATTTGGAAATTTGGAAGGAATACATAATTCTGAAATTAATCAACAAATCTGGTTAAAAAAAAAAAATAAATAAAAAATAAAAGTTGCACTTTTTTACTTGAGGAATTTTTTGAATAACTTCATAATTATGAGTTTAACTAGTTGGAGGTAATGCTACACTTCTCTGCTTCCTGTCCTGCTCATAAAAGGTAAACATTATAAACCCACCATTAATTTTCTACACTATTTGGAAAACACAACACAAATGTAATATAACAAAAGTATGTTTAACAACAAACATGTTAGCATCAAGCCATAGCCATGTCTGTTTTAGAGCCTAGCTCTCTTGTTTAATGACCTTCTGCTCCTCCATTAATGAGGGGACCCCACGGGCACGTAAAAAGTTGCCTAATTCTGTCATTTTCCACCAATGTGTCACTGGCCACCTCAAACAACTCACATCTGTGTCAGTGAAGCTTAGTGCTCCACATCTCTGCCTTCATGGTGCCCATCTACATTAAGATCCAAAATTCTGAGAAAAAAAGTCAGAATTCTGAGAAAAAAAAAGTCTTAATTCTGAAAATAAAAGTCAGGATTCTGACTTTTTTCCCGTATTAAACTGAAACAAAATGTAAAAATCACTTAACTTTTTTTTTTTTCCAGTGGCCCTATCCTCTTCCGTAGTCTTGGGCTGATCACTCATCCAATATTTAACTGCTAACTTTCTCTAGACGTTTGCCACGCTAGCCAAAATGTTTTTTTTTATATATATTTTTTTATATCTCATTTCAGTACAATGCCACCACCAACTAAAAGGCTGAAACAGCAGCAGGACTTACTCAGATTTTTTTAAAAGAGAAACGTCAGTGTGAGTAACAGTCACCTAACACAACTTGTGTTGAAATTAGCCCGGTCTGGGCGTGCGTTTTACGAGGATTTTTTATTTTTTGCATGGTTTTGATTCGCCGAAATTGACAGATGTTATACCTGTCGCGCTCCTGATCGTTAGTTAACCACAGGGAGAATTAATTTTAATTCTTAGCAGCGGCGGCCGCATTGGTCGTGCAGCGGACTGCTGCACAACCACTAATTAACCAACTAATTAACTTCTGCATCTTTATTTCCTCAAATAAACTGCTGGCTCCTCTTTTTACACTATAAACAGATTAACACAACATTGAAAACTCTTTAGTTTTCTCTGTTCTGTACTGCAAATTGGAATTAAAGGCGCCATTTCTACCAAAGGTCTGGACAGACTGGCCACCTGTCTAGGGTGGACCCCGCACCAGCACCTCCCGACCCCACTAAGGGACAGGGTGTACAGAAAATGGAAGGATGGATGGATTTCTACCAAAGGTTGATAATGCGTTTTTGAACCAGATGCTTCAAAGCGCCCTGTCCATAATTCTTCAACACACTGTCAGCTCCCTCTGTCAGTCAACCTATATAAATTCATTTTTGGCCATTATTGCAAGTTTGACAAAATAAAACATATCAAACTTTGCACTTATGTGGCCTACTGAATTGTTTTGATTTTCTAGTGTGATGCAGACACTAAATATGCCAAGGGCTGAAGCCCTAGAAAGACATCTCCCTTTGCTTAATAAAAGACTCCAGTTATTTTGTTTGGTGATATGCTCACATCTTATGAACAAATGCATTATGTTAATTTTAAATGCATTATTTTTACAAACACATTTATAAAGGAATAAAGTAAAAGATTAAATAGCCTTTTTTTTTAAGTAGCGTACTTAAGATATGTTTCTGTTGAATATTTACGAATCTCAGATTTCCGACATGTGTCCCCCCCAATTGTAAACATATTCCTACGCCCTTGCCTCTAAGGTTATGTTGGACCAAAGAAAACGTGTTTCTTTCACTCTCAGAGTGTTTTTCATGAATTTCTTATAGAAGCACTTTGGTTATTTTTCTTAATATATTCAGGCAAGTTGCCGTTTCTTGTGGTTACATTGACATACATTTTTGCCATCAAAATATCAAAAATTTTTTTTTTTTAACAAAGGTAATAAAGTCTTGTCCCGGATTCCAATAACACTATAAGTATTTCAATAAGTTCCCTATAAAGGCTTAAACGCAATGTACAAGTTGACCGTAATTTACTGTGAATTCATTTTAAAATAAAACACAGAGTACAATAACTGCAGAGCATAGCTGAACAGTAAGACTGTAAAAACAAACATCATTTAAAATAACGACCAAAGACGTCTCTGATTCTTCAGTATAAAGAATGTAAGAATTCTTATACTTGTTTATACTAAACTACTTGTTGTAAAATACGATATAATACCAGATGAATTCACTTCAACTTTACCTGGAAAGGTTTCTCAGTCATTCTGGTGATAGAAAGAGAGCTAAAAGTTTCTTCAGCTATTGTCACCCATTCCAGGTAGGCAATAAAAAGTTCTACTGGATTCACTTTGTTTTAGTCTTTTTCCTGCTTCGCAAAGGTAGGCAGCAGCTTGACATGAAGCCATGATGGTGATTATTTTACATCCAAGTAGTCTGCAGTTCGGGTATCGGTATCGGGGCCAAAACTAGTATCGGCACAACACTAATAAAAAACCCAGAGCATCTCAGAAAAGTCTTTATTTTGAAATCATTTTCTTCTAGTTGCTGTTCCAGGAAGAAAAGCAATGCTGACTGTTCTGGTTCTGGGATGGACTACATTACTTGGGTTCCCATCTGCAGCATCCAGTAAGTGCTCAGCGCAGACTGTCCCTGTCTGACATCAGGGATTAACCAGAGTAGAAAGATCCCCAAACGCCTCGTCAGCGTAAAACAAAAACATCCTGAGATTTCTGCAGTCTAAATTGGTCAGATAAGATTAAACGCCTCCATATTTAAAGTAAAAGTCTGGTTATATTCAGAATCCAAACTTCTGAAAGTTCTTTAAATCTGAAATGATTCCATCCTGTTCAATAAATGATCAGTGTTTTTAATTCAGAGTAATTTTCATGTGAATGTGCTTTACTGGAGGCATCCATGTTTGTCAAAGAACACTACTGCCACCTACTGGTTAGTGAAGTCACGGTGCGGTATCGGCTGTTGATCAAGTCCCAGTGCTGTATCTGGTGTTTGTCACAATGCGCTATTATCCAAGTCATCTTGAAAACATTCTTCTTCCAAGTGTTGGCTACATATTACGGGTTTTTTCTCTGGCCAGAAGTTCGATGGCAAATCCTCCCTCTTCAAGCTGGCGATCCAACGACTCAACTCAAACTTTATTTATAAAGCACATTTAAAACAACCGGGGTTGACCGAAGTGCTGTACAGGAATCACAGTTAAGGAACATAAGATAACAGCTGAAGGCTAAAATACATAAACACATAGAAATAGAATAAGATAAATGTTTCAATTAAAATACATTTTAAAATAAAATAAAATTTTGCCAAATGTCCACTTAGACATGATTAAAAGCCAGGGAGAAGAGATGTGATTTTAAAGAGGATTTAAAAACCTCTAAGGAGCCTGCTGATCTAATATGCCAAGGCAAGTTATTCCAGAGCCTCGCTGCCATCGATCACCTTTAGTTTTTAGTCTGGTTTTAGGCATCGCCAGTAGCAGCGGATTAGAGGATCTCAGTGTTCTGGCCGGGGCATGAATGTGGAGAAGCTCAGTCAACTACTGGGGGGCTAGACCATTAAGAACTTTAAAACCAAACAATAAAATTTTAAAAACTATCCTAAAAACAACCGGGAGCCAGTGCAGTGAGGCTAGAACAGGTGATATGCGGTCACGTTTACCTGTGCCAGTAAGGAGATGGGCAGCTGCATTTTCTACCAACTGCAGACGGTGTAAAAGTGAGCGGTCCAAGCCAGCATAGAAAGAGTTAAAGTAATCCAATCTTGTATTGATAAAAGCATGGATTATGGTCTCTAGATCTTTTTGTGGCAGGTACCCTTTCACTTTTGATAAAATTCTTAAAAAAGCTATTTTTTACGACCGAACTAACCTGTTGATCAAATTTCAACCTGTCATCAAATATTAAAACCAAGATGTTTTACTGATGATCGAATGTTAGGTGTAAGAGGGCCCAGGAAGTCAGGGGGGAAAAACTGCTGGACTACAACCAAACATTATAATTTCTGTCTTACTTTCATTCAGATTCAGAAAGTTTGAGGCCATCCATGATTTAACATCGTTTAAGCAGTTAGAAAATGACTGGATGGAGTTGTTGGATTTTGAAGTTAAAGAACGACCAACCCGTCCGTGGAGGATCAGGAATCAGAAAGGTGGAATAAGTCTTTTTTTCCACTTTTACCCGATGTATTCCAGCATCCAGCTGCCATGCACGTGGGCATTGTCAGTTTCACTATAGCTCTGGTGAATTTCAATGGTGAAGTCCTCTGGAAATCTTCAATAATTGTTGTTGATTGCAGATGTGTCTAGTAGTTCCCATTGATTTAGCTTGTAAAGCGGGGAGAATGGCGCTAGGCTTAGCGCACCGTGACGTCACTGCTGGAAGATGGCAGGAGGGAGGGGTTACTATATTTGGGCAAAAATGGCCGCTCCCAGACTCAGTGATCGCAACGAAAATTATTATTCTACTTTTTTTTTTACCAATTTAATCTAAATTCATTAAATCACCATGAATTATGTATAAATAATGATCCATTGATGATTCTTTGCTGACCGGACATTTCCTTTAACTTGTTTACAATATTTGCAGGAGTTCCTTTGAACAGAGGCAGCAAGTGGTTGGCTCGGAAATGTGAAGTCTTCATCCCTCCTCCTCTACCTCCTCCTATGTTTCCTCCAATCAAACATAAAGCAGAGCTGATGGTAAGGAGGCCCTTTGGCCCCACTAATGCAAACCGCTCCGTGTTTCCATGGAGTCCTGCTGATAAAACGGCTCAGCTTCTAGTGTTGTTTGGCTGCAAACTCTAAAAAGCATCCAGTCAGTGAAGATGAGCTGATTATCATTACATCTGCAGGTTGATATCACCAAACGCATCACAGGACCCACAGGGGAGAAGGTGAGAAAACATTTGACCTTCTATTTATTACAGAAACGAACCAAAATATTTTTTTCCAACATCACAAACACTTTTATGATGCTTTCTGTTTACAGGGCTGCAGGGGGCCAAGAGGAGCGAGGGTGAAAAGCTGAATGCTTTCTTTTAAAGCTATAAATTAGAGACTATAGCTCCTAAACTCTGCCTGTATTTTAGGGTAAGCCTGGTGTGACGGGTCTGCCAGGAGAACCAGGACCACAAGGTCCACTAGGAAAGCCAGGCCAAAAGGTAAAACCCAGTTTGTAACCTGAAGGTCAAATCTTTATAAGAATAATCAGCTACGAACTCGTTGCTCACATTCTGCCGGTCGAGCCTCCATTTTTATAGTACAGCCAGATCATCCAGTCAGATTGGTTCCACGTTTTCTATCTAAGAAAAACCAGCTGATTGCATCGACTCATTGACTCTTCAGCAATCCCTCACACTAAGCATGCTTGTAGCGACAGTGGAGAGGAAAAACTCCCCTTGAACAGGAAGAAACCTCCAGCAGAACCAGGCTCAGTGTGAGCGGCCATCTGCTGAGGCCGACTGGGGTTCAAGGAGACAGAAGCAGACATAGAAAAAGAGGCATAGATAAAAAAGGCAACTGTCAACCAGCTCCACAGGCGGCCCCGTCCAGGAAACACACAGCCAGGCAGACGAGCTCCGAGCCAGCTCCCATGTCAGAGGATGAAGAGAGCACATCCAGTTAGTCACAGTCAGAGAAACAGGACTACACTGAAAAACAGGCCAAGCTCCAACATCTAGAAACAAAGGTGTTGATGGCAGCAGCACAGCTGATATTTCTCTCCAGGATGGAGTCACAGCCAAACAGGAACAGACCAGATGAAGCTACTATGAGAAAAAGCAGAGGGAGCAAAACGTTAGAGATTGACCTAACAGATTCTGCAGAGTGGGAGAATGGAGATAGAATGAAGCAGAATGATGAAAAAGGGGTCCCTATGTCCTCCAGCAGTCTAAGCCTATAGCAGCAGAACTATAGAGATAGATCAGGATAACCTGAGCTATGGCGCCTTATTTTCTGCTCCGCCCACCTATAAAAATGTATAAAATGACGGACGGGCGGTAGCTCCTACTGCTGAGTCTATATAGATATAAAAATGTAGAAACATCTTATATTTATTAATATCACAGCGATTGATAGGTTAGTTAAAAGTCAAATTAGTCTCTGGATGATATGAAGACGCTTCGAAAGATCACAGGTCATAACGGCTGAGTTCTCTGCTTCTACATTCAGTCTGGTGTTGTAGGCCAGAATATTAGGTACAGGTCAGAAAAAAACACAGAGTACAATAACTGCAGAGCATAAAAGAGCAGTAAGACTGTAAAAATAAACACCAAAATATGACATAAATAGAAATAAAGACCAAAGACCTCTCTGATAGCTCAGTTAAAGGAATGTAAGAACTGCATGCATCTTTAGAGACTTTTCATAGTCGTCAACTTCAAATGGAGGCTTTCTGCTGACTTGGATGTAAAGATGGTGGCAGAGACATTTGTTTGGGTGAGTTGTGTCCCCCCCCACCCCCCCCCCCCCCCCGCCCCAGAATGGAGCGATGATGATGATGATGAAGCATGTATCTTTGGAACCTGGAAAATAAACTCCAACGGCTGCTCTTCAACCCTTTAGTGTGAGACAGCATTAAGACGGTTTTAAGACAAATATTGCACGACTACACATATTACCATGTAAATATAAAAATAGTAAAAGTAAGCATCCAGTTTATATAGTTCATCTGAAGAAAAAAAAACAAGGGTACATTTTTGGGGTGAGTTGCACTTTAAGTGGAAAATAAAATCACAGTTCAAAGCTTTAAATAGATCTATACCGGTTCCTGTATGGAAGCAAATTCTTACCATATTTCACATGAAAAAGCATTTCCAGAAATGCTTTTTCATTTTAAGAATGTGGCTGCATAACTAGACTCATAAATTAAATTAGTAATCAATCATCCTATTTGCATTTTCATTTTCTTCTTTAAGGCTGCACATTTTAAGCCATAATCAAAGAGAAAACACAGCGGACATTGCTTTTCCGTTTTCGTGGTCTGCCAGCAAAGTACTGCCCATAACTCGAAAACGAAAAAGCATTCTGAGCGGCGGGTGCAGCAGAGTGACGTCAGCAGCCGCTCTTCCTCAGGTCCTTGCTGACCGGGCTACCCATCTTGTTCGGTAGGGGGCGCTGTGCATGTCTGCATTGCATTACATTGTAAGCGTGCCGGCGGGAAACTGAGGAGCAGTCTGCATTGCAACAGGTCCGTTAGAAGCAGGCACCTGGCATGCTTACAATGTAATGCAATGCAGACGTGCACAGCGCCCCCTACCGAACAAGATGGGTAGCCCGGTCAGCAACCCGCCGCTCAGAATGCTTTTTCGTTTTCGAGTTATGGGCAGTACTTTGCAGGCAGACCATGAAAACGAAAAAGCAATGTCCGCTGTGTTTTCTCTTTGATTATGGCACAACATGTGCAGCCTTAAAGAAGAAAATGAAAATAGGATGATTGATTACTAATTTCATTTATGAGTCAAACAATGCAGCCACATTCTTAGAATGAAAAAGCATTTCTGAAAATGCTTTTTCATTTTCAAATGTTACATTTCAAATTGAATTTTGGTATGCATTTGCTGGGGTACATTCTGAAAAATAAATCTCAAATGCCTTTTTCTTTTTCATTTTAATTAAGTAAAAGGATGAGCGATGTTAAAGAAGAAAATTTAAATGCAAACAGGATTATTGATTACTAATTTCATTAATGAGTCAAACAATGCAGCCACATTTCTGAAAATGCTTTTTCATTTCAAATATGGTAACGATTCGCTTCCATATTCCTGTCCCTGCTGTCATGTTTATTAATGGAAATATTATTAATTTATTAAGGATAATAATTTTTTTAACTGATATAATTCAATGTGTCCCACAGGGAGAAAAGGGCGAGAGAGGCTGGAGAGGTTTGTATGGAGACATCGGGACTCCAGGCATGATGAAGGTACAGCATGCTACATCTTTTTCAGAGAATCTCATGAATAAAAGCACACAAAAAAATTCCAAATATGTTTACAGATTTTTTGAAAGTTCTCTGTCGGTCATAACTCACTTAAATCTGAAAAAAGATTAACAAAAAGGAGTCCAGGCAGCAAGGAATAATCAATGGATCGTTATATATACCTTAAACTAATGTTTGCAGTGATTCAATGAATTTAGTGTTAATCAGTAAAAAAATAAAAATAACGATTTTCGTAGCAATCACTGAGTCTGGGAGCGGCCATCTTTGTCCAAATATAGTAGCCCCTCCCTCCTGCCATCTTCCAGCAGTGACGTCACGGTGCGGTAAGCCTAGCGCCATTCTCCCCGCTTTCCAAGCTAAATCAATGGGAACTACTAGACACATCTGCAATCAACAACAATTATTGAAGATTTCCAGAGGACTTCACCATTGAATTTCACCAGAGCTATAGTGAAACTGACAATGCCCACGTGCATGGCAGCTGGATGCTGGAATACATCGGGTAAAAGTGAAAAAAAAAGAATTATTCCACCTTTCTGGTACCTGATCCTCCACGGACGGGTGGGTCGTTGGATCGCCAACTTGAAGAGGGAGGATTTGCCATCGAACTTCTGGCCAGAGAAAAAACCCGTAATATGTAGCCAACATTTGAAGAAGAATGTTTTCAAGATGACTTGGATAATAGCGCGTTGTGACAAACACCAGATACAGCACTGGGACATGATCAACAGCCGATACCGCACCGTGACGTCACTAACCAGTAGGTGGCAGTAGTGTTCTTTGACAAACATGGATGCCTCCAGTAAAGCACATTCACATGAAAATTACCCTGAATTAAAAACACTGATCATTTATTGAACAGTATGGAATAATTTCATATTTAAAGTACTTTCAGAAGTTTGAATTCTGAATATGAGCGGTCTTTTTTTCCATCAGCTGATGGAGGCCAGTCTGTAGAAAAAATCTGATTCCTCTTTATTAACCATAAAAACTGATAACTGAAACCAGTAATTGTCCTAAGTATATTTAATAATGCTTTGCATCATTTGCAATCTGCAGTTCAGAAACTGATGGTCAGTCATTTTCCTCCTGGATTTCCTGCTGAGGAGCAGATTTCAGGGTTAAATTCTAAAGGAATCCTCCAGGCCCCAAAGCAGAACCAGATCATTACACCTCCACCTCTTTACTAACGCTCTGTTTGCTGAAATGTTGTCCAACAGGATGAACCGATTCGAATTGGTTCCAGTTTTTGTTTCCTCAGTGTTCATGTTTTCAAAAGAAGTGTTTTGCATCATGATGCGTTTTTGGACGAATGTGTCACAAACCTTAGTGTTATTTTTGATCAGCAGGGTTTTTTGTGCCTCTAATGGATGCTATTATTTTCTCAGTCTCAGTTTTATTTCTGAATCATAAACACTGAGCTCAGGATGACAATCTTTCCCACCAGTCAATCAGATTATACAGTTTCTATGGAATTAGAATACAACGGCTGTGTAAACGTGCAGTTCTGCTCTCCTCATTTATAATAACTTGATCCTGTGAAGTAATTGTCGGCTGCGATAAGCTACCCCTCCAGGTCCCATTTAATGTAGATCCTGATGACTCAGATCAGATTAGTTTGATTAAACATGGCACATTTATAGTCCCATCAGCCGTTTATTCTAAACAGAACTCTTAAAGGAAAAGTCTGGTCAAATTCAGAATTCAAACTTCTGAAAGTTCTTCAAATATGAAATTATTCCATCCTGACAATAAATGATCAGTGTTTTTAATTCAGAGTAATTTTCATGTGAATGCGCTTTACTGGAGGCATCCATGTTTGTCAAAGAACACTACTGCCACCTACTGGTTTGTGACGTCACGGTGCGGTATCGGCTGTTGATCAAGTCCCAGTGCTCTATCTGGTGTTTGTCACAACGCGCTATTATCCAAGTCATCTTGAAAACATTCTTCTTCCAAATGTTGGCTACATATTACGTGTTTTTTCTCTGACCAGAAGTTCGATGGCAAATCCTCCCTCTTCAAGTTGGCGATCCAACGACCCACCCGTCCGTGGAGGATCAGGTACCAGAAAGGTGGAATAATTCTTTTTTTTTCACTTTTACCCGATGTATTCCAGCATCCAGCTGCCATGCACGTGGGCATTGTCAGTTTCACTATAGCTCTGGTGAATTTCAATGGTGAAGTCCTCTGGAAATCTTCAATAATTGTTGTTGATTGCAGATGTGTCTAGTAGTTCCCATTGATTTTGCTTGTAAAGCGGAGAGAATGGCGCTAGGCTTACCGCACCGTGACGTCACTGCTGGAAGATGGCAGGAGGGAGGGGCTACTATATTTGGGCAAAAATGGCAGAAGTACGACAAAAACCTGACTAAATCGGGAAATAAAAAAGCGTGACTGACTGTAAGTAGACAGAGGCAAATAGCCTTGTGAGACCATCCTGATCTCGCAAGCTTTCAAGGTTTCACTCGCAGATCAGTCTGGAGACTCTCCGTTGAAGAAAATTTGGAGCCGTTCACCAAACGAACGTCCAATCAGCGTTGGCTTTGAGGCGGGTTGAGGTGTGACGCAACGAGAAGCGCGACAGTTCAGTCTAAAGAACATGGCGGCTTCAGCCGATGAAACTAGCGTTAGCGTGGCTATCGAGCAAGTTTTATCGGAATTACAGAGTATTTCTTCACTGAAAGAAGAGCAAAACACTGCTCTGGAGGCTTTTCTCAGAGGAAAAGATGTTTTTGCTCTTCTCCCGACTGGTTTCGGCAGGAGTAGCCTGGCTGTTAGTACGTCATATGCTTCGTTGATCTGATTGGTTTATTTGGCCCGTCTATCACCAACATAGGCCAATCAGCTAACCAGTATTTTCGCCCCTTCCCAAAATTACTTCTACAGATGAATATGCGGAGCAAATCCATCTGGCGGAGTCAGGTTAGGAGGCAAAGGCAAGGCAAATTTATTTGTATAGCACAATTCAGTACAAAGACAATGCAAAGGGCTTTACATGATTCAAATACAGGAAGATAAAACAGAATCAAAGCAAATAATAAAATAAAAATGCAGAAACAAAAAAAGAATATTAAAAACAGTTGGACTAAAGAAAATATGTTTTAGTTGAACTGTTTAACTAGAACAGTGGAAGGCAATCCTAAACAAATGTGTTTTTAGTCTTGATTTAAAGGAACTCAGGCTTTCCGCACTTTTACAGTTTTCTGGAAGTTTGTTCCAGATAAGTGGAGCATAGGAACTAAATGCTGCTTCTCCATGTTTAGTTCTGGTTCTAGGTATGCAGAGCAGGCTGGAGCCAGAAGACCTGAGTGGTCTGGAGGGTTGATACACTGATAGCAAGTCTGTGATGTATTTAGGTGCTAAACCATTCAGAGATTTATAGACTAACAGAAGTATTTTAAAGTCTATTCTCTGAGATACAGGGAGCCAGTGTAAGGACTTTAGAACCAGGGTGATGTTCTCTACTTTCTTAGTCTTAGTGAGGACACGGGCAGAGGAAACTCTTTGTAATGTGTATTACTATGGGTATGCTGGACTGATGGGGTATGCTCATCCGACAGAGCACCACTCCCAGACTCAGTGGTCATGATGAAAATTATTTTTATTTTTTTACTGATTAACACTAAATTCATTCAATCACCTCGAGCATAATAGTTTTAGGTAAAGACAATGATCCATTGATCATTCCTTGCTGACCGGACGTCTCTAATTTAGGACGGCCTGAAACTCCTGGGAACTTTCCATGTTTTTCCTCCAGCATTTATTTGAAGACAATCTGAGCAACTTCAAACATTTTCACAGGATTAGGAATTTCCTTGTGTAAATAATGTCGCAGCACCAGAATCCGAACTTCTCTGGCGCTTCAGAGAAGGGGCGCCGTCTTTCTTTAAACTCCAGGTTTATTTTATGGTGGAGGCGGCAAACCTTGGATTCATGTCACCTTTAACCCTTTATAGAGCACTCAGTGAAATACTTAGAAAATCTAAATTTCAAAGGGGGGTGATCAACCTGTTAACTTGTCCTATAAAGGGTTAAAAGTCTTCAGCCATTCCATCCAGGGGCCCACAGCAGTGAATCTGTCTTATGTTGTTCCAGGGTATTAAAGGGACTCCAGGATTCAGGGTGAGTAGCACATTTCCCTCCTTTTATCCCGTAGCTGCGTCTCTTTCATCAGCTGGATTTATTCTCTGCCCTTTAGGGAGAAAATGGCCTGAAAGGACACCGAGGCCTCAGAGGAGAGAAGGTCAGGAACTCTCCTCTCCTTCCTTTGTCGGTTGCTGATAATAACCGGCAGCACTGATCCGTATCGGTGTCTCCACAGGGCGAGCGAGGAATCCCTGGGATGGCAGGAGACGGGGTAAAACACAGAGTGTCAGGTAAATATCCCAGCGGTGGATGGTAGAGACGCTGCGGCAGATTTTTTGCTCTCTCAGGGAGACCAGGGACAGAAGGGGGAGCGAGGTCTGATGGGGGAGCCGGGAGCCAGAGGAGAGCCGGGAGCCAGAGGAAAGATGGTAGGTCTATGCAGATGGAACGCATCCCTGCACTCACTGTTAGATGATAGATGAAATAACATTTAAGGGAAACACTATTTTATATACTAGTTTGGAGTATAAGCAACTGGACGTGAAGTTTTCTAGAAGACGTTCCATCCAAGAGGCTTCATCAGTTCTAACTAGTGGTGGGGGGCAAGGAGATTAATGTACTGGAGGTGGAACAAAGAATTAGGAGGGAACCAAAGGTGGCTCTGATCCCTCCTGCTGTATTGGCCATGGAGGTCACCTGGGGGTGTTAATGGTCGTTAGGGGTTTCCGATAGATCGTTAACTCCCTCCTCAGAGTGGGTTTGGTTACATCCCTCATTGAAGTGAGTCAGGTGGGGGCAGGACAGAGGTGAATCTTCTGGGTATTGCTTGTAAAAGTGCTTTTGTAAGTAGTTGAAAGGTTATGTCTAAGACCCCCTCCTCTGTTAATAGATGTTTTTTTCCAGGTTACCAGAGATGGCTTCCTTAACCCCTCTCTCAAATCATCCGTCTTCCTGGGCCAGAATATTTTAAAGTTGCCTTTTCTATGTCTGCTTCTGTCTCCTTGAACCCCAGTGGGCCTCAGCAGATGGCCGCTCACACTGAGCCTGGTTCTGCTGGAGGTTTCTTCCTGTTCAAAGAGAGTTTTTCCTCTCCACTGTCGCTACAAGCATGCTTAGTGTGAGGGATTGCGGAAGAGTCAATGAGTCGATGCAATCAACTGGTTTTCCTTAGATAGAAAACTTTGAATCAATCTGACTGGATGATCTGATGAACTGGAAAGTGACCTGAGATGATATGATGTGAATTGGAGCTATAGAAATAAACTGAATTGAATTGAATCTGGATGTTGTTGTCCTGAAACGAGTGTCCTTTAGCTTTCAGCTGTAGGTGAGCGGTTGAGTCCTGTCCTGAGGAGTCCCCCCTCCTGTACTGAGCCTTGCGCCTGTTAGCGGTTGCTTGATCACTCCAATGTGCAGCTCTGCGCACTCTTCACTACGCTGAATGGCATAAGCCACATTGTCGGCCTTGTTTCCAGGGGTCTTATCTTTGGGGTGAATCGGTTTTTGTCTTTGGGTGCTGCTGGGGTTGAAGTGCACTGGGTTCCAGTGCTGAGTTGGATGAGAGGAGAAACATCGTCTAGAAAACGTCATGTCCGGTTCCCTAGACTGATCTTTTTTAAGCTTGACCATGACCTGGATGACTGAGAATCTTCATAGATATTCATTTAGAAAACTAGTCATAGGAAACATGCAACTCAAATAAATTACTATTACTAAATCTGGATCAGTTTTCATCCCCTAAAATAATACTGCAAAAAACTGAGAATCCCTAAAAAATATGCATATACTGAATTAACTATAAATTATTCTTCTTTAATCATATTAATACATTTTCTGATTTTGAATTTGATTGTTTAATTTATCCTTCTAAATGCGTTGTTTATTATTTAATGTTGCATATAATATTTGACTGTAATTATTTCCTTTTTCTTTAGGGGTTAAAAGGTTCTAATGGAGCCGTAGGGGAACCTGGACATCCTGGATTGGCAGGACTGCCAGGCGTCCCTGGAGAGCCGGGTCTACCTGGACAAGGTTTGTTTAGAAGGGGAGATTTAATGAACCAGCTACGATTCCTTTACTGGAAATATTCAGCCTCCATACAAAAACTGATTTAAAAACCAGTGAACAAAAATCTTTATTTTGAGGAGGTAAATAAGGTTCTCTGCAAAAGGAAATAGTTTTTTTCTCCTAAAAAGAGAGAATTGGATATTATGCACTTAAATTATTTCTTTTTTTATTCTTTTTCTTTAAAAAAAATCTTATTTCTGTTAGGTTTCTGTTTCTGTTATGTTTTTCTTTTGATATTCAGTTCTGCTTTGCTCTTTGTTTTATAGGTTTTTATGGTTTAATTCTTATTTTGTTGTGTTTCTTGGGTTTTTTCTCAGTTTTGGTTCTGTTATATTTTCTTTTTAGTGTTCAGTCTTGCTTTACTAATTGTTTTCTAGTTTTAGTGGTTTTATTTTTATTTTGCTGTGTTCTCTGGTTTATTCTTAGTTACTGTTTCAGTCTTGGCTCTGTTTTGTTTTTCTTTTGAGGTTTCAGTTTTACTTTGCTCCATGTTTTATTTTCTTAGTGGTCTGATTCTTACTTTTGTTGTTTCAGCTTTCTAGGTTTTGTATTTGTTCCCCTCTGCTGCCCTCTTGTGGTCTCCTTTTTCCTGTGCTCTTTTCCTCTCCTGCCCTGTGCTCACCTGTTCCCAATCTGCTCATTAGTCTTCTCTTTGTCTCAGTCTCCTTTAAATGCTCTCCCTCTTCAGTTCTTGTTTGCTGGGTCCTTGTCTAACTTCCTCCAACTCCGTCTCTGAGCCTTCCTCTTCTATATTGAATCCCCCCTGATGTCTCCATGGTTTCTGGTTTGTTTTTCACTTTGTTTTCATGTTTTGGGATTTTGGATATTTGGACTCCTGGTTTTCAGTTTGTTTGGACTTAGTTTTTTGTGTTTGGATTTTTGTGTTTCCTGCCTCTGTTTTCTGTTAACCTTTAATTAAACCCACAAGAAAATCACCTCTGCCTCCCTGCTTCTGCATTTTGGGTCATCTATCCACTACCAAATCATGACAATTTCCATGGATATTTGTCCAAATTATCTGCTTGAATTTAAAGAAATACACTAATTTTAAGTGATCATTGCCAACAGTTCCAACAGTTCTGTATGAGAACGTTTCAGGTTCCCAAACTCCAGACCTCACTGAAAATCGGAAAATTCTTTTCGTTTTTTTGCGACTTTAAAGTTTCCTAATGGACTGCAGCAGCGATCTTATCCCAGAAATCAGCATTGACATCTGAACGGTTCAGGTTTGAAGCAATGCTGAGAAATCTCTGCACTATAGCAGAGAAAAGTTTTTGTGTGTATGAGTGTCCCTATATATAAATATATAGATGATATAGCAGTAGATAAAGTCCTATAACTACTTATAGTGGGAAAAAAGTATTCAACTATTCACTCTAGTTAAATAAACGATGGATTTCACTCAGTAGGAACTCTATTTAATTTAATTTTAACTTTGCAAAGAGAGAACAGTTCATCATACGGCATGGTATTATTGCAGTGTAATCAGCCCTGTTCTGATCTGGACCGCGTTTGTTCCCCCTTACTCACAATAATGGAAAGTCAAAACAATAAACTGACAATTAATTGTTTAAATTACAGTTAAACAGTAACATCTTATGGAAAAACCTTGAGAAAGAATCTTTCTAGTTATGGGAAGAAGTCTGTCTTGTCTATAAACACCCTCACTCAGGTATTGTGTGGCTTTGCAGGTGAAACTGACTGAGTGAAAAACTTTTATAGTGAGTAAATAGCATAAATCAATATATGAAATAAGAGAAATCTAAATTTCCCGACCACACTACTACATTCATAAACCCCTTAAGATTGTTAACATCAACATTTACCATAAACATCTGTTGAATGTCAGTCGCTCATTTAAATCCACCTATTCTGAATAATATTAATGCAGTCTTCAGTTTGACCAAATCTTTTCTCTTCTAGATTGTAAAAATATCGTATTTGTTTTCTCCAAGCAGACGGTGAGGATTCTCTATTCTCTACCTCTGTTCTCTAATCATACAGGCATCATCTTTGCTTCCACCCTCAGCTCTAATCACTGGTCTGGAGAGAGCAGAGGCAGCTGTAGCAGAGTAGGGATGTTCAAGTAGGGATACAGGCCTGCATCTAAAATCTGTATCCCATCAGTTGATAATAGATGGTTCAGTTGTTCTCATTCCTGTTCTTGTTGTTGACTTTCATCCTTCACTCCGTTAAGTCTTTTCTAATGTCCCGCATTACAACATGAGGAGGAAAAGTCTCTAAGATTAATGCTGATACGCTAGCAGGTCGATACCAGAATCCGTAAAAATTCCACGCTGGACGCTCAGTATTAATACGAAAGAATAAAGTTTTATCTCATAGAAGAAATGTCTGTATTTGGAGCAGGGCCAGCCGGAGGCATAAGCAAACTTAGCAACTGCTTGCAAGCAGGGGGGCAGGGGCCCAAAAAAGATTGACCAGGGCTATTGATCAAACTATGAAAACTGCTTTTGAGCTTCTCACATACCTCTCACAAAATGAGATGTTTGAGCTTTACCCAAATCTTTGGGTCGCTCTAGGGATTGCCTGCACTCTGCCTGTGACTGTTGCCTCCGCTCAGCTTTTCATAGCTCAAATTGATAAAAACACACTTGAGATCATCAATGGCCCTGGAAAGACTAAGTGGAGTCGCAGTCATTAGTATTAATGACAAAGTTGGCCAAGCAATACCATACAATGATTCAATTCAGTTTATTTCTATAGCGCCAATTTACAACACTTGTAATCTCAATGCATTTTACAGTTCAACCAGATCATCCAGTCAGATTGATTCAAAGTTTTCTATCTAAGGAAAACCAGCTGATTGCATCGACTCATTGGCTGTTTCTCATTATGTGTACTTGTGCGTTCTCACGTACTCGTGCCGTCGTGAAACGTCATCATCCTCAGCCCTAGCACTGTTCCAATTCAAAAGAACAGCAGACCGAGAACGAACAAAGTCCCCGGATGTTGTTCTCACACTTTACCCAGCATGCATCAGAGCAGACTTGTCTGTTCTTGAGATTGACAGCTGTCCCAGCATGCACTGCGGCAGCAGCAGCTTCCAGGTTAGCGCTCACAGAGCTCAGAGGATTAAGTTAAAAGTTCTCTTTTCGGTTGCTGTTGTTCAATAAAAGTACATTTTAAGATCATTTGAGGCGAGAAAATTATACTTTAAAGCGTCACGATACGGCCCATTCACTGATGAAAACATTTCCGAAGTTGAGGGGACCGTGGCAACCAGCGGAGCTCTGGGGCTAACAGCAGCCAGGGCTAACGAGTTAACGAGTGGCAAGTTTTTTGGTTTATTTAACAAGATGTTAATTTGATTTGTGTTTATCTGACTGTGTTCATTATTATTCCCCGACTAAATGAAAAAAGTCATTATCTAGCAACTATTAATAACAGGAGGTGAAATGCAGCTCCAGACGAGCAGAGCGTGTGGTGATGTCATCAGTACGCCTCTGATCCAATTGACCCAGATTTATGCGTGCTCCCGTTCTCCCAGAGTCCGAGTGCGTACTCGCGTCCTTGTGAATTGAGAAACTTCTATTGACTCTTCAGCAATCCCTCACACTAAGCAGGCTTGTAGCGACAGTGGAGAGGAAATACTCCCTTTGAACAGGATGTCATCGGTGACTTTGCCTCCAGAAAAGCAAGGAAAGAACGATTTTCAGGTCATTGTTGTACATTTGTCAGGGATGAACCTTTGCTCTTCTTATGTTTGCTTTCATTATTTAAGTATCTTTTTTTGTAACATCCTACTTTTTGATTATATTCATGTTTTTCTAATTTGATTTTATTTAAAAGATTGCACATTTGCAAATAATTTGATATGTTTTGTGACGCTTTGTATTCTGAAGTTTTAATAAAAGAGTAATTTAATTATTTATAGTTAATTCATTTTGTATTAATACATAACCTAACAATAATGTTCTAGCTTAGGTGATTCTGCTTGGTGGGAGGGGGCCCACAAATAAAAATCTGCTTAGGGCCCCAAGAGGCTAAGGCCGGCACTGATTTGGAGACATGAGTTTTCTCCAAGCCTTTGTTGGAAACATGTTTGGGTTGTTTTTTTGTTTTTGTTTTTTTAAGATATTTCGTATTAGTTGGATTAAATTCAATTCTATTCAGTTTATTTCTATAGCGCCAATTCACATCATGTCATCTCAGGTCACTTTCCAGTTCACCAGATCATCCAGTAAGATTGATTAAAACTTATCTAAGGAAAACCAGCTGATTGCATCGACTCATTGACTCTTCAGCAATCCCTCACACTAAGCATGCTTGTAGCGACAGTGGAGAGGAAAAACTCCTGTTTAACAGGAAGAAACCTCCAGCAGAACCATTCCAGTTACTTCTGTATAACTTCAAAATGCAGCTTCTAAGACCATGTGATATTTAAAGCTTTCAGGGAGCCTCTGATTATCTGCTCAGAGATAGACCACCTGCTGTGGACCCTGCAGGCTGATCCACTGAGGGCTATTCATCAGCAGGGGGGAACCTGGAGACTGACACCTCTGGGAACCAGACAGGATATATTTGTTGTTTTTAGGCTGTTCAACTTTGAGTCCATCTGTGGAGAGTAATGGTGTGACTGTGTGTTTTTCCAGTGTACGTCCTGCCAGGCCTGCAGGGAGACTCGGGCAGCAGAGGACCCTCAGCCCCCTGCTCCTGCCCCCAGGTTCAGCCTTCCCAGAGACAGATGGATAACGTCCTGACGGTCAGTCGCTCACAGTGCCAATCTGTGCTGTAATGTTCTACAAAGCTAGGTCAACCATTCGGCATGTAATATAGAGCCACAGTCCTCTGTTTTCACCTCACAAGCTGCCTGTCTGTTTTAACCGTTTGAGGATGAAAGACTCGCTCTTCCATCTCTCTTCAGGTGTTTGTCGCAGACAGGGAGAAAGAGATGAGATGGCTGAGGGCGGAGAATGTGATGGTGCTGCGGACGGACAGAAGAGCGCTCTACATCTACACTGATTCTCAGTGGATGAACGTTCTGGTAACCACTGCCAGAGAGGCTGTCCAGCGACTCAGAGTTTTATTAGAATAGGATCTGCATATTGTTATTTAAAATTCATGCTGTCAGCTGGATTCCAAACCCAAAACACGTTGCGCCTTCTTTGAAGCTCTGCTCTGCTTGTGCAAAGAGGTTCACACCTTTTTAAAGGCCCACATTAGAATAAATAAAAATCTAGATAAGTAATTTTTTCTCAAAAAAAGTGCAATTGTTCTTGAATTATGATTGTAAAAGAGACATTTTGCCAATAGAGCAAGACAATATACATTTAAAATCAGAAAAGACAATTACATTGTCTTATTTCAAATGCATTTTATCTAAATATCTTGTTTTAAGAGTAAAAATACCCATTACATTGGCCAACCATCTCGTTTACCTACTCAAATTAAATCAAATCATTTTTACTTATTTCTAGATTTTCTTTCCAGTTCAGAAACCTTCTGCAAATCAGAACATTTCCTTAAATACACCACAAAAAATTTAAATCTCAATAAGTATTTTTTTTTTCTTAAAATAATGGCATTTGTTCTTGAATTCAGGAGGTAAGTGAGACACTTTGCCAATGGAACAAGACAATTTACATTTAAAATAAGAAAAAACTGTTGCATTGTTTTATTTCAAGTGCATATTATCTAATTGTCTTATTTTAAGAGTAAAAATACTGATTCCATTGGCAAATCATCTTATTTACCTCCTCAAATTAAGGGTAAATATACTTAATTTAAGAAATGTTTACTCTTGTTTAGATTGTTTTTGCAGTGTAAGTCTGTTAGGGTTGATGCACAGCACCAACTTCTTCTCTTCAGCTGCAGCTGATGCCTTTTGGGTTAACAGGATCATTTCCTGTGGAGGTGGTCATACAGATGGAGATCAGTGCTGCGAGTCTCACTTTAAAATCCTTTGGGGACCAAATGGGATCAAACTCCTTTTTATCATCCTTTCTCCACAAATACCATCAGTTTAGGGCATGGATGTAATTTTGGGGGGGCATGGGGGGGACATGTCCCCTGAACTTTTTCAAACATGCATTTTGGTCCCCGGGACGTTTTACTGTCCAAAAACAATGACAGACATTAGTCGAGCACTATGACCAAAAGGAAAACTGTAACTCAACCTGAACCACTGATCTCTATTTATCCACAGGATTGCTGATTGCCCGTTGGTAGTACGGCGTTGAAGTGAAGCCACTGGCCGCCATATTGGTACTCCCTTGATAGACCGGTCGGAATGTAAACAATCTGTACATTACAGCATTGGACAATGAAGATGTTCTCATTTTTAGGGGGACTTAAGACTTTTATAAATAAAGATAAATTCATCGCTGTAGTTATAAAGGCTGACCATAAGCAGCCTTTATAACTACTTTTATTTATTTTTATATATCAGTGGGGCTGAAACCTCACAGTCGACAGCGGCCACCTTCACCTTTCTTCCAGGTTATGTGTTAGGGAGGATGATGATGATGATGATGATGCAAGAGGGAATAAAATTAGGTCTATTTCTCTGAAGAAGCTCTGCTGGCAAACCAACCTTTTTGTGTTTTTTTATTTACATTTTATGAACCATAAGCTGTAATATTTTCTTTAATCAAAGGCATTTAACCTCTTACACCCTCAGGGGGTATAAATAAATTTCTGCCTGACAAAAACACACAAAAGTAAATCACTTATAGCCTCACAGCTATTAGATTTAAGAAGAAACTTTTGGTACCTCTGTAAAGGTAAGATGTCATAGAATGGTTTTCTGGTGTCAGCACCATTGTAGCTTTGACCCTGCCTGAAATATTAGGGACAAAATACAAAATATTTTGTATTTTTTGAACCTCGCCAAAATTTTCTTTGAAATAAACATTGCAAAACACTACCAAAATATTATTTATAGCACAAAAAAGTAGTACAGACTTTTAAATCTAAATGTTGTGTAAAGATATACCAAATTTGGACTCAATCAGATGAATCATATTTATTTTAGAATGGTATTAGTGAGAAATCTCTTAGGCGGAGAGGCCATTTTGGCACATTTATCCAAAAATGTCACCAAACTGTGCCAAATGTGTTTTTTACATCAATACTGGGGGTTTGTTAAAATTACGAGATCATGTAGCAGCTGGACCCACCGGTGGGTCCGTAGGGTTCTAGGGGTTAATAAAAATTAAAATCTTCATTCATTACAAAATTATTCTGAGCATTTCTGTAAAAAACAATGCCGTGAGCGTTTCTACTGTCAGTAGTTTAAACAAAGACATTGACTTTGCTGGAATGAAGCAGACGACGGCGCACAGAGCGATCATTCCTGCCATCTGTTTGCAGTGCTGTGGGCTTTTTTCACCGCCTTTGGGATGTGCAAAATATCAACTCTACCATCCTAAGTTCTCACTGGAAAAAGGATCTAGAAATAAGTAAATATTTCTTAAATTAAGTGTATTTACCCTTGATTTGATTAGGTACATGAGATAGTTTTCCAGTAGAATCAGTATTTTTACTCTTAAAGTAAGATAATTTGATAATATGCACTTGAAATAAGACAATGTAATTGTGTTTTTCTTATTTTAAATCTAAATGTTCTTGTTCCGTTGGCAAAATGTGTCTTTTATCTCCTCAATTTAAGAACAAATGCACTTATTTTAAGAAAAAATGACTTATCTAGTTTTTTTCCAGCACAAACAGAATCCTCTTTTGAATCAGGCACCTCTTTGCACACCTAATCTTTGTCGATCACCTGCATTATACCACCTTGCTTTTTGTTTAGATGAGCAGTTTTGTGCTCTGCTTTTGGTATTTCAGTGGATCACAGCCCACATGTTCAGTAGTTTGTTCACCATAACGATCCTGGAGTCTGTTCAATACACCAGGCTGCTTGTTTTCCTCTTATTGATCCATTTTCTCTCTGTGTGCTTTTGCTTCATCTCTCTGTTTACACCAGGAGGGCCGCAGACCAAGCACCAACATTTAACTCTGGGTGATCCTTCCTTCTGCTCCTCTAATGCAAGATTTTACTAATTAAAGATTTACCTGAATCCAGACTGAGAATTTCTGCATGCCTGGCATTTTTAATAGCTTTTTTGTTTGTTTTAACTTTTTGGAATGTTAAAACTGCTGCACCGTGTATGTAAAACATGACTGTAAACACTGAGCTCATGCAATAAAAATCCCATCACTGTTAAAATATAAACTTTTGCTTCATTTGAAGATGTGCTAGGTTTACCTGATAGACAGAATAATGAGCAACAAGATTTAAAAGTTTAAAATTCTATGGAGATTATTTATTTATCCACCTGTTGTTCCAATAGTTTTCCTTCATAAATAACATAAACTGGGCTCAGCTCTGTAGACTTCCTCACTTTCACACTCTTTTTAGCTCTGCTCACAATATTTCCATGAAACTGGCACCAGATGGGTGTTTCATAAAACCGCCTGAGAAAAAACTGCCAGACTTCCACACATCTAGTTTCCTGTCCATAGATCTCACAGTTTTAGTCCCAAAAAAACTGCTTTTAATTCAGATTTAGTCACAAAGACCCTTTCTTTGACTAAAAAAAGACAGCTAAAAAAGAAAATTAACGCCCCCCACAATTATCTTGCAGTAGTAACACTAGTGGTGTGATATACACGTAACAACAAGGAAACAAAAAGATTCAGGTGTTTGAAAGGTTTTTACATTCAAATAAATTCACAGTAATAAACTGCAATTGCAAAAATTGATAAATAAATAAATAACAACCACCCAAAAAGTTCCTTCTAACCATCTAAAGGTAGTTAAGCCCTCGGAAATAATTGATTTTCCCTTCAGAAACTCTAAGAGCTGCCATCAAAACTGCAGCTTCCTCCTCCTCCACCAAACAGACGCCTCCATCATCCATTTTTTATTTAGAGGAGGAAAGCGGGGACGAAGATGTTGTGGAAGAGGACGCCAGGGCGGCAGAAGCTTGGTTTGGTGTAGAAGGCTTCCAGCCGTACATGTTTGAGCCCTTGCCTCGCAACGCTGCCAGTTCCGTTAGCTCTACGCCTGCTGAAGACACAGACGTCCATCCCTGTGAACACTGGGACGCAACTCAATGGGAAAGGAAAGGATTCTGATTCCAACCGTTGCGTATATTAGCTGCGACACATGAATCAAGATGCTATGACTGAAAAAATTTGATTGACAGATGACCGTTGACATCTGATTGGCCGAATTTAGGTGTTCAGGCTGACGTAGAACTAACTGGCCTGCAGAAGATAATGAAAAAACCACAGATTCTAAGACAGGTTTAAAAAAAAATGTAATTTTTCTAACTTTTGGGACAATATGGTCTGATAAAGAGAACATTTATATTGAAGTTCAATGCAATTCTAAGCCAGCTGGGAATTTATGTTTCTGATACTTTAAGATGTTCATTGCCCTCCCCGGTAGGGGTTGAACATATCTTATTTAATCAGATATTATTTCGGCCGTTATATATTGTTCATGAACACACAGCCCTACTAACTGTGTTAGAACAATAAATGAAAGACTGATTCGAGCACTAATCATGGTCAAACAGTTAATTCTGCACATGCATGGAATAAATTCACCACAACTTCTGTTCAAAATATAAGATTTTATTAACAGAAATCATTCAGCTCCAAGTCAAACGTATTTCAGTTTAACACTCTCAACTAAACTAACTACTATGTACAAAGAGGAAGGGAAACATGGTTGAAAAACATATTACAGTTTAAGATGGATTCTGTGTTTGAAACCAAAGTTTATCTGTAAGAATTTGGGATATGATCAAATTAGCTTTTCACTAATTTTAAGAAATTGGAATGTTTTCAAACCAATTCACAATGCAAATCCATGAGGTGAATAAAACATTATTTGGCCAAATAATGTTTTATTGAATGATTTGCTTAATCAAGAACCAAAAACCTTTAGTTAATTGTTCTTTACCCTCTTTGAAATAACTAGCAGTGAATAGCATCAGGATTCCACTAAATGACTCTTGGTCATACTTGCTAATGGAAATGTAATGAGCATCTGAGGAATATATGAACACTAATGTTATATCAGTGTTTTAACCCTTAGTGAATAAAGCTTGTCCACGCTTCAGCAACAGTCCAACAAATATTCCTGTAGCATGCAGTCCATTCTGTTAGCTTGTCTCTACTCATCATCAAAATACATGTTTGTTCTGTCCCTAATCCTGCCAGACCTGCGAACCTTTTTGTCCATGTCCAGTTGGAAGGCTTGAGTTTCATCCAGCTGCGGCTCAGCAGTCAGGCCACAGCAACCAGGGTTTTCTTTGTCTCAATCTCACAGCAGGGGTCCTCTTTGTCTCAGTGGTTCATCAGGCAGTCCTTCTCTCCAGTCTGGCTCTATAAGTTCTGAAACTCAAGAGAAATGTGTTGCAAAAGGTTTGTTTTTGCAGCAGTTTGGTTCTGACTTATCCTCGAGGAATCTGGAGACCTGGGTCACCCTGGGCCTTCTCCATCTTGCTGGAGAGGAACCCCAGTTTCATGGGCAAAGAGAAAGAATCTGGTTTTCTCTGTGGTTTTGTCCTGTTCTCACAGAGAGGGGGCTGGCAAGTCACACCTCTGTGGGAGACCTACAGGTGCTGGTCATAAAATTAGAATATCATGAAAAAGTAGATTGATTTCAGTAATTCCATTTAAAAAGTGAAACTTGTATATTATATTCATACATTACATACAAACTCATATATTTCAGATGTTTATTTTGTTTAATTTTGATGATTACAAATGACAACAAATGAAAATCTCAAATTCATCATATCAGAAAATTAGAATATTGTGAAAAGGTTCCAAATTGATGGCCCCTGGTGCCACACTCTAATCAGCTAATTAACTCAAACCACCTGCAAAAGCCTTTAAATGGTCTTTCAGTCTAGTTCTATAGGCTACACAATCATGGGGAAGACTGCTGACTTGACAGTTGTCCAAAAGACGACCATCGACACCTTGCACAAGGAGGGCAAGACACAAAAGGTCATCGCTAAAGAGGCTGGCTGTTCACAGAGCTCAGTGTCCAAGCACATTAATAGAGAGGCGAAGGGAAGGAAAAGATGTGGTCGAAAAAAGTGTACAAGCAAGAGAGATAACCGCACCCTGGAGAGGATTGTGAAACAAAACCCATTCAAAAATGTGGGGGAGATTCACAAAGAGTGGACTGCAGCTGGAGTGAGTGCTTCAAGAACCACCACACACAGACGTATGAAAGACATGGGTTTCTGCTGTCGCATTCCTTGTGTCAAGCCACTCTTGAACCACAGACAGCGTCAGAAGCGTCTTGCCTGGGCTAAAGAGAAACAGGACTGGACTGCTGGTGAGTGGTCCAAAGTCATGTTCTCTGATGAAAGTAAATTTTGCATTTCCTTTGGAAATCAAGGTCCCAGAGTCTGGAGGAAAAGAAGAGAGGCACTTCATCCACGTTGCTTGAAGTCCAGTGTAAAGTTTCCACAGTCAGTGATGGTTTGGGGTGCCATGTCATCTGCTGGTGTTGGTCCATTGTGTTTTCTGAGGTCCAGGGTCAACGCAGCCACATACCAGGAAGTTTTAGAGCACTTCATGCTTCCTGCAGCTGACCAACTTTTTGGAGATGCAGATTTCATTTTCCAACAGGACTTGGCACCTGCACACAGTGCCAAAGCTACCAGTACCTGGTTGAAGGACCATGGTATCCCTGTTCTTAATTAGCCAGCAAACTCTCCTGACCTTAACCCCATAGAAAATCTATGGGGTATTGTGAAGAAGAAGATGCAATACACCAGACCCAACAATTCAGAAGAGCTAAAAGCCACTATTAGAGCAACCTGGGCTATCATAACACCTGAGCAGTGCCACAGACTGATCGACTCCATGCCACGCCGCATTGCTGCAGTAATACAGGCCAAAGGAGGCCCAACTAAATACTGAGTGCTGTACATGCTCATACTTTTCATGTTCATACTTTTCAGTTGGCCAACATTTCTATAAATCCTTTGTTTTTATTGGTCTTCAGTAATATTCTAATTTTCTGATATGATGAATTTGAGATTTTCATTTGTTGTCATTTGTAATCATCAAAATTAAACAAAATAAACATCTGAAATATATGAGTTTGTATGTAATGTATGAATATAATATACAAGTTTCACTCTTTAAATGGAATTACTGAAATCAATCTACTTTTTCATGATATTCTAATTTTATGACCAGCACCTGTAGGCTAAAAAGGGGTGGGGTTGGAGAGATCTTAGAGCTGTTCATTCATGAAAGCTGTTTTTCCCTCTCTGGTCATCATGTCAAGATGAAATATAGATACTGATTCCCAATGTCCAAAAACCATGATCATGGCACAACAATATACGTACATGTTTAAGCCAATGATTTGACATTTAAATATGACTTCCCTACGACTTTAAAGAGCTGAAGGTTGAACCTTCAAGCTTCTGGACCCCGTAGCTAATTCTGAACAAGGTTCATGCTAATTTATGAAGCAGACGATCCGCCTTCCTAAAAACTTTTGCCTGCAAATGATGAACTGGAACCACTTGAAATTTTTTTGGGGCGAAGATTATCAACAAATGACATGAAAAATTAGCTTGTGCTAGCATTAGCCTAGCATTTGTGCTAGCCGCTCCACATGAAAAATATCATCAGCAGGAGCAAAATTGGTTGATTTTAAAGCCTCAGGTATTTAAAACTTCAAAGTAGATTTGAAGCAGAGTTAATTTTGTCAGTTTTTTTTTTTATTTAGTCTTAGTCACAATGACAAAAATCTATTTTAGTCTTAGTCATATTTAGTCATTGCCTTCCCGATTTAGTTTTAGTCTTAGTCTAAATGACCAAAATCAATTTTAGTCTTAGTCAAATTTTAGTCATTTTAGTCAACACTAAATATTCAAACTTCTGCACACACTGCTTTTTTTAACATATATATCACACTGTACAGAATAAAACTTCTCCACACACTGCTTCTCTCTATTTATCTCTATTTTATTAATATAACACTGTGCAGAATAGAACTTCATACACTGATTCTCTTTTTAACATATATCCAGACATGGGCAATGTGGTGTCAACAAGTCCTCTCCATGTCATGTATTTAATCTACCCAGCCACTGAAGCAGGTGAGTCCAATCTTCACCGTGAATTAACCTGTGCAGATTGGACTCACCTGGTTAATTGGCTGGGTAGATTAAATACATGACATGGAGAGGACTTGTTGACACCACATTGCCCATGTCTGCATATATCACACTGCTCACATTTAACCTTTTGTCGGCTTGTTTCATCATATCCACAAAGTCTTCATCCTCAATGGTCCTTGCAGGCAGGCCAGAACGCCCAATCCACTTTGCCATTGAGTTCTCCAGGGCTTTCTGCTCTTTGGCGTCAGGTTTGTACGGTGGGGGGGCTCCCAACATATCTGCAACAGACTTCCCTTCCTTCCCCAACCTCTGATTTGGCTGTGGTGTCACTGTGTCAGGAATCTAGTTGGTTCCTTACCTTCTTCCATTCTTCCATGTCGCTTGAGATTCGTTGTCTTCTTCTCTGCAGACTCTTTAGTGGCGTCCTTCTTCCGGTGTTTTCCTTTGCGTTTTAAACGAAATGGCACCATACATCCAGGCGTAACCGCACACCGGTATCCGCAATGACTGCGAAGTTGAGCTATGAGTATAAACCCTGTGCTGCTACTGACTGAGCGGCGCGAGGGACTGTGGGACAGGTTCTGTGTAAGGACAAACAGGGCAACAGCGCGTAATCTTCTATGAAGCTCAAGAAACACTTATATTAACAATTATAAATTAATAATAAAAAATTACAATTCTTAATGTCCATTCGTCAATGGATCGTAAATTTCGTCTGTCTTAGTCTTGTGACGAAAATAAGTTTTTATTTTCGTCATATTTTTATTTTCTGGAAACAATTTTTGTGCGTCACCGTCACGGGAAAAAGGGGCGTTGATGAAATATTTTCGTCATCGTCATGGTTGACGAAATTAACACTGATTTGAAGGCAATGAAAACTCAACGACTTTTTCTACTGACGCTTTTATTTTTGAGACCTCAATACAAGATCATAGTTTGTTGGAAGAAGACAATTCCCCACTTCCAGCTTTTAATGCTTCTTTAGATCATTTAAGTTAGTTGGGTCCAGTTTCAATCATTCCTTGAAGCGCCTGAAGGATTGCACTGTAGGACTGACGGCGCCCCAGTCACCAGGCTTGCGATACTCGCCCTTCTCCAAGAGGTATTGGCGTCCGGTGTAGTTGGGCCGCTCGTAGAAAACCCACCAGCCGTCATAGACCTTGCAGGAGTTCACCTCTCTCAGGCGAAACTTCTCCAGGAGTGAGGGACAGTCGTCTGTGGCTTCCACGGCCTGGCCGCCAAAGTCGGACTTCTCATAGAGCTGCATCTTGTATGGGGTCCCGCTGGTCTGCAAGCAGACAGGGGAGGGGATAGAGAGACATGCAACCAGCATTAGAAGGGAAAAGGTGACTGTAATGAATCAGTAGAAGTGGTGCTAAAAAAAGAGAAAAGTTACAACATTTTCACACCACTGTGCACAAGCAGCTTGAGCTCAGAGCTTTGGTTTTTAGACGAACTCTGCAGGCTGAGGGTCACACAGACCATATCCTCTACTGATTATTGACTGAGCCCTACAGGCACTGGTTGCATAAATAACCAGCCATGATCTCCAATAATTTACTGAAGCTGCAGTCCAAAAAAACCCCAGTTAGAACGGGCTGTGGAAGGATTGACTCACGAAGTGGATTATCTTGCAGGAGCAGAGGCGGTCGTTGAGTCCCATCCAGCGCTGGTACTCTGGGTACTCCCCTCTGGTCAGGACGTACTGGTAGCCCATGAAGTTGGGCCTCTCGTACACCACCCACGCCCCGCTCTCCACTCGGATGGAGTTACAGCGGCTCAGATAAGAGTGGAAATCAGTGCAGTCACTGTCACACTCATAACGACGACCCTGAAAGTTCTTGTCCTCGTAAAAGATTATCTGAGGAAAAGATGTTAGTGATTGAGGCATCTCCAAGGTATGGCTAATCTTAGAGAGCTTGGAAAGTTATTAATGCACCTAAAAGCTAAATACTGTGTTTGTGTCACAGACGTTACTGTTACTGGAATAACCCCCACCCCTTCCAGTACAGCAGTTCCCTGCAGAGAGGGATCCTCGTGCAAACTCACCCTGCCCATCTTGGCTACAGCGTTTGGGACCGCCTTGGTGATGCTGATCGATGATGCTGATGGATTCCCTGAGGTCTCGGTGTTGACCAGCCGTTCAGTTGCTGCCTTTTATATCCCATGCTCCCCCAGATTTAGAAACAGCAACTGCGCTAGTAAAAGGGGAACAATCGCTTTGTCATGAAAATGAGATCCAAAAATTGAGTCAGTGATTCTAGTGCTATTCAGTTTTTCCAGAAAAGCATGGAAGGATTACGGCATAATGCCTGGGCACTGGTACGCGTCCACTCACCCCCATTTTTCAACTAGCTGGGTCCTGTGCCCACTGTAACACATGGTGAGAGCCTGCCAACTCACAACTAAGCCTCCCTTTGGATTCATCCACATAGAGTACTGGAAATCTATTACCATCAATTCTATTATTTCTTTAGAAATGTGTATTTGGCTCAAAAAATACACCAAAGAAATGCAACCCAGAGGCAAAAGAAAAAAAAAAGTAACATATTTTTTTGGATTTTATGCGATAAAAGACAGTGTAGAATAGAAAGAGCAAAAATGTTGCTTATACAGTAGATATAAAAATCTAGAAGGTGTAGAAGGTTTATATTGAGTCTCTGAGACTACACTTTCCTGAACCTCTTCTTTCCTTCAATTCCAGCTGCAGTGACACTTAGAGGCAGAAAGGTTTATGTCCATCCTTCTCTGCAAAATACCCCAAATTAAGCCACACTTGTAAAACAGCTGTTACACACGGAGAAAAACTGTTACACTCATAGAACAGCTATAACACACGGAGAACAGCTGCTACACACCGGAAATGACTGTTACACTCATAGAACAGCTGTTACACAATGAAAACAGCTGCTACACTTGTAGAACGGCTGTTACACACGGAGAACGACTTTTACACTCAGAACAGCTATAACACACAGAGAACGGCTGTTACACACGGAGAACAGCTGCTACACTTGTAGAACAACTGTTAACACATGGAGAACAGCTGTTACACACGGAGAACGACTGTTACACACGGAGAACAGCTGCTACACTTGTAGAACAACTGTTAACACATGGAGAACAGCTGTTACACACGGAGAACGACTGTTACACACGGAGAACGACTGTTACACTCATAGAACAGCTATAACACACGGAGAACAGAGAACTCCTGCAAGGTCTGGGCAGCGTCCTCCGCATCTCGTTGGCAGCCGACCGGCTGGAACCCAACTTGTTCTCTGGGCACTGACTGAACTTTAAGACTAAAGGTTCCTGCCTTAGACGCCCTGGCTGTTTACTGCAGATCTGCCATTTTCAAATAAACACTTTTTGAAGTGTCTGACTGTCTGCTTTGAATACCATTCCTGATCAAAAACAACACCAAGATTTTTTTTTTACTTTATCTGAAATCAGTTTAATCCCATCCAAATGAAGTGACTGACTAATCAGCTTCTTTTTAAAGACTCTGGTCCAAAGACTATAACTTCTGTTTTGTCTGCATTTAGAAGGAGAAAGTTAAGAGTCATCCAGGTTTTTATGTCTTCAGACATGCCTGTAATCTATGTAATGGGTTAGCTTCATCTGGATTATAGACAGATATAGCTGGGTATCATCAGCATAACAGTGAAATTAATCCCATGCTGTCTAATAACTCTACCAATTGGGAGCATGTATAAAGTAAAGAGAATTGGTCCTAGCACTGATCCCTGTGGTACTCCACAGGTAACCTTTGAGCATGAGGAAGATTAATCATTAATGTGAACAAACTGAAATCGATCAGATAGATAAGATTTAAACCAGTCTAGAGCTGTTCTTTTAATTCCTATAAAATATTCAAGTCTTTCTAAAAGAATATTATGGTCAACTGTATCAAATGCAGCACTGAGATCCAACAGGACAAGCACAGATACAAGTCCATTATCTGAGGCCATGAGAATATCATTAGTGACTTTAACCAGAGCTGTTTCAGTGCTATGGTGAGCTCTAAAGCCAGACTGAAACTCTTCAAAAAGTTCACTCATCAAAAACAGCTGTGTACTTTATAGAGCAGCTGCAGCAACAGGAACATGTTAGCAGCAAACATCGACAGTAAGGCCTGTTTTCAGTGGATATGAAGTAAGAAAAAAATTATTCAGTTTTTATGTATTCTCATTTAATTTCACAAACCAACACAAACCTGCAGCAAGAAAGGCAAGCTGTTGAAATCAGTGGGTGAAGGACAGAGTTTATGAAAAATTATTTTATTCAGAAAAAAAAGAAAAAGAAAGATGAGCGTTAAAGTCTGGTACATGTGAACGACTCTTCACATCGTGCAGAATAAACCTTTAAAACCCAAACAGGACAAACTGGTCAGACCCTAATACCAGATTAGATTCTCTCCTCTTTTCCTCCATACGCCTGCTGATCAGCTCCTCCTCTGCTGCTTCTTTAGGGGAGCTGTTACGCATGGAAATCAGCTGTTACACATGGAAATTAGCTGTTACAGAGAGAACAGCCTGTTAACGCGCGGAAAACAGCTGTTACACATGGAAATCAGCTGTTACAGAGAGAACAGCTGTTACACATGGAAATCAGCTGTTACGCATGGAAATCAGCTGTTACACATGGAAATTAGCTGTTACAGAGAGAACAGCCTGTTAACGCGCGGAAAACAGCTATTACACATGGAAATCAGCTGTTACAGTGAGAACAGCTGTTACACATGGAAATCAGCTGTTACGCAGAGAGAACAGCTGTTAACACGCTGAGAACAGCTGTTACACATGGAAATCAGCTGTTACACATGGAAATCAGCTGTTACGCAGTGAGAACAGCTGTTACACATGGAAATCAGCTGTTACAGATAGAACAGCTGTTAACACGCTGAGAACAGCTGTTACACATGGAAATCAGCTGTTACAGATGGAACAGCTGTTACACATGGAAATTAGCTGTTATGCAGAGAGAACAGCTGTTACGCAGAGAGAACAGCTGTTACACATGGAAATCAGCTGTTACAGAGAGAACAGCTGTTACACATGGAAATCAGCTGTTATGCATGTAAATCAGCTGTTACAAATGGAAATTAGCTGTTACAGAGAGAACAGCCTGTTAACACGCTGAGAACAGCTGTTACACATGGAAATCAGCTGTTACACATGGAAATCAGCTGTTACGCAGCGAGAACAGCTGTTACACATGGAAATCAGCTGTTACAGATAGAACAGCTGTTACACATGGAAATTAGCTGTTATGGAGAGAGAACAGCTGTTACGCAGAGAGAACAGCTGTTACACATGGAAATCAGCTGTTACAGAGAGAACAGCTGTTACACATGAAAATTAGCTGTTACACATGGAAAGCAGCTGTTACACATGGAAGTTAGCTGTTACTCAGAACAGCTGTTACACATGGAAATTAGCTGTTATGCAGAGAGAACAGCTGTTACGCAGAGAGAACAGCTGTTACACATGGAAATCAGCTGTTACGCAGAGAGAACAGCTGTTAACATGCTGAGAACAGCTGTTACACATGGAAATCAGCTGTTACGCAGCAAGAACAGCTGTTACACATGGAAATCAGCTGTTACAGAGAGAACAGCTGTTACACATGGAAATCAGCTGTTACACATGGAAATCAGCTGTTACATATGGAAATCAGCTGTTACGCAGAGAGAACAGCTGTTACACATGGAAATCAGCTGTTACACATGGAAATCAGCTGTTACGCAGCGAGAACAGCTGTTACACATGGTAATCAGCTGTTACAGAGAGAACAGCTGTTACACATGAAAATTAGCTGTTACACATGGAAATCAGCTGTTACACATGGAAATTAGCTGTTACTCAGAGAACAGCTGTTACACATGGAAATCAGCTGTTACGCAGAGAGAACAGCTGTTACACATGGAAATCAGCTGTTACACATGGAAATCAGCTGTTACGCAGAGAGAACAGCTGTTACACATGGAAATCAGCTGTTACGCAGAGAGAACAGCTGTTACACATGGAAATCAGCTGTTACACATGAAAATCAGCTATTACGCAGAGAGAACAGCTGTTACACATGGAAATCAGCTGTTACGCAGAGAGAACAGCTGTTACACATGGAAATCAGCTGTTACACATGGAAATCAGCTGTTACGCAGAGAGAAAAACTGTTACACATGGAAATCAGCTGTTACACGTGGAAATCAGCTGTTACGCAGCGAGAACAGCTGTTACACATGGAAATCAGCTGTTACAGAGAGAACAGCTGTTACACATGAAAATTAGCTGTTACACATGGAAATCAGCTGTTACACATGGAAATTAGCTGTTACTCAGAGAACAGCTGTTACACATGGAAATTAGCTGTTATGCAGAGAGAACAGCTGTTACACATGGAAATCAGCTGTTACGCAGAGAGAACAGCTGTTACACATGGAAATCAGCTGTTACGCAGAGAGAACAGCTGTTAACACGCTGAGAACAGCTGTTACACATGGAAATCAGCTGTTACACATGGAAATCAGCTGTTACACATGGAAATCAGCTGTTACGCAGATAGAACAGCTGTTACACATGGAAAACAGCTGTTACGCAGAGAGAACAGCTGTTACACATGGAAATCAGCTGTTACACATGGAAATCAGCTATTACGCAGAGAGAACAGCTATTAACACGCTGAGAACAGCTGTTACACATGGAAATCAGCTGTTTCACATGGAAATCAGCTGTTACACATGGAAATTAGCTGTTACACAGAGAGAACAGCTGTTACGCAGAAAAAACAGCTGTTACGCATGGAAATCAGCTGTTACATAGAGAGAACAGCTGTTGCACAAGGAGATCAGCTGTTGCACAGAGAGATCAGCTGTTAATTGGGCCAACCGGTAGCGAGTCAGAACAGCACTGACATTATCACTGGTTCTGCATTATCTGATTCATTAAAGGCTGCGACAATACACAGACACGCCCAGAGTTTAAGACATGGTATTTTTCTTTAACTAAACATTAAATACCAACATGGCTGCCACCTCAAACAGGACGGTTAAAACTGCAGGTCTGACTAGTTTTATTCTGTAATGAGAAAAACAGGAAAATCAAATAAGGTTCTCTCCAAACACCTGAAGACAAATTACACTTAACAAAAATAAATGGAACTGAAAATATCATGTCTGTCAATGTTTAATATTATTTTAGCAGCATAAGCAGGTACAGCTTTTCATCATTAAAACATCAGCAGAACTTCATGGTTTTATTTCTGGATATCCTGTCTTGAACGTCTCTCCAGGTTCTGTGGGAAGCAGAAACTCTTCTGAATGTTTTGAACCCATGAAGCAGATCTTCAGTAGTTTTGTTTTCTAAATGCCCGTTTAACCTTTGCTCCACAGACAGGAAGCCTCGTCATGTTGCTCTGCGACATGCCGTTGCAGCCGCTCCCTAGCTGCCTGTCCTTTCATGTTCATTAAGCAGTAGCTGCAGTTCCGTCTCCTCCTGCTACGTTGACAGCTTTGGCTTCTTTCATCCGGCTGCCGTCTTTCGTGGCGGAGGTCATGGTGGGCGGGATCAGGCTGTCCAGTTCCTGTCGGTGGCCGGTTTCTAGAAGCCACTCATGGAACTTTAACTCCACCAACTCCTGGAACTGTTGTGTCTGCTCCCTGCAAACACAGAAGCACAGAGACAAACCCATTTAAGCAAAAGTATTCACACCCCTTAAAGTTTCCTCACATCCTAACATGACGGAGCAAATGATGGTGAAGAGGAAAGACTGTGGAGCCAAAGATCGATGTTTGGGGAACACATCAACCACATGGTGGTGAAAGCATCATGCTGTGGGGATGTGATCAGGAAGGACCTAAACCTGATAGATCCATCTTTCTGCTGGTTGGTCCATTTCCAGGACTCATTTGAACAGTTATAGGGGTGTGAATACTTTTCTTTCCTGAACAAATTCTATCCACTATCAGAGATCTGATTGTTCCTTATGTTCCTAACAGAGCACTTCGCTCTCAATCTGCATGTTTACTAGTGGTTCCTAGAATTTCTAAAAGTAGAATGGGAGGCAGATCTTTTAGTTATCAGGCTCCTCTCCTGTGGAACCAACTACCAGTTTTAGTCCGTGAGGCAGACACCCTGTCTACTTTTAAGGCTAGGCTTAAAACTTTCCTTTTTGATAAAGCTTCTAGTTAGAGTGGCTCAGGTTATCCTGATCTATCTCTATAGTTCTGCTGCTATAGGCTTAGACTGCTGGAGGACATAGGGACCCCTTTTTCATCATTCTGATTCATTCTATCTCTATTCTCCCACTCTGCAGAATCTGTTAGTTCAATCTCTAACGTTCTGCTCTCTCTGCTTTTTCTCATAGTAGCTTCATCTGGTCTGTTCCTGTTTGGCTGTGACTCCATCCTGGAGAGAAACATCAGCTGTGCTGCTGCCATCAACACCTTTGTTTCAAGATGTTGGAGCTTGGCCTGTTTTCCAGTGTAGTCCTGTTTCTCTGACTGTGACTAACTGGATGTGCTCTCTTTCATCCTCTGACATGGGAGCTGGTTTGGAGCTCGTCTGCCTGGCTGTGTGTTTCCTGGACGGGGCCGCCTGTGGAGCTGGTTGACAGTTGCCTTTTGTGTCTATGCTTCTTTTTCTATGTCTGCTTCTGTCTCCTTGAACCCCAGTGGGCCTCAGCAGATGGCCGCTCACACTGAGCCTGCTTCTGCTGGAGGTTTCTTCCTGTTCAAAGGGAGCTTTTCCTCTCCACTGTCGCTACAAGCATGCTTAGTGTGAGGGATTGCTGAAGAGTCAATGAGTCGATGCAATCAGCTGGTTTTCCTTAGATAGAAAACTTTGAATCCATCTGACTGGATGATCTGGAAAGTGCCTTTAGAAGACATGTTGTGAATTGTCATCTAAAGGCACGAGTTTATAAAAATAAACTGAATAGAATTGAAACATCAGTCCAGCTGTGGACAGCTTGACCACTCACTTGTTTAGCCGGGCCTCCATCACCGTTCTCTGCCAGCTCTGAATCCTTTTCTTCTTTTCACTCAGCGCCGCCTGGTAAGCCGGCGGCAGACCGCCAGGGATCTCGCATGTGTCGCCGTCCATCTGTAAGGGCACGGCCAGCGTGTGGAACTCTGACGGGGGCAGCAGGCGATAGCAGGAGGTGTCTGACTTGGACAGGGGGCCGGCGAGGCCCTCGGTTCCCAGAATCAAAGGCTGATCCCAGACGTTGGGGACCACAGCCAGCCCCACGCTGGCCATGTGGTCCTCCAGCGACGGGTAGAAGGTGTGGAAGGGACCCAGGGTTATGTTCGAGTTACCGGGCAGAAGCAGCGGGCAGGTGGGGGTCAGGGCGTGGACGGTGCACCTGGACGAGGCGCCGACCACCACCCTGCCGGCCACGCACACCACGCGAACATTCTGACAGCCGTGGATGTGGACGCTGGTCTGTACGGGACCCAGGACCACCGTGCAGTCGCGGCATTTGTCGACGCTGACGGACCTAAAGAGAAACCACAGCTGAGTCCGAGTCCCAGAGCGCCAAACGCTCCCAGCGTCAGAGAAAGCGGCCCCACCTGAGAGGAGACAGCAGGTATATGAAGGCCTCGGAGCAGCGGTGGATCTTGAGGTTGGCTCCGGTCAGCTTGTCAGAAGTTTTGGCCAGAGTCTGTTTGATGACCTGGGACATCAGCACAATCTTACTGCCGGCAGCGGCCGTGTGGGTGTTCCGGGCAATCTTGGCTCTCTTCATGGCTCCTTCCACTGGGAGGAACAGAAAGCAAGCCGAGAGTCAAAGGGCAGAGAAAAGGAAGCAGGTCTGAGGGTGAAGGAGGCGGAAGGCAGCAGACTGAGGCACACCTTGTTGAGCCCAGGCCAGTTTCTTCCCTGACTGGAGGCAGGCGGTCATCCCGAACGGGTTGAGCGTGAGGTTTTGTTGGAGACACGACAGGAGTTTGTCCAGAGGGAAGGAGCGGCTCAGCGACGAGAAGCCTGACTGGGCTTGGAGCGGACCTTTGGTCAGCAGCTTGTGGACGGGCTGAATACCTTTACCGTGGCCCACCGAGCCCTCCAGGAGGAGACCCAGGCTTTCAACGGCCTCCAGGGAAATCTGCGGAAACACGACTGGAGTGAGCCACGTTTCAGCACCGCCTGAGGAGAAGACTTTAGAAAGCATCACTAAACACACCGTTTTATAGACAGAAAACAAACGTTAGATCAGAACATCAGGAAACGATGATGAAACAAGAAAGCAAGAGATTAATACGACGCTCCTAAATCAAACATTCAGTCGTAGAAAGAGGGGTTAGGGAGCCTCAGCCCCTCCAGGACACAAACGACCTCCAACCTCTTTCATCAACCGCAGTTTGAGGGAAAAACAACATTTTCATGTTCAGTCTTTTCAGAAGTCTTGATAACTGATCTTTTTCCCAAGCGCTCCGTTTAAATCTGCTGAAAATGAACCGTTTTTATGTCATTTCCTGTCTAGTCTTTATTATTTAAAGACTTATTTATAATATAATAAAAATGGACAAAAACTTATAGTTAGAATAATAGTGACTAATAAAAACTAGAAAACTCACTCTAAAAACAAACTAAAACTGCTGTTAAAAGTATATAGAAAAAGTAGTGGTGGGCATAGATACATTTTATCTAGATTAATCTCACTGTAATCTTGGAATTAATCTAGATTAAAATGGTTCATTTGATTTACTTTATTAATCCCTTGTGGGAGTTTTTTTTTCTGGCAGTGCAACCGTTTACAGAGGAGAGAAAAATATGACTGAAAGTACAAATAAGATATAAGAATAAGATAAGGATGATATGTGTGTGTGCTACCTAAATGATAAGTAAGTAGTAGTGGTTTCTTATGCCATGTGATGAATTAGAGAAGGGATCATCTTCTGTTTCCAAACTGCTTGACAAAGCTTTGATAATTGGGGATGAAAATAAATGATAATCAATAAGATGCATTTGTGTTTAATACGTGTTTATTAAGATAAACATGAATTCTGAACTGTAGGCCTTTATAATAGGTCATGATGAACTGATTACAGTCAGTAGTTTTGTGTCAGTCTGTCTATTTCTCCCTTTTCCTACGATAGAGTATTTGGGCCAGGCTAAAGATTTTTATTTCTTCCATTTCGAGAAATAAGTCATAACGTTGAGAATAAAGTTGTAAAATTACGTGTCTTGTAATGGTATGACTTTATTCTCGTAACGTTACGACTTTATTCTCATAACGTTATGACTTAATTCTCGCAACATTACGAGAATAAAGTCGCAACATTACGAGAATAAAGTCATAACGTTACGAGAATAAAGTCATAACGTTACGAAAATAAAGTCGTAAGATTACCAGTCTTGTAATGGTACGACTTTATTCTCGTAGCGTTATGACTTTATTCTCGTAGCGTTACGACTTTATTCTCCCAACGTTACAAGAATAAAGTCGTAACGTTACGAGAATAAAGTTGTAAAATTACCAGTCTTTTAATGGTACGACTTTATTCTTGTAACGTTGCGACTTTATTCTCGTAGCCACAAGACTTTATTCTCGTAGCGTTACGACTTTATTCTCGTAGCGTTACGACTTTATTCTCGCAACGTTACGAGAATAAAGTTGTAAAATTACCAGTCTTGTAATGGTACGACTTTATTCTCGAAACGTTCCGACTTTATTCTCGAAACGTTCCGACTTTATTCTCGAAACGTTCCGACTTTATTCTCGAAACGTTCCGACTTCATTCTCGAAACGTTCCGACTTCATTCTCGAAATGTTCCGACTTTATTCTCGAAACGTTCCGACTTTTTATTCTCGAAATGTTACGACTTTATTCTCGAAACGTTACGACTTTATTCTCGAAACGTTACGACTTTATTCTCGAAACGTTACGACTTATTCTCGGAACGTTATGACTTTAGTCATAGTTGTATATAACAGAACAAGCGTACTTTGAATTTTGTGTTGCATAAACAAATAGCGTCGCCACTGGAACTCTGTTACATCGGGAGCAAGTTGCTGGCGAACACGCAGTGGCCCCAGTCGGCCTCAGCAGATGGCCGCTCACACTGAGCCTGGTTCTGCTGGAGGTTTCTTCTTGTTCAAAGGGAGTTTTTCCTCTCCACTGTCGCTACAAGCATGCTTAGTGTGAGAGATTGCTGAAGAGTCAATGAGTCGATGCAATCAGCTGGTTTTCCTTAGATAGAAAACTTTGAATCAATCTGACTGGATGATCTGGTGAACTGTCTCTATAAAGTGAACTGAGATGACATATGCTGTGAATTGGAGCTAAAGAAAAACTGAATTGAATAAATAAAATCACAATTTTGGTTAAAAATAATCATAATTCAGGTTTTTGGTAAAATCGTTCAGCCCTGCGATGAATTCCAGCCTAACGCCTCTGATCCAGGGTGCGACTGAAGGACGTCTCACCTGACTGTGTCTCTGGGCCTGTCCAGACTGAGACAGCTGCCCCGGCTCCACCAGCAGCTCTAGGATGTCCGCCAGGTGGGTCAGCATGAACGACAGGTGGGCCTGATCATCCCAGTTCTGACAACCAAAGAAGGACAATGAGTGACGGAGAAGACGGGAAGATGTCCGGTTTCCTTCTCACCGCGGCGCACCTTGTTCTGAGAGCTGGCCTTGGTCTCCCGTTCGGACGGAGAAGCGGGACGAGCGCGCTGGCTGGGCCACTCTTCACCGATCAGAGACGTCCGGAGGGACACTCTGTTCAGCTGCTGGATGTAGAGGAAGAGGAGGAACTGCAGAGAATCCACCGACAGCTGGGGACGAAGAAACGGCTCAGGGTCAGCGTGCAGCCCATCTCACAATACCGCAAACATTGAAGGAAAAGTCGCTCATATTCAGAATTCAAACTTCTGAAAGTTCTTCAAATATGAAATGATTCCATCCTGTTCAATAAATGTTCAGTGTTTTTAATTCAGAGTCATTTTCATGTGAATGTGCTTTACTGGAGGCATCCATGTTTGTCAAAGAACACTACTGCCACCTACTGGTTTGTGACGTCACGGTGCGGTATCGGCTGCTGATCATGTCCCAGTGCTGTATCTGGTGTTTGTCACAACCAGAGGTGTCAAGTAACTTAGTACAGATACTTTTTTACTGTACTTAAGTACACTTTTTAGGCATCTATACTTTACTTATTTTTCTTCCTACTTCTGATTTCTACTCATTACATTTTCACACCAGTATCTGTATTTTCTATTCCTTACATTTCTAAATCAAACGTTACTCGTTACTCTTGGCTTCGGTTTAATGTTTCTAAATATTTATTTCCCGTCATGTTCTCCACCCAATGCAGATCATTGGCTCCACCCACATCTAGTGAAAACTAGTGTGATTGGATGAGTCATAGAACGCAAACACTCATTGGTTAGCTAAAGGAGATCATCAGAAGCAAGCAGGTGTTCTTCAAACTGCTAACGTGAATTGTCTATGCCATGCTACAATGTGGGATTCAGAAAAAGATGTTGAAACGTCTGAAAGGTCGGACACAGGCGAGAGCGTTGTAACAATAACCACTATGTTATTTTTCTCTTTTTGTATAAAGTACATTAAAGTGTACCGATGACAAACTGTCTGGTAGAACAGTTATGTCATTGGTAATATTATTTCAAATTTCCACTGGTTAAAAAACTAATGTTGGGAATTAATATGCTGGGTTATTTTGGCGTGGAGAAATTAATTAATAAAAAAGGGTGTGTGCGTCGGCGCACACCTTTTCCGTTAAAAACATTTCAAAAAATAATGAAAAAAGATAAATCTGGACCTTATTTTTCTTTTTGGGGATTTTTGGTGGTCCCACTCTTTTTCTTATCTTTTTTTTTTTGGGGGGGGAATGTTTGCCGTTCGGATTTTTCGTTTTGGAAAGGACTTTGGACTTAAACGCTTCCAGGATTTTACTTTGGGTTCGGAGCGTATGGAACTCCTGTTTGGACATTATTATTAAAAATAAAAAGAGACGGACAGTTTTGGACTTTCAGTTATTAGGGATGTTTTTGTTTGTTTTTTGCAGATATAAATCGAGACTTTGAGTTTACTTATGATTTTTCTATTATTATCATTAGTTTTTAAAATAAATCTTTGTTTGCTAACAATTGTAAGTAATACTTTGCCTGATTTCCTTTGAAAAATCCCCTTTGAGTATTTGTGAGTTCCACTTTTAATCTAGCTGAATTTTACAGCGTATCGGGAGACGGAGACCAACAAGACCTCCCTCATCCTTGGTCCTATCTCCAAAACTTTTTTGAAATAGTCGAAAAATTGAGCTTTCGTTTCATATATTGGCATCTTGCTGTTTTTTTCTCTGGTCAGAAGTTCGATGGCAAATCCTCCCTCTTCAAGTTGGCAATCCAACGACCAACCCGTCCAGGAACCCTGATCAGGAATCAGAAAGGTGGAATAACTTTTTTTTCACTTTTACCCGATGTATTCCAGCATCCAGCTGCCATGCACGTGGGCATTGTCAGTTTCACTATAGCTCTGGTGAATTTCAATGGTGAAGTCCTCTGGAAATCTTCAATAATTGTTGTTGATTGCAGATGTGTCTAGTAGTTCCCATTGATTTAGCTTGGAAAGCGGGGAGAATGGCGCTAGGCTTACCGCACCGTGATGTCACTGCTGGAAGATGGCAGGAGGGAGGGGCTACTATATTTGGCAAAAATGGCCGCTCCCAGACTCTGATCATGACGAAATTATTGTTTATTTTTTTACCGATTAACACTAAATTCATTAAATCACTGCAAACGTATTAGTTTAATGTCTAGATAATGATCCACTGATTATTCCCTGCTGACCGGACTTTTCCTTTAACTGGTATTACTGGGAGCCTCCCACCTTACTCCTCTGCTCGTCCAGCTCGCTTTTGGAGGAGCACTGGGAGAAGCACTCAGCCCGCTCCAGCCTCTCCTCTGGAGGGCGATCCACGAGGAGGTGGAACGTCTCAAAGTAGAGCCACGCCAGCTCCTCTGGAAGCTGCAGCTTTCCACAGGCGATGTGTCTCCACATGGACCAGCCCAGAACAGGAAAGCAGCCGTCCCGGGTCTGCACGTAGATCGCCATCTTCCGCAGGTAGTGCAGGCTGAGCTTGGAGGTGGGGGAAACCTAAAGGCACGCACGGTTGAAGACATTTAGGTGCGTCTGGATGAGATCGGACATTCAAACAGATGAAGAAGAGCATTCACCTGCAGAGCTCCCAGCAGGAAGGGCTCTATGCGAGGCCAGATGCTCACGCTGTCCGCCTCCATGTCTGAGGAGAGAGGAAGGGAAAAAATAAGGTGGTTATGATACGTTTTTTTAAGATTAAGACGAATAACTGAAACTTTTTCCATTTTTTATCAAATTAGCTGGAATTAAACCAAGTTTCAGAGAGACACTTTAAATCCAAGAGTTTTATGAGTTTATTAGGGATGGATCCAGCAACAGTGATGCGTGGAGCCCATAGAGCAAATACTATATCTGTGTGCATGTCGTTTCAGGAAAGTCATGTGACAGATAAAGGAGTCCTTACTAACTGACTGACTTACTAAAATATGATTAAAAAGTAATGATGCATCTGCTAAAAATTTATTTATTTATCATTAGAATGATCCAGAACTTTGGAGCAGCCTAATAGGAATAGAAACGTTTCAGCTGTTGCGTTTTTATTTTAATTTCCTCGTTGTGTCCTTTTCCTCTCAGTTATCACTCAACTTATCTGAATTAAAGTTCATTTCAAATTCACTCTTAGTTTATTTTCTGTTTTTACTGCACTTATTATTTTAAAAATATGATTTAAAATCCTAGTTCACAATAGGGATGCACGATATTGGGATTTTGGCCGATATCCGATATTTTAAAACTCATGTAGCCGATAACCGATATCGATACCGATGTTAAAGCTGGACAAAAATAAGTAGTCATTGAAAATAGAAGCTTTGTTATCCATTTCTGACACTTTGAAAAATAATATACTCAAATATATTTTCATATGCTGATATCAAACTGATTTTTTAAAATGCGGTATCGATCTATTTTACTTTCAAAATCTGGTGAAATTTCATCATTCTGTTACAAACTCTCGTGATATTTTGCAAATTCTTGTGAGATTTTGTTAGTAAAATAGATCGATACCGCGTCAATATATCAACATATAAAAATATGGCAGAATTTCCTGAATTTTCGGGGGATTTCGTAGCATAACGATGACATATAGCAATATTTCATTAGTAAAAGAGATTGATATGGTGTTTTTAAATGGCAATATATCAGCATATGAAGATATTGGGATATTTTAATGGATCAATATTTTTTCCCTCGTCTTTAGAAGTTTTTAAGTCTGTAAAAAAAATTTTTGAGGAAGAAGAAGAAGTAGTATTCTTTTTTTTTTTTTAGATTTTAGAAACTCAGAAGCTGATCAAATATCAGGTTAAATATCGGTGGGGTGGCCGATGTCCGATATTCAGTTTTAAGGCCGATACCGATAGGGGGCCGATTATATCGTGCATCGCTAGTTCACATTTTCCCCTTAAATTTCAAGTTATGTTTACATTATTTATTGGCTGCATCTAAAATTATCAAAGATATGTTTTAATTTAAACATAGAAAATAATACAATATAACCTCCAATAACTTAAATTATATAATTTTACTAGGTCATCAAATCGATTTAGTTTAGTCTGTCAAATAATCTGATTAAGATGGTTACTGAAACTTTTTCCATTTTTGATCAAATTATGCTGCAATTAGCTTAGAGAGAAACTTTAAGAGTTTTACTTTGTTTTCTGCTTTTCACAGAAAGCCTCATGTTTGTTTAATATGTAAATTGGAAAAAATTCATATTAGTCTTGAATGTGTGGTTTTATCTGCTTAAAGTTAGACTGAAATAATTGTAGAGCTTAATTATATAAGTTAAGGGAATCTCAATAAAAAGTTTTATTATGCTTCACAACAGGAAAAACTTTTTAATGCAATATGACATCAAGCCACTGTTATTTGTTAAAATGAATCATTATTTTATTTTATTGTTTTTTTTTTTTTTATTAAGCTTTTATCCCAACAGATCCCAAACCCAGGGGGGGGTTTACCAATAGGCAAAACTAGACAGTCCATGTATGGTTAATACAACTATTCCTTATTTGTGCACATTAATTATGTTTATGATCAAAATCCTTTGGCTAAAATGCCATCAGAACGCTTATAATATTACGTGTCTCTCAGACCCCCCTTCAGTGTCCACCATATTGGATCAGTCCATTTGCTGCACATGTTCAGAAAGGTCCAAACAGACAGCAGCAAACCATTTGAAAACAAACGATGTGAAGAGCAGCGCTTTTGTCGATAAGGTTTAGCGACTTTTCAGACGCCGCTAGCACTTTTCAAAAAGTCGCCAACATCTAAAAGCAGCGAACTCTGCTCTCCAGAGCGAGTAGATTGGTAACCCCGACTCCTGCTCTCCTCTATCTTGTCTGCTGCCTCAGGGTTTATACAGGAATAAGTAAATCTAATTTAATGCTGTTTAATGCTTGTGAAAAATGACCAGGGATGGTAATTACATAGTAACTACATTTTTCACAGAAACGCCACTACCTACACTCGCCTACACTCACAGAACTCGCCGACACTCTCATTCACACACACACACACGCGCATGCGGACGTAGCACCTGTAGCCTGCCAAACATTCGTTTATTACAAGTTTCCTCTTTACCGCGGCTAGCGCGAGATGACACACACGCAAAATAGTATGTACATTCGGTCCGAACATTCAGTTACTCACCATCTTAGCGAGCAGCGCGGTACCCGTTGTCTCGACACCGTAATCCATATGCATTGCAATAACCCCCACGTTACATTCAAACATTCCGCTCTACTCACATTCTGGTGCGTCAACAATCAGGTCCGGGAGGAAACCAGAGCCTCTCGGAACCAAAGTTCTTATACACTGATCTGGCAGTGGAGAGAGCTTTTGGCACCCGGAAGTTGAATGTTTTGGGGAAAATATTATTGTATTGCTGGATTGCAAACATGTATGAGTGTAAATATTGTCTGTGTCATTTCTAGTATTTATATTGTTGGTTTGGGAATATTATATTTTGTATGGGGATTTAAAAGTGTGTTTTTAATACTTTTTGTAACATTATTTTCCTATTGGTTGATTTCTGAGCCAATTAGATGTAAGTTGGAGATTGTAAGCCTTTTAAAAGGGCAGGGCTTTTTCATTCTAGAGAGAGAGGGTGAGCTGAACACACGCTTGCTGCGAGGCTGTGTTTAAGGGAAAAGTAAGTGCAAGGAAGTTTGTATTTAAAGTCTTTGTTATAGTTTATATTTTGTGTTGCCTGATTGAGGCTGGTTTTCTTTTGCGTTTATTCAGTTTTTTGTTTCTCATATTTTTGTATGCTCACTTCCGCACTGTAAATAAATACGCACCCGTCTTCACGATATTTTCAGTTGCCTAGTTTCCGTCTTCTTTAACCTTTATTGGTGAGGGCCAGTCCTGACATGAGCTGGGGGTGGAGAAGCCCCTTTCTCACAAGTGGTGTTCAGAAGTGGTGACAGTGGCGCCTAAGAAGTCTGGGAAGAACACGACGACAACAGGCAGACGGGTTCAGCCTAAACGAAGTATGGCGTATTGGCGTCTACCCCAAGACCCTGTGGAGGAGTTGACAGCCGAAGAGGTGGAGGAGCATGATGCTGGTAAGAAGACCGGAGGAGCCATGGGCGGAGCAGATGGTGCGCCGCAGACCCTGGACATGACAGCGCTGTACAGCCTGCTACAGAAGTCGATGCTGGCCCAGCGAAGTGAGGCGCAAAAGCAAGAATTGAGATGGCGCAGCGTCCAGATTCAGCTCAACAATGTGCACGACGAGCTGGAGAGAGAGCGACAAAAGGCAAGTGAGGGGCAGCATCAGCAGCCAGATGATGACGGCGATGGGGCTCTGCTACAGCTGAGACTTCAACACAACCCAGTGGGGCCACCGCCAGGTTTCCAGGTACCTGCAGCAACACCAGCAGCAGGGGCACCAGCAACAGTGGCGCCAGCAGTAGAAGCTCCCGCACCAGCCGCCGCGCCAGCACCAGCAGCAGCACCACCACCACTACCACCACCAGCAGCAGCAGCATCAGCAGCTCCAGCGCCAGCAGCTCATGCACCAACGCAGCCTCCAGCACAGCAAGCAGCACAGCAAGCAGCACCACCCTCTGCAATGGGTCCAGCCACACTGACTCCTGTGTCCTGGACGAGGGCAGCAGTGCCAAAACTGGAAGAAGGAGACGATATTGAACAATATCTGACAACATTTGAAAGACTGGCCATGGCCTACAGGTGGCCGAGGGCAGACTGGGCCATCTACTTGGTCCCGTACCTGACGGGACGGGCCCGTGCAGCCTATGTTGCGATGGACATGAATGACACCGTGGACTATGACAAAGTGAGGGCAGCAATCCTCACTAAGTATGAAATCAACGGCGAGACGTACCGGCAGCGTTTCCGGGAGCCGGATGTGCGAGCAGAGGAGACCCCTCGGGAGCTGTACAACCGACTGATGGACCTGTACAAGAAGTGGGTGAGACCGGCAGGAAAGACTGTGGAGCAGATTGGAGAAATCCTCGTCCTGGAGCAGTACCTGCGCACCCTAGCTCCTGAAATCCGGGTCTGGGTTAAGGAGCACAACCCAGCCACTGCCCAGCAGGCAGCCGAACTTGTGGAAGCGTTCCTGGCAGCTCGACCGGGTCCGAAGGTGTTCCGGGGCCAGAACTACAGCCGACCAGCCAGCAATGGTAAGTCTGGGGTTCCTGGTGGGGGAGTTGGTCCTAGGGGGTTAGGTCAGGTTAGGCCACAGCACCACACCTACACTTCCCCTTACACCCCATCACCTAGGCCTCCTACACGCCCCTACACACCACCGCCTAGACAACCGACACCCGCAACTACCACACATAGGCCGCCTTTTACATGCCATAACTGTGGTAAACCTAACCACATTGCCAGAGACTGCCCGAACAGGAAGCCTCAGGGGTCCAGTTTTTGTAATGTCTCGAGAGCAGATGATGCTGTATCCAAAGTGCAGACAATTCCTGTAACAGTGAATGACAAGCCCACATTTGCGCTACTTGACACTGGCAGTACACACACCCTAGTCCAGCCACACCTGATTGATAAGTCAGCTGTATTGGTGGCAGAGCAGCTTAGGGTGTGTTGTGTGAATGGAGACGAGCATGTGTACCCTGTGGTAGATGTTTGTCTGGACGTTCAGGGGCAAGCCTTTTTGCT